TATTTAAAATAGGCAGCAATTAACAATGTCAAGGGCCTGAGGGGGCCTGAGGGGGACTGGGCTGGACAGCCAACTACACGACTGTGTCTCGCTAGCAGAAGCATAAAATTGGTGCATCTATTAATATGGATGTAATTACGGGCGGAGGAGCATGTCTGCCAAACGGAATCAGCCCACCAAAGCAACGAACCGGCGATATAATGGAACATGAACTGAGTAGACAAGGTGTAGCCTTCCGATCTACGCTTCTGAGGTCAAAGATCGAGAACCGAAGCTCTCGGCTGCTGGGGCGGCTGGAATCCAATCCGATTTGCCTCTCTTTATCTCTCGCCCACCACCATTCAATACGCTGCCTGATGAGGGTACTAGTACCGTGAACATGTAAGTATGGATTCATAACACTTTACTCTCCTGCCTTGCTGGGATTTTGTCTCGTCATTTAGAGTTTTGTCCTGCGCATTACGAGAATAGTAGCCAGGTCGAGGCCATCGGGACCTGAGAAGTCCTCCTCTCCCATCGCCCAGCTTCGCTTAGCTTAGATTTGCTCACCGTCGTAGACCCTATCCCAGCATCGTCACCAAGGTTCCCCTCACAACAAACATGTACTGTACGAAGAGTAGAGCATGGACCCCAGAGTCGGTAGAGAGAGAGAGAGAGAGAGAGAGAGAGATGTCAATTACATCGAGTCAAGACTTCATGATGCTACTGTACGCCATGGAAGTCGCACCTCACGAGGCCTCATTGCATCGGTCCCTCATCCTGCGCTGAGTTGCTCGGTCCGCTCTGTCTGTAGTTCGGTGTCGTGGTGACGAGAACATACACATCTACGATTCCTGCGTATGGTACGATTATGGTATACCTATACACGAAAAGGTGAGGACGCCACATTTCGACACATGCCGAAGAAGGTTCTTTTAAGTTTTCTAGAATCTCCCCGCAACTTCTTCGTTCCATGCCAAGGACGCATTTCACGAATTCGAGTGAGCCAAGGTTTCAGTATTCGTCTACGCATGGCAAGCAGGCCCATGCGCAGTGAACGTGATCAGCATGCGTGAGTCGTCGACGGTGTAGATTGGAAAGTGCCATTTTTACATTTTGCGTACACAAGAGACGAGGAAAGGGACGGGAGGTAGATCATACAGAAGAAACTCGACTCTCTGTGTCATAACCTTGTACGTCGAGATTCGCCCCAAATACACAATAGCCAATTTAACCGTCTATTACCTCCAACAAAAACATGACATACCTTTTGACTCTAATCCTTAGACGATGAAGTTAAGTAGTCGATGATCTTCGTACTATAGTCTATGTAGTGATCTGTGTTATATTAGAATAAGGGAGCACAAATCTGTGCAATTTCATATCAGTCCTGATATGAGCCATATAGCGAACCATTAAGGACAGTGTTTTTTTCCACACAATCTTCATGTTCAATAATATGAAAAAATGGAAATATGAGAAGACAAGTTTTCAATTTATTTGGCAGGTATCTCTAAGTGTTCTGTAGTTGTATATTCAACGTCCAAATGCAAGAAATTCCACTCCATGTGAATACAAAAGTTCTTCCTTTGGAAAGAACTTTTGTATCGTTTAATTGTATCGTATTTTCAGACTTGTGAGGACAAAATTGATGTAAAAAATATATTGAGAAATATAATTCGACCAGAAAGATGCAAGACGAAAAAGCTGTATTCATTTCATCTTGGTTGGTTAAACCATGATAGGGTATAAACGCTTGGTGATATACTTGAATGTCGAGAATGACAAGATACGCCATATATGTGAATGTATCATATCGTTCCAAGTGAGGAGTACGTTATTTTACGAATATACACATGATAACAATCGCCGTGGATTATGTGGTCAAGTGCATGTGTTAAATGTTGATCCTTCTGCTCAAGTGACATGTTACACAAAAAGAGGATGATTATGAAAGTGGGGGTTAGCCAGTTTGATATCTAACCTTGGAAGGTTTCATCGGGGTACTGTAAGACCAGAGGTTTTGCTTTACAATTGGTCCCTGATGCAATTTCGTGACAAAGTGGAAATGGGCGCTGACATATGATCAAATGGTGATCGAATGGAGGGGGTGGGGGGTAGATATGCGAACCGCCAAAGAAGGAGGCGTTGCCACGATCGTCTGCAGAACATCTGCTTCGCGGGGTTACGCTAACCTAACCCCAATGATAGAGCAGAGAATGGAGGTATTTATGAATGGAGATGGGAGCATGGATTGATTGATTGGGCTCTTAGGACCAGAGAGAGATCTTTTGCCTGAGTTCTACTACACGCGCGCTGGACGAATCTTGTCAGGAATAGGCCTAATCGACGACCAACAGCTGGTTCTTACACGTACAGAAGTAATCGAACGGGTGATCTCCGTCAGATCTCATGTGCTGCGTGTATAGCTACGACTACTGCTGCTGGTCCTACTCGCAAGAAAGAAATGTATGATGATTGCCGTGCCTTGCCTTGCCTTGCCTTGCCTTGCCCTGCCCTGCCCTGCCCTGAATTCACAGCAGCAGCAGCAGCAGCTACTACTTGCTTTTTCAATTATTTGAGAGCGAGCGAGTGAGAATAGTGTGAATCTGCTGCTTCAGTGGCTCTCGGCGGGGCTCGCCGAAATTGGATCGGGAACATGGAGTTGTTGATGGGGATTCCAGTACTACAACACCCGGTGGACAACAACGTGGAGTAAAGTCCATCTCAGATCTCGTCTCGCATGATCTCGAGCACGACATGCGCTATCCCCAATTTTGAGGGGAGCGAGCCTCTTGTATCGAGCACGAAGGCACCACAGTGAAGGCGCCGGTGTAACTCCTCATTCTTTCACATGAGAGCGAATGAATGAGCGAGGCAGCGAGCGAGCGAGCCCATGTCGCCCCTCTGGCCCCTCTGCCTCGCGCTCTTGCGAATAATAAAACTCCATCATCCCCATTCAAGGAGTAGTTATTCGAGAGGTTATCTTTAGCAATCGGCTGCAATTGCTCGCCTTGCAGCTTTTCTGGCTCCCAGCGTCGTCCAACTTTCTCGGAACTTGCCTCCACTTTCAACTCGCGCCTCTAACTTCGATCCGTTTCAGCGAACCGCGAAGTGGGTCCATCCATCCCTCCCTCCCTCCCTCCATCAAAGTGCTCGCCATGCGGTTGGTCGTTGGTTATTGCAGATGAATGCAAGCAAGCAAGCAAGAGTACACCCTACATGCCCGCCTCCCCCCTCCCCCCTCCCCCTCCTCGTCCGCGACATTATCATTTGCGCAGATTTTTCCGCTTCCGAGTGATTGAGGCCCCCGAGAAAATATACGAAAATAACGAGCTGAAGATCGCTCCCCCTCCCCTCCCCTCTCCTCTCCTCTCCTCTCCTCAGCCCCTGCCCCCCTGCTCTGCTAAGCCCTGCCCCCTCAACGTACACATACTCCGCGCCTCTCGGCTCGAGACAGCTGCGGCTGTATCTACTGCTGTACTGGCCAGTGAGTCCAGTCTCCCTGCCCTGCCCTGCACTGCCCGCCAGCCAGCCTCTGCCGGCCTGCATCTATGCTACTTTACGAACACCCAACTATAAAAACTATTTATCCTTCCTCTCTCTCTCTCTCTCTCTTCTCGCTCTGATCCCAGACTTTTCCCTCCGCCTTTCTCGCCAGACTACCGGTAGCTACGGGCAGATAGTGCAGCAGCAGCAGCAGCTAGGCAGGCAGGCAGGCGAGGGGGAGGGAGGGGGAGGGGGAGGGAGGGAGAGGGCGAGGGCGAGAAGAGGAGGCTCGAATGATGAACATCATACAGTACTGTACTGTACTGTACAGGACCTACCGTAAGAGAAAGGTGGACTTGAAGGCTGTTCGGAGGGCGAGCATGGAGGCAGGCTGGCCAGCCACCCTGCGCCGAATTAAGGGCATGGCGGGGACCTTCTGGGTTGGGTCGGGTCGGCTGATTCGGCTCGCGGCTCGCGGCTCCCGGCTGCATCTCATCCGTTTGTTGCTTCCGGCCTGCCCGGAGGAGGAGGTACCGAGGCAGAGGAGGGACGGGGAGTGTTTGTTTAGGCCGACTTTACGTTGCCCAGGTTCCCAGCCCCAACAGGGCCTGGCGCCTAGCGCTGCCCCTGACGCAGTTGGCACGTACCGCGCCCGTCACCCGGTGACGTAATCTCATCTAAACTCAATGAGAATTTCCGCGAGTATCTTCACGAGCCTAGACCTGCCCTAGGCCTGGGCCTGGGCCTGGGCCCTGCGCGCTCGGGTCAAGGCCTCGGGCGGCCTCGGCACTTCGGTTCCATATCGCTTCACCTCCTCGCGCGCACCTCTGCAAATTACAGCGGGCCATTTTGTCTCTCGTTGCATATTCTCCCTCTGCCAGATGCTGTATTTTCCGCAGCCATTTCACCGCCCTGCCCCCTTCTCTGTCTGGTCCAACCCGACCCTACTAATCCACACCCCATCACGTACTAATGGGCGACCCCCAGCTGCTAGGGTGCGGCTAGGCTCCCATATTATCTTAATGGGCAAATGTTATCGTTCACGTGGAATGAAACAACAAGTTTAGACTTTGTCACAACTCGTTTAACTTGTTTAAACTCCGTATAATTATCATGATATTAGAAGATCAATTGAAATACAATTTTTTTTATAAAAAACATGTGAATTGTCCAATCTATAGTTTTGTGAGAAAATTCTATTTCGAACGTAAATATTTCATCTTCAACAACATTCCATTAAAATGAATGAATGCAGAGATTTAATTCTTTCATTCTTTCAGCTCATAATTACACAAACATATTCAGTATATATGAACGTTGTCATGCCTAGATCCTCTCTTGGACTGGGAAGAATAAAACGCAAGATGTTTTTAACTTTCTTCAAAATACAATCAGACGACTAAAATGTAACCTGGTGCCAACAATTACAAGTAAGATTTTGTTTCTTTGGTGATACAAGCCGGTATCTTAGACAGAAATATTTCGTGTACCGTAGAAGGTGTCCATGGAATGCATATACTATTTTCTTGTATCTTCACTATTAATCATTGGCAGAAAAAAAATTGTGTACTCTACAGAGCGAACGACTGAAAAAATGACGAAAACTATTCAAGCCAAGAAAACTAATACTTCCCATTTCCTTACTGATTTTCTACCCATTATATAAAACAAAACAGATGAGGACTCAATGCCAAGCAATAATGAATAATCTGAGTCATCTTCCAGACCGAAACACTTCGTAAGCTTTGTAAACTTGTCGGTTTACGTTGTGTTCACCTCACTACAATTAGTGTCATTGACAGGGATCGAGAGGTGCACAAGCGGCGAAGGAGGCTTGGGAAGGTATGCAACATGGGCCGAGTTCTCAGGATTCATGATTTGTCCTGGAAGTGAACGGTGACTGCGGGTGTGGAGTGGGCAGAGGGCAAGTGTTGCTCCCTTGACTCTCTGCTACATTGCGAAGGGCAGTAACCGCCACGTGTGTGCAACTTGTCGAATTCGGAGGCCGAAGCAGACCCACGCTGCTCACATGTTCGTGTCAAGCAGTAGTGCTCATTCATAGTTCAACCCGGAGTGTCGATTATTGGTCCAACATACCCGTTCTCGATGACGGACTGAACATCAGATCAGGGGAGTGAGGACCGTCGAGAGAGGATTCTAGAAAAGCGGTGGTTTGCTTTCACGGACTGGAGTCGGAACAAGCTGAGTTCTGATGGCAAATCGGAACCAGACGTCATGATAATCTTCAACGCAAGTTTCAAGAAGCAGCTTCCTTCCAAACAAAATCATTCGCTTGGAAATAAATATATCTCGGCTGCTTTGCTGTCTACTCAAATCATATCCTGCGGAATAGATTTCGGCTGGATCCCCTGTTCCTATCGTTTGTGTAGTAGACAAGAGCGGGTCGTAACCCTGGGAAAAGTCGTCGAGGAGATGGCGAGGCAGCGAAGGGCTACCTGCTCAGCGAATATGGAACATGGGCACCGTGACGGAGTAGGCATGGCGTTCAAAGAGTGCCGCTCACCTCATGCTGCAAATGGCAGCTAGAAGAGAACCCAGAGAACCCAGAAACATCAGACTGGCGACGAGGGAAGAGGAGATAAGAGACGCAAAAGAAGCGGAATTAAAAACAGAGAAAACAGGGCCTTCATAATGGTGGAGAGATGGGGGCCGAGGACGAACGCGCTTTCTCGAGTCACCGCTACGGGGGCAAGGAGCGACGAGGTAGACCGAGGAGAGAGAGGCAGAGGCGAGCGGAGGCGAATGAATGGACGAGCGAGCGGGCCATTCATTGACTGTCTGGGTGCGAGGGAGGGAGGGAGGGCGGGGGTCGTGGGAGAAGAAACGCCGGGTCTTGATCCGATCCGCAGGATCGTCCACTCGCCCGGTCGCGTCGGTGGAGGGAGGGAGCGAGGGAGTCCGCAAGAAGGCCTGGACTGCGGGCAGGGGCAGGCGAGGGCGGAGGGGGGACGTCATAAATCCCCGTGCGCGCGCATCTACCAACCCGACAGGGCCGCGCACACGAGGGGTGCACCACAGCGGTAGCCGCGCCAAGCACGCAAAACGGCTGTCGGGATGCCGCGCGTTTTGATTGTATCCGCACTGCCCGCCAGGACGACAGTCGACGGACGGACGGACGGCGACTGCTAACCCGCACCTCGCCGCCGCACCTGTTCGGGTCAGGGCTGGGCTGGGCTGGGTGGTACAAGCGGATCGGGTTGGGCAAGCGAACTCCGGGTCGACTGCGGTCGCCGTCCGGGGCCAGTCCGGTCTGTGGGGAGGAACTGACAGCAGCCGGTCGAGGCGAGAAAAGGGCCAGGTGGGACGGGGAAGGCTGCCACCCGAGGAAAAGGGCGGCGCAGTCTCTCGCTCGCACGGTGAGCGAGCCTCGATGCGACCGGCAGAATTCAAGGTCACATGTCACCTCGGCGCCTTCTCCAGCCCCCGCCCCCGGTGTCGCGGGGCGGGCGGAAGGGAATCCGGGCCCGGGAACACAGACAAGACACGGAGCGCGGTCACAGATTCCCACCTCGCGGATGTGGACAGTGCGCTCTGACAGGACGCACAGGGACCGACGGCACATCCAGGGGCGCGACTCCTCCTCTGGATGTCGTCGTCCGTTTGTCGTGGCAGCGGCACGAGGCCGCGGCAGCGGCAGCAGCCGCGGTGGGTTCGCGCACGGCGCCCGGCCAATGGCAGCCGTCCGGAGTGTAGCCCGGGCCGCCAAGGTTCCCGGAGGGTTTTGGCGGCCCCGGAGCGGGGCTGCTGGCGACCCCACCAGCCGGGGGGTGGGGGTGGGGGCTGCAAAGATTCGCTCGAGATGGCGACGGAGACGGGACGTCGGCGCCAAAGCGATGGCCATCGCATCGGGGCCTCCGGGGGAACTGCAGCGTTTCTCCTCTTTCCCCCTCTCGCCCTCCCCGTCTCTCGCTGACACGGAGCCTGCCTGCTTGCAGGGAGCAGGGAGCAGGTAGCAGGGCGAAGGCGGCCCACCCGGACGGCATCAGCCCGGCCGGCCTCGCCTCGCCCCGCCCCCTTCCCTCTCGCTCGCCAGCACAGAAGGAGGACGAGGAGGAGGAGTACGTGAGTTTACTCTTGCTTTGCCCCGCCTGACTTCGTCCGTGGTTGGGCAGGGGTTGGGCATGGCATGGCATAGCATGATGGTGATGGTGATGGCGATGCCATGTCGAGAAAGCATCGCGTCTGCGAGAGCCCGGCAATAAAAGTGGGCGCGATGTTTCTTTCCTCGCCCTCCTCTTCTTCAAGGCGCGGGCCCCGGAAAAGTCGCCGGCGTACGATCTGGCCATGTCCGTATGATGAGGAAAGGGGGCTAAAGGCAGACGAGCGAGGGGGGCGGGGGTGACGGGGGAGGGCCCGGCTGCCACCGCCGGCCAGCCAGCCAGCCAGCCACCGAGCCAGCCTCTCGAGAAGCACTGTGCCAATGCGATCGTTCGCTCGGCACACCGACAAGGCCTCGTCGCGCAGCGCAGTCCGTCTTCGCTCCGCCACGGCAGGCCCGGCCCGGCAAGCCCAAGCCCAGGCCCCGAAGACCCGGTGGATGAGGGGGTGGGGCGACTGCATATTATAGAATTTCCAGGCAGGCGGGCCGGCCGGCGGCGGTGCCTGCGCTGCGAGTGAGACAAGCAGCCCACCGGTTTCGTTCTGCCTCCTCTCATCTCATCCCCATCCCCATGCCCATCCCATCCCCCGTCCGCTGGCCTACATTCCATCCGGCGGAGGGGAGACCGGGCTTGACCAGGGGCCAGCAGACGACTGGGCGGAGTGGACTGACTGTTGCCAAAAGCGTCGATCGGATCCACCGTCGCTTTTGTCTCGCGGCCGCACGCGAGCTTATGCATGGCATGCCGCTGCATGGCCTCGCATGGATGGGGGGGAAGGGGAGGCGCGCGGGTAATCAATCCGCATGCACACGGTCCCGCCAGGGGCCATACATTCCGAGCCTCCCTTGCTCGTGATGCAAGTTGCCACCCCATGCCGATGGCCATGTGATGCGCTCATGAGCGTCTGACCGCGACACCTCGCGACGGGGGGCGACCAGAGGCGGTCAGAGAGGGAGAGAGATAGAGAGTGAGAGAGAGGGGCAGAGAGGGGGGAGAGAGAGATAGTGTCATGGGGGGCGAAGCATCAATGCAGCTTCTGCGTCGCGGAATCATGGCCCGCCGCGTGGACCGATGGCATTGTCGGCGCTTTCCAGGCCCTGCCCGGCCCGCCTGCCCGCCCGGCCCCGAGTGCTAGGGTTAGGGTTTAAGGGGCACGGGGAAAGATATTCGAGCTGAAGATCTGATTCCGTTCTTCTTCTTCTTCTTCTGCTTCTCGCCCAACAGCAACGAAACTGTCGGGATGTGGAGAGCTCTGTTGTGTTCTGTTGGGATTCCGCAGGGGAAGAAAGGGGGGCTTGATGTTGGCACTAACCCAACCGTAATCAAAAGAGGCGGGCGGGGGCGAGGGGCAGCAGCAGCAGGCCGACGACGACGACGACGACGACGAGGCCCCGGGCCAGCCGTTTTTCTTCACGTCGGGGCCTGGGTCAGACAAGTCGCCCCTCCGGAAGCCGTAGACCCGTCGGTAACCTCCAGCTACCGCCAGATTATAAGGGATGACGTTGTTCCCGCGTTGAATGAGCGTGTGGGGCCGCACGCGGCTGGGTGCGCGCTCCGTACTCCTCTTTGACGCAATGGCGGCGCGCTAACTGGGCGGGCGGGCTGTTCCTCCGGTTCCGGACCAGCGTCTCGCGGCTCCCGTCCCCGCTTTCGCCCGTCTGCGGTCCGTCAAAGGGCAGCGCGTAGGAGGCTAGGCGCAGGGCAGCGGCTGCTGCTGCCACTTTTGGTTTTGTGGCAGAATGTGCGTGCTTCGGGGTCGGAATGATCGGCGAAAGTACTGTACACGATGTGTGCTCAACACACGCGTTTGCTCCATGCTCTTTCTTGCCTCCCCCTCCGCCCCCCTTCCGCTGTCTGTTGTGCTGCAGAGAGCATGCTGCTGGTACAAGGGCCTCCCTCTTCTCGCCGTCCCGCCCCGCCCCGTCTGCTCTGCTCTGCTCTGCTCGCCTCAGAATCTAAGCAGCGAGCGGAGGGGACGGTCCATCCATCCATCCACCGGTAAAACCGACACGCCTACATAACTACATTCATTCCGGGGCCTTATGATAGGCGCTGCTGCTGCAGATGGTCGGTAGAAGTAGTGGTGAGTAGTAAGTAGAGCGAAATGAAATTTCCTCTCTTTTGGGGAGACTAAAGAGCTATCACTGGTCATCATTATAGTGCTTGACTTGGGTCTATCTACAACACCCAGCAGGTCTTCCACCAATTTCCGGTGGTAGATGAGCAACTCTTTCTCTCTCTCTCTCTCTCTCTCTCTCTCGCCCCTCCCTCCTCCCTCCCTCACAATGAGGGATGAGAGCCCTCTAATCTACTCCTCCTGTCCACTTCCAATTCCGCTTCATTTCTTTTCCTTTCTCGCTGCCTGCCTTCCTGCCTGCCTGCCTGCATCGAGTTATGACCCACAGTCCGTCAGAAAAGGAGAAGACCAGACCTTTCGCTGCGCTGTGCAAGGCCGTGACCCAGACTGAGTTTGTTGAAACGGAATGGTCAATCATGGACAAGCCCCTTCGAGTGGTTTACCCCGCGAGAGAGAGTCCTCCACGGAATGACTCCCTCTCTCTGTGGCTGCTCAGGCCTCGCTCGACCGAGCAATATGGTGCTGGAACTCGCTCCCCACCCCTTATATCCCGAGATCCTTGGAGGCAGTCCGTCCGGCTTTCCGTCCGTCCGTCCGTCCGTCCGCCCGCCTGTTCATTCCTGGCCTTTGCTTGCTCGCATTCATGCCAACAGGGGCTTAAGTGAGAGCGGCTAGCGTCCTCATGATCCCGCCCTCGTATGCCTACGACCAGGCGGAGGCGAGGCGAGGCCGCAACGGGTATCGCTAGTGGGGGCACTTGGGGGGGGGGGGGGGGGGGGGGGGTGGTACTACCGTAGTAGTACTGTAGGGCACACCATTCACGCCAGCACATTGAAGACGACGGACTTATGCGCCATGAGAGCAGCATGTCAGCGCCACCTCATCGCAACCCCACACCCCACCCCCTGCCCTCCCCGGGGGGTATCTTCTCTTTTGCTGCGTTCTTTTCTTCCTGCCTTATCTCCAGTGGCAGACCTTCAGCTAATGGCACGGACCAGAAGCTCTAAATGACGAATTTAATGGCTCATCAGCGGTCAGATCCGCTTATGCTGCCCCGAAAAGCTCTGGCTGCTGAGGCGACCCGGTCTCCGATCTTCGCCTCCTATCTTCATGTTCTCTCTCTCCGCCTGCCCTGCCCTGCCCCTCCGTCTGCCACTGTACGCATTAGCCCCGAGGCCAGGCCGGGCAGCGGCAGGGGCAGGGGCAGGGCAGGGCAGGGCAGGGCGGGCGAGTTTTTACATTCCTCTCTGTGGATCCGCAGGAATTTCTTGCACATCTCATGCTGGCTGTGGCACCTCTGCTCTCAGCCCTTTCGTCCCATCATGCGACGTTTGGCACATGATAACCCCTCGGAGAATGATTTGTTGGCACCTGATTCAGACCAGGACGCACGCTATCCTATCCCAACCAGAGTTTGTTGTGTTGTGTTGCTCCCACTGGTCAAACCCCCGTCCCCCGTCCCCCGTCCCATCCCGTCCCATCCCCATGTCCGTAGCCAGCCGTCTTGCCTGCTGCCCCCACTCCATTCCCCCCCACGTCGTTTCCCATGAGCTTGCCAGTGCCAAGCCCTCTTTCCTTTCCATAGGGCCTGTCATGCCCCATCTTACCCCAAGCTCACAAAGATCTCTCCCCATCAAGTCAAGTCAATACAATCATCTCTCTCTCTCTCTCTCTCTCCCTCCGAAATGCACATTCATACTCATGCCTCCACGCAACCTTTTCCTCCTCCTGAAACGGATGAAATCCGAGTATCCTATCAACATGTTGCACCCAAAGAGGACGAGGACGAAACCATCTACTTCCCGTCCCCATAATGGTTTTTACGATTTACCGGGGCTTCATTTCTAACGCCTCGGCCCAAGCTGGCAGGCGAAGCCCGGGGTAAAGAGCTAAATCAGTACATCCACTCGCGTCTTTTCGTGCCCTCACGCAACTTCGCTCTCGACCTACTAGAGTTGGGCAAGCCATCAAGAGTTAGGCGCGGCAATGCAAGACCCGATCTAAGGGCCGGCCACATGACATTATGGCCACACATCTCGCCTTTGCGATGACGAGCTATGGCGGAACGGATTTAGATATGCCTACCACGAGGAGTGCTAGTGTATACCAGCTGCGTGTGCCGTAGTACTGTTGTACTCGTATAACAACTGTTGGGGGCAGTCACGAGTAAGTTTGCGTGCGTGCTTCATCGCTGCGACAATGACAACGACGACTCGCTGCTCTTGGCAGGCAGCGACTCAGAAGCTTCAGCATCAGCAGCAGCAAAGCAAGGCAAGGCAAGGCGAGCCATGCGAAGGTATGGTGGTGGTCAGGTGAGGCGGGGATGGGGATGGAGATGCGGATGCGGATGGGGCAGCGGCAGGGGCAGGCAAGGATGAAAATGAGGTCCTACGACCCATCAAATACATAGATAGCCCTCACGGGTCGCAGGCGGGCTTGGCCTCTACTCGGCTCGGTATTGGTATTGGTTCCTCCCCCCAGAGACTCTAAATGCAACAACGCAAGGCACCGATGTTGTAATCGAGAGAGAGAGAGGGAGAGAGAGAGAGAGAGAGGCAGGCCCAACCTTTGCTTTTTCTAATCATTAATATGGAGGCAAACCGAGTCTTTCCAAACATCGGACTTCGCGTTGAGCTTGACTCCAGCGAGGGAGGGAGGGAAGGCGGGCAGGAAGGCCGGCAGGCAGGCAGGCAGGCAGGAGGTAAGGATGTCGAGGACGCTGCAACAAAGTCTTGTGGGTTCCACACACTCTCTCTCCACACCTGGTGTTCGACACAGGTATAACCGAAGACCTTTGGTGTGGACCCTTGCCCTCGCCTTACCCCTGACGAGCATTAGACCTACTGCGGTACATGCAGCCGGTGACATTGTTACTGACCCAGGTGCGACAACGACCACTTTAATGTATTAAATTGCCGTCCACTACCCTCCTCTCTCTCTCTCTCTCTCTCTCTCAAATACACACAATTTCAACAAGTTGTAGTAGTAGTGGTGGTGGTGGTGGTGGTGGAGGTAGTAGGCCCAAATGCAAGGCGCGCTCAGAGTCTCTAAATATCTGGGATCGAATCTTTTTGCTTTACTAATACTGTGCGAACAATTCTCGAAAAAACTAATCAATAGTGAAGCGCTGGATTGACCGAGAGCGACAATCCGGGTCGATCTCGCCGTTTCGACGTCGATGTATGCGAGGCTGAGTGCGAGAGAGAACGGGCTTGGCATGCTCAGCACTCTCGAGCTTTCTTCCTCGTTGGGAGGCGATGCCGTTGATGGCATCGTCCTCCGCTCCATCTCCATCTCTGCCTCTCTTGTCTTCTGGAGAGTGAGTGAGAGACGAGTCTTCTTCTTCCTCTTCCTCTTCCTCCCTCGCTCGCTCCCTCGCATCGGAATTCGTACAAATACAACACCCCTTCCCGAGGAGCATTTCTTTGTCCTTGATGACATTCAGATTTGGCGACCACTGTATGCATCCATCCGTCCGTCGTCGTCGGGTCACGGCCTCAGCGAGCGATGGGCGACTTTTCTGCCTTTCTTTATGTGAGAGAGGATCATAATCCTGATCTCTCGATGGCTTGAGATTATCGCAGGCGCAAATCTGCGAGCCAGAAGACGACGGCATTGTTCTCCTCGCGGGAATATAAAAAAGCCTGATCCCGTGGACTGCAATCCGCGACACCATTCGCTCCCGCCCGCCGGCCGAGTGTGGTCGCCAAGCCAGTAAACGAATTGTCGACGATGGTGGAAGACCAAGTGGTTGGCAGGGTCGACGGGCCAGGGCCGGGGAGGCCAAATCTTCTCTCCCGATACAGTGTAGCGATTGATTTTGATTTGACGCCTAAATCTTCTTCTTCTTCTTCTCGGACGAGCCGCCCACTTTGGGTGGCCTCTATGGAGTGCCCCTTTATGGAGCTACCACTGCGCAGCGCAGGCTGCCACTTTGAGCTCTAGATACGTCAACACGTAGCAGCTTCATCAGCTTCATCACCTTCCCGGCTCTGCTGCTGTGAAGGCGCAGCTTTTGTTGCGCACATCGAAGTCAGTCGCCTCCCTCCCCGCTCTCTCTCATGCGAATCTCATCTCATCTGTGCATATCCTGCTCAGCTCTGTCCGCTACCTGCTTTGGACTCAACTCCTCCCCGACCGACGACTGAGTTGCAACTCTTCTGCTGCCACTTTTCCATACCATGCTCGTCGTCGGTACGATCGACATGTGCGCGTGAGGGGTGGGTCGATTTCCGCGAGATTCTGACATGCGCGGGTTCTGATCTCGCCCAGTTTCACCTCGAACCTGAGCTGATGGGCATACATCTCTCGAATTGATCGTGGCCAATTTGCTCTCGAACTGAATTATTCGATGGATGGATGGATGGATGACCTTCGACTCGTGCCTGGAACTTGTGGCTCTCAGGGCAGAGGACTGGACCACCGGACCGCCTGCGTGACCATGCGAACAACCATGCGAGGCCCCGAAAAGCAGGCGCATTTCACCACATACTTCGATCCGAGATCCGCTCGATCGAGAGTCGTATCTCAAGTCTTCGAAGGCACGGTACCAATTCCGTACGCGACGACATTTCTCGAGCGCCATGACTCGACCGTGCTAAAAAGCCAGAGCGGTCGAGAATTCTCATGACAGTGCACCATATGCATCTGCCCTGACCCGACGATTGAGTGTTTGGAGCTCAATTTGATCTGATCGAGACTATCCATCCCATCGGCACCTGCTTTCCGTCTGACACGAGCCTCAAGTAACCGAAATTTAGACTCTTCAGATCAGCCTCCAAAAGGCATTAGGCCCAGGTTTCGTGCCCTTCTTCCTCGAGAGCAAATGCCTGTCCCGATTGGATTGGGCGAATTCTACGGCGGCTTCCGGCGGCACTGATTGATTCACAGCACGCAATTCAATGCGACAAATCTGGCGATTGTGCTGAGGTCCGGTCCGACCCTCGTCCTTAATCTCATGTGAGCGAGAGTTCGATTACTGCCGCTGATAAAACACGCTTATCTCGAATGCTATATCATTCAATCTGGCGACATTCAGATCCTCGCCCGATTCCTTGACAACTGCGCAGTCAAATACCTCCGTTCGCGTCCACTGAATCGGAATGCAGCCCGGTTCTATTTTGCTGTCGATTGAAATTTTGTTTCTCTGCCGATGGGGCGTTTCCAGAAGCAGAGACGAACGCGCTTGGCCTTCGCCAGGAGCTAATCTGGGCATATTGAGAGATTGGTTTGAGATATGTGGGCTTGGAATCGGAGTGCGCAAAATTCACATTAAATTCTAATCAGAACGACGACGACGGCGGCGGCGGCGGATAGACAAAGAAACCCGAGGCCGGCCACTGCTGCTGCTGCTGCTGCTGTACCGTCGCGAAAGGAAGCTTAAATGAGCGAGCGAGAAATGTCAGAAGGATTAGTGATACGAGCAGAGCCTGCAGACTCGAAGTTGGACACTGCGTGCGCAAAGCATCAATGGCAAACGCAGCAAGAGTGACGAATTACACTTCTCATAATAATCTGAACTCATCAGTGCGTGAGTGACGGCCATCACCGACATCTGAAACTAGCACTGGCAGGCTGTGAGCCGATCGCTGATGATGGGCCTCTCGTCCTTCGACAACCCCTCCTCCTCCTCCTCGAAAGCTCGTGGACCCAGACGAACAGGTCACAAGGTCCACGGCCATCTGCACCTCCTCGTACCTCAAGCTCATGTTTTCTCCCCCGAGATATTCCACCGGCGAATTCATTCCAAGGCCAAACACGATGATTAGAAATTATGGGTTTCAATTATCAATCGGCATCAAGTCAATCACGATATAAAGCGGTCGTCAGGTCTAAGCAATGCACATCATTGCTGCTGCTGCTGCTGCTGGTCTGATGCCAATGCGCTACACTCCTCGTCGTCGTCTATGAGTCCGTGCTTCTGGTCAACGTCCTGAGAAATTGCTCTCTCCATGGCCGATGTTGTGTCGGGGACAAACAACTCACGAAGCGCATGGCGACTGGTCATCATGCGAATCCAGCACGGGCTCATGCCATCGAGCTTTCGGCGATGCTGCAGAACGCGACGATGACTTCATGCCTGTCACAGGCGGCGCCGACACGACCTTTCACCGTCAATCCATGGCGGCCACAAATCGCGACTGATGCTACGGGCGTGAAGGGCGGGGGATGGCCTCTGCCATTGCCTGGTGCGAGTGTGAGAGAGAGAGAGTCTGTAAGGAAGGCAGGTGATTGTCAGCAGAGGCTGCTCCAGATTTCCACTGCTGCTGCTCTGTTTGCAGAGTCCGAGATCTGAAGCCAAGTCAAGTGGCGACCGAACGAAGTCAGTGCCATATCCAATCTTCGGTCTTTCCGGTAAGCAACATGTGCATGCTTTCTCCGGAATCCCAAGGAGGGCCTGGCGGGTTCCGAGACATTTCCTCGAAAAGCAATAGCATTCCAATGTGTCGTCTCCAAGGCCCTCCCGATGCCTCAAATGTAGCCGTCTCCAGATCGTCGCTGTCAAGGCGTAGTTCTATTCGAGAAGCCAGCCATGTCTCCTCACCCATGTGTTGCAATGTTCATGTGCAAGGCGTTCCTACTCCAGAGAATGTCCTTGTGCTTCGAGAGAGAGGCGTTTGAACGATTGCTGCGGCATCGCTGATCCATACGTAATGCACGTCGGAATCGCTCAGAATCTAGTCTGGCTACGGTCATCAGTTCTCGTTTGCCTCGGAGAATGCGGCAGGAAGACGATCTATTCAACCGGTTTGCATTTCTCACAAGCTGCTGGGATTCGCTAACTAACTTCGTGCATTTTGGTCGGGGAACAAAAAGTCGACCAGATTCCTCTCCCGAGTTCCTGCCCTGAAGCGGTACTGAAGCAGGAAGTTTCTGTAAAAAATCTGAAATTTGAGACCTACTCGGACTCTGCCATGGCCTTGAAGTGAAGATGCATAATGATTCGGCGCAGAACCTACTGCATTCAGGGCTTAAATTTTACGATTCGCAGACGCTAGAATCCGAACGACACATGCAGATCTATTTACAGGAAAGAGCTCGGTAGGCAAGACGAGCAGGGGTCAAGCTCCTTGACAAGCAGAAACCTCACCGATGATAGTGTGGACCATGGATAGGAAAAGTATCTAACCTGCCATGGCCTCCTTCCTCAACCTCCAAATACGCCATACAATCCTCAACTCTCACTACTTGCTCCCATCTCAGAAAGCTCTACTTCTGTGGGCTTACGAAGATCCATTCTTACAAGCTAGCATTCGAGAATCAAAGATCATTCGCTTCATTTGCTTTCGACTTCACAAGTACCGACCGACAGCCACTCTGGTAACAAAATCCATTCTTCTTGTTCACGTTCACGAATCCCAGGAGTCGTGAGGGCCAGGGCCAGGGCCACCGGCACGCACGAGAAACAATGGCAACGAATTTGTAAGAATTTGTGAACCACATTAGTCGGCAAATGGACTCCAACGCAGAGCAGTTGTTGTTGTTCCACTGGAATCTTGAGCTGAGTCCAAGCAGCTCTCTTCCTTCAACCTGTGGCAACACAATCACACAGAGGCACCTGGTACCAGAACAAATTCTCATCCGATGCGATGTTAAAACTGGGAGGTTGTAGCTTTGCTCCTTGCCGTCATTAATTCTACAATAGACTACGACATTCAACAGACCATAGAGCTGGGCTTGCTTGCATATGTCATCGTGACGGACCTATAACTGAATACGGGGTTTTCTGTAGAGAGCTGAAGCCTCGTCGCCAGAACTCGACCTCCATTGAAGAGCTACTAAGAGCAACAAGTCAGCCTGATCAAATTTAGCTTGCTAACAAAAAACCATTCCGGGGACTTGCACTCTAAAACATATGCAGTTGATTAAAAGGTTTCGGGTGTACGAGCCTGAGAGCGATGGTCAACCAGAAGAGCGAGACTGAGGATCGTGAAGGCAGCCTCCGCATCTGCTAATAAACAACTCGGAGCACGAAGTCCAAATTTAGGCATGGTGGAAGAATTCAGCTGAAAGCGAAACATCTTCACGCTCACAATCCAGGTGACCCTACTGAAGCCCACAAGACTGACCATAAAGTACAGCGACTGAAGTGATTTTGTCTCAACTGCACGGTTTTGGTCGTTGTCGTGCTTGACCAGATTGCACTCGGAGAATTCGTACTAAAATGTGAGATTTACTTGCCAAATTTGTAGCTGATCTTCTTGCACATCGTTCCGAGGTCCCTCTAGAGCCTCTCGAACTCGTCTCCTGCGCTCTGACCAGCTCCAAACAACAGCCTTCGCACACATGTTTCCCTTCCTCGGTCGGGAGGAACAGAACTCCCGAGCCCAGGAACATGAGCTGGCATGATCGACATAGACTTTGGCAGAAACAGACCTGCAATGTGAAGTGACGTTCAAATTCGAGAACTTTGCTCCATGAGGCATAAGAAGTCACTCGCCCCGACCGATTACTTGTCCGTGGCTGCTCCTCGTCCATGAGCATAGATCAAATCAGATGCTGCCACGAATATATCGACCTTCATTCCACCTCTGCTCGAGAATCATCATCCTCGTTAGAATCTACATCGAACAGGAAATCATTTGGTGCTCGATCCCATTGCTGGAAGAAAACGCGTTACAGCTTTACCGTGGAGAAGAAAATCGAGACGGATTTGGACCTCACCTTAAACCTTAGGTCTAAGACATCTGTACGAACGAGTCGCACCGAGAGAGCAACAGCATGAAACGAGAAGTTGAGGCTTGTTGGAGGTCATGTCCTACGCCACACGCTTCGCTTTGTGGCCCACAACCATCACATCCAGACAGAGGTGCCGTGCTCCGGTGGTCCTAGAAGCCGTGTGCGCTGGTGGGACGTGGGGCCCCAGAATCAGAACCCCGTGGTGGCGGCAGCTGAGAAGGGTCGGCATGCTTTCAGAAACTAGAGCTGGCCCCAAATGTGTTCATGTGATTAGAAATCCCGCGTCGACGGGCTTGCTCTTCATATAATAACTAGCAGATCTCTGTCTGTCTGGCACTCGGGCAGCACTTTGGAGGAGATATGTGCGCACTAGATGCCAGTCCAAATGACGGCGCCTTCGTCTGGGCAACCTTCAAAAGCGTTTGGCCATGCCGAGCTCACGAAGCGCATGCCAGTACGCATCAATTGTTTACCGTGACGTCTCGGATTCACACTCCCTTGATCACTTGCCTTGCAGCAGGTAGAAATGTCATGCACATCGGAGAGCGAGCGAAGGCATTCCACAAGCTCTGAGCCAAAACAGAAGCCATAAGACTTAGCGTACACAGCACCGCAAGCAGATTCGAGGATCGTACAGCCCAGGCTCATGTATGCGGCTGCGTACGGCGTTGTTGGTAAATTGTTGACCTCCTGCCCTCCCGGACGCGGCACACTTGCCAAATTGATCTCACGAGCACTCATTTCGTCCGCTGGCATGAAAGAGCATTAAATTTGACGACTACGACATTCCGTTAGAAGGTCGATCACATACGGCTATACGAATTATCAGCGTTGGGCACATTTGTGGATGGATGTTCACGAGCAGCACTGTCATTCATTCGAGTTCATGTCCAGTTTATCCTCACTTTCACACTCGTTTACCTCGTGTCAATGGAAAGCAACTCCGGCTCCTCCACCCACAGCTTCTTCTTCTACTCTCGTGAACGCCACCCATCACGACAGTCGGCCACTGCCAGGAAGATAAATACACTGACATGAAGTATTTGCACACCAGTGCGATGCGAACTTCTGGTGGTCTCCTCGGGCACAGAGATTTGCTGTCGAGCATGAAATTGCTTTCGGTCACCAAGTTCGACTTCATACGGTTAGAAATGTGCATGACAGAAGTGCTGGGACCGAGACGAAGTAAATCTTGCTGCAGTCTACTTGAGCAGGGTGAAAGAAATCTTCGACCTCCAACCCAGACCCGGCACTCGAACACAGCTTTTGACAAAGTCATCCCCGCAATGTGTCTAGGAATGATTGGACAGGTTTGGGCGGTTTCACATCAACCTACAGAGACAAAAAGTCGAGTTGATGCAAGTGAACTTGAAGATTATAGAGATATGTGACGATGAGTTGACGGACAGGATGAAGTAATTTTTGCTCTACATTCTCTCTCTCTCTCTCTCATTCACTCCCTCACAGACGTAGGCCTTCCAGCTCACCATCTGGTCCATGGTCTGACTTAATGACGGATGAATGGCGGTGAAAGCAAGAGAGAAAGCGTGAACGTAAGACCCAATTGTATGGCAGTACAGTACAGATTTCACCGTCCATGTCAGGGAAGGAACAAATTCATGTCACAGGATTTGCGTACCAAAAAGTAGCAGCTGGACTGCGGTGTCATTGGCAATGTCTCAATGCTCGCATCTTTTTCTTTCCACTGTGTATGTTTTCCTGATTGTGCATCTACTTTACTACATTTGTGGCCAACCTTTGCTTGTACATATCGTTCACCATGAAAAGAACAGTCCACCGGAGTCTGCTGTGGTTCAGCATGCCACTCAGTTGTGGATCGGTGGGGCCCGACCTTTGTTCCTACTAATTCTGATATCGTGCAAACCTACTCTCGACCTTCTCATCACTCAGACACGTCCGAAGATTTGACTCACAACCTCAAGGAGTTACCTGCAGTAGAGATCAATTGCTCTCAGCAGCCATGAGCTCTGTCTGCTGGCAGTCGACTCACGGCATCCGATGGTCCACTTTTACCGAACATCGTTGGGCCTTGTCCAGTTCGACAAATTACTGACCTACCCATAGCCCTCGCATCCAAATAAGTAAAACCATTGCGCAGGTGGCGTGGGTATTTTTTGCTTTTTAAATGAGTATTTTTTATATGCAGAGTTCAGTAGCCAACAACCTAGTTGTTGTCATGTACTTCTCCAACTGTACATAAATATCTGAAGGCTCTTGGATTTCGACTGCTATTTTAATTGTCCACTTCTCTCAAGCCCTCGGAACGCACACAATCTGAGCCTAGGTTAGTCAGACTCAATGAAACATATTGCAACTGGATGGAGAACATCGATTCCTTCGTCTCTTACGAACTAGCTGAAGCACCTTCTGTGGTTAATTAACTCTTGATCCTGTGGCATGGAACTGCACCAACAATTTACAGTCATTTTCTCGGATTCTCCTGCAAGTGAATAATGGAGGTGCTATAAGCCTAGTCCTACACACGATTTATGGGACCCGACTCAACGAAGGAAGCGATGCACGCTGACCGTACTCGCATATGGTTTTGGTGTTGCGCATATGTTCACTTATTCATTTGATCATGAGACTAGCCTTTGAGCTCTTATCGTCTTGCCGGCAGATCCGATCAAAAAGTGCGCATGTCAGATTCGGAGGCCGTTTCGTTTGGTGATGGCGTCATGTTTGGATGCCCTTTCTAGAAGCCGGGCTGGCCTCGCATCTAGTCGGCTCCCCGCTGACTAAGCTCGTCGTTGCCATTGTTGTTGCGCGCTCCGACATGCCTGCCGCTTCTGGGCTTTGGACCCTTGGGAGCGACCTGCATTCGGCTGTTTCTTCCATTTTCTGAAAGTCTGCCATGCCAGTAGAACTCTGTTTGATTTCGAGAAGCCAGGACAGTTACCATAGTCCGGATTGGATCAGCCCATGGACGAGGACGTGGTCTCGGAATTCCCTCAACATCATGTTCTGTAGTCCAACAAAGCGCAGGTTGTTGGTTGGGGCAGATGTAAAATGGTGGGAGCTCGTTATACACCGGAGGGTACCACATCGTCGGCAAGGCTGGGATGGAGAGAGAGCGCAGTGGCCACATGTTACCGGATTGGGATTGGAGATGCATGATTACTCCTGGGCGACTGAATCGTCAAGCAAGTCACCAGGTTCATCATGATGTCCACGCGCCAACTGACAGATCCAAATTGGATTTGCAGGCCACGATCGGATTCATCGGAACAGGAGAATGGCTCGGAAAGCCTACCTCGGCTCAAAATAAGCTTTGTCTTGGCACTGCACCTCGGAGCCCGAATTAGCATGCACTTGCAAGCAGTCCCCATCCATTCTTCTCTCGCTTTTTTCTTGCAGCCACTGTTGCCCACATCGACTGCCAATGTTTAATAATTGCGCTGTCCCAGCATCAAAAGCCTAAGTAGCACATAGAGCAGAAGTTCTTCAACACAAGCAAAACCATGGCTTCCACATTACAACCATCTACAAAAGCTACGCTGACCACGTCCACTGAATTGTCCAATGTTCTTCGGACAGCTTAACACTTGGAAGCACTCGAATTTTCTAATGTCATATTTTCGTTGAGGAGTAGAACCAGATTGCGAGAACGAGGAAAGGCAAGGCCATGGCCCCAAAGAACTTGGCCATGGCACCAAGGCGAAGACAGTAGGAACATGCTCCATGACAACTCTCCTATCGCTCCGTCCGTATCCAATCGAATAGTCTCTCGAAATTATTATTTTCGCAAAATTTAGAGTTTTCACTGGTCTCTGATAACAATTAGAGATCTAGGTCGCATATCATAATACACGTGTAAAAAATTATCAAAGTCCAGCTGTATCTCTATTTAGTGCTCCATGTATGTACAATGTTTAGAAAACAAAGAGGTCTATATTATTGCAAGTTTCTTCATTTTTGCAGACCCTCGAGTGCTGGAATAAAGAGATTGTGTTGAGGCAACTAAAACAACAACAATAATTTGATACAACCTCGTCATCTACAGAATAGCTCTTATTAAGTTCTAAGCATTGTTTGCTTGTCGGACAAGAAGTTGCCATATTTCATGTTATGAATCTATATATATTTTCTCCACAAATTAATGGAAAAGGCATGCAATGTTTGACAATATAAATGACTATATGTATCAATCATTAAACAGAGCATATTGTCAAATTGGTGTAAATATTGCTTAATTATAATAATATTTATATGTGTAAAACATTATTTACGGATGAAGACTTATACGATTGACTTGTCAAAAGTATACTATTTTAGCAATATTTTATAATAAAATACTCGAAACATAATAGTAAATCATACCATCAACCAGACAATGCTTTTCTAGGATGAAAATCAAGATGATTAAATACAATCTGGGCTGGCGAGATTCTTAAAATTTTAACGGTATGTCTTTTCACAATTTTTCTACTAAAAATGGTTCATCAGTCAAAGAAAGTTTGTTGATTTTTTTGAAATGCATAACTTTTGAGTGAGAATAGATCGATATAAAATTCATGTATTACGCTATAATTATTATTTCATGTAATATATAGAATTATCAATTTTGTGACAAGTTATTATCATATATATTTATTTTTATGTTGCAATTTCAATTCAGAATTATTTAAAAAAACTTTCAATACAATATTTTTATCCATAAATATATTAATAAATCTGTAAGTTTTACTCATAAAATTGTAAAATATAATAATCGCGCAAAAATTCAGAGCATATGTACGCCTATTAAATTTTAATGCAACTTGTCACAACCCTAAGTGCTATTCTGATTCTTCTCATTTCTCAAATACATCTTTCCACGTTTTGCGGCCAATCAAATGACAGTCTGCTTTATAACATCTTTTGTATATATGTAGGTGGAGTGTATGTTGTCCAAAAAGATGTAAACAGGATGTAGAAAAAGAAAAATTTTCATCTTTCTGCGAGTTTGAAGGCTATTTTAATGTTCATCTATTAATGTAAACTACAAAAGTAAACACACAAGTATATTTGGATTATTTACGAGAAATGTGGTCTAGGTTTCATAGCTATTTAAAAAATGTTTCATAGAGTTCATGAAAGTTATTTCTTGAAATTACACATGAGTTTTAGTTAGCCCACAGAAAATAAATTCTCCATGACTGAATTAGTTATTCCATGAATCTCCACTAGTTATGAAATATAAGCATGTCCTTAAAGCTAGAGTTAACAGCAAGTTCTGGAGCTACTCCGACCAAATGTATGACAACCGTCTTGCAAGTTCATACGCAATGATCAGGATTTCCACAGACAATAATTCGTTTTCATAACACATGTATAGACCAACCCATCTCCATCTCTGTAGACGAATAATCCAAACCAAACGGGGCAAAATAAATACAAAGAAATATGGAAGGATCCCATGGACATTATAGAGATGGGACAGGCATTGTCACCTTTATTGAGTTCGTGTTTATCCAGCAGCAACGGTTCATTAAGAGCATGGATCGCACACCGTAAGTGTGCATGTACGTCACGCTGGTCGTTGCACATTGAGAGGTTGGCGGTTAGAGGACAAGGACTGCGATAGAGAAATGATAATAGAGAAAAGAAGACGAGCGACCGGGTGGAATTTCGACCATCACATGGGCCATGTTGTACCGGATAACCGGACCGGGGCGACGGGCATGCCGAGGGTCATGGGCAGGAGGGCGGATCTGACAAACCCAGGCCGATGCTGATCCTGACCTCGATGAGCGCCAGTGGCCAGACCAGACAGAACAGTTGATTTTGGCCTGCCTTGCTTATTCCGGTAAACCCAAGGGTCTGAGCTCCGGTCGAGATGCTGGTCGGACCAGTGGGCCCTCTGAGCTCTCTGTACTTTATGCCTTTCGCATTGCGGCGACGCAGTCAATCGAATGGTGATCAGGGGTGGTGCAGTTGCGAATTCACGAGAAGGCATATAATCGAATATTCGTGTTCCATCCCCATTTTTCGTGTCCTCCAAATCTATATCAGAATCAGCGGAGAACTGCACGGTTGGTGCACTTGGTGCAATGGTTGAGTCGAGCTTGAGCTTCGCTCGACGTCGGATTCGTTCCAACTCCTTGGAGCTGTTGGGTCGGCAATCTCTATCAACACATTCATTGGCCCTGTCTCAGAGGGCTCGATATCTCGGGATTTTGGGAAATAAAATTTGGGAAATAAATCACAAAATGCCGCGACGAGAACGATTAACTCAAAGTCCCGTCTCGCGGTCAGTCAGTCACTCGCAGCACGTCTCGCGGATGGCACATATCGACAGCAACGGAGACTGCTGAATGCTGACAAAGCGGCGGTGTGTCAACCTGTCAGGCCTGACTCGTGCCGAGGTGTCATATTCCCATTGCTCCCCGGTGGGGGGTGGTGGGGTCCAGCTCCCTGACGCCGAAACGTGGGACCGGTAACCGGACTGCGACTGCGCGGGGGTGGAGTGAACGAAGCCGGGTTAAAGGCGGGTTAGAGTCGGGTCAAAGGCGAGTTAAAGAAAGGCGTAACAGAATAGAAGAGCAAAAGGGGCTCTGTGGCAGCAGCAGCAGCGAGGGGTCCGAGGGGTCGGCGCGGCCTGATTGCTGCACGAGCCAGAGAGAGATCGAGAGAGAGTGATGGTGATGGTGGATGGCAAGTGGAGCTGGAGTGCTTGTCGTCGTTGGACGATCGATTGATCGATCGCACAGGAATTGCGAGGTGCAGGCTCTTGCTCTTGCTCTTGCTCTTGATCCGAGCGCGACTTCTAGAGTGCCCCGATGGCGTAGGACGAGCCTCGCGGTCTGCGGTCGAGAGTGGACTCAGAAATCGACATTACAAGAAGAAGAAGAAGAAGAAGAAGAAGAGGAAGAAGGTGAAGGTGAAGGTGGATGAGGGTGGAGGAGAGCAGAGGAGGAGGAGGAGGAGGAGGAAGAGTGTGGGGGGTGAGGAGGGGCTGGTAGAGAGATCTGCAGTGGAGGAGGAGTGCAGCAGCGCTTGAGCTCAGGCACCGGAAGCGGTAGCGGCTGGGGAATATTAATAGAAGGAGGGGCCGAGACTTCGGGTCTCGGTCTTGATAACTCTCGGCAGCATCGTTGAAGGGACGAACACCTGACCTCGGCTGCCCATGGCAATTGGCCCTTGAAAGTCAAAACCATCGTTCCCTGAGCCTGTCCTCTACAGGTTCGTAAAGTATTGCGGCACTCCCTCCTCTCTCTCTTTCCTTCCCACCGCTCTTCTGCTCTCGTCTTTTCTCGTCGCCCATCTCCGCCTTGCCTCCACGAATGTTGTGGCGAATACATTCTTGGTTGGAATTCGGTTTTATTTCTGGTTCCGTATCCGCTAACTCGCAGCAGCAGCAGCAGCAGCAGCAGCAGGAGGATCAGGATCAGCAGCTTGGTGAGTGTGATCATCTGTGTGCGTTAGCTCTTTCTGATTCTCGCAGCGAGATGTCTTAGATCTGATGCTCAGATGCGTGCATCGGATTGCGTTCGAGCTAACGCACGGCCCTGGCTGAGCAGTGCTTTTCTTGAGCGTCTGGTGATCTAGGAGTGATCACGAAGTTGCGGACCTGCTGCAGGACTAGATCCCCGATTCCGACAGTCCGGATGCAAGTCGGGGATCACATGTGATTTGCTGCTGTGTCGCCTTCTTCGAGGTATTTCAGTCGAGCAGGATTGCTTTTCGAGCTGAAATGCCCAGATCGTTTAGCAGAAGCTTGACCACGAGGCTCTTCACTCGTGGATCTAGAAGAACGTGTGAGTCCTCCTCTCATCGAGCCTGCGGCTTGAACGAGAATGACCGAGAGGGATCCTCGGATTCCGCTTTGGCTCTCGACCAATGGACTATTTACTCCTCGTCTGCCATTTTGCTTGTGCCCCTCGACCGGGCACTCGAATCCTCGTCCCAGTCGATCCTTGACGTGATCACCGACTCCTCTAGTCCAGCTTGCTTCCTTTTGCTGAAGTGACCGATTCCTGGCAGAGTGATCGAACATCTGCATCGTCTTCAAACCATGCGCTGTGCGACGTGGGGTCCGGCTGTCGTTTCGAGCATGAACATAATTCGTCGCATTTCTTCGCGAATGTTTGATGCACTCCTGATCAACGTGTGTTCCGACCTGCAGGGTGCCGCGTGATCGACTTCTTGTACTTGCAAAATCCTTGAACCATGGCTGAACCTGAATTAGAGGCTATGCCCGAGCAGACGACGCCGAATTCTAATGCCACACCAGCTGATGTGGGTGGAATTGGCAGTGCTCCCGCATCTGATTTGCATCATGAGGTGAACTTCAGTTCCTCTGACCTTGCCTTGCTAATGCTTATCATCTGTTACATGGTGGGAACTCGTGAACTGTAAATGTTGGACGATGCATAATTTTCAAGGACCTTTGGCCTTTAGATGTATCAGGGGTCGTCAAGTTCTGTCTGTCACAAGAACCGTTTGGCGCCTTCTTACGCATATCGTTGTGGAGACCTGAAGAGTTCTTTCGGGGATGCTTCAAATGTGCATCCAGGGAAGAAAGTCAATATAGACGTGATAAGTGCACGATATAAATATTGGTGCGGAGTACAGTGTTTGTGAATGGAATGTCTCATGGATATTTGTGAGGAGATAGTGTAGGGGTGTTATCATGATCGCTTCCTCTTAAGTTTCTGGATCAGTCCAGTGGATGGGGTTATGTTTCTGCGAATGTTCCGCATTCTGGTGAAGTTCGACGAGTCGTCATCGTATCATGTTAAGAGACGAGGATACGAAGCGGCGTGTGTGACACTAAAGAATCAGTTACATTTGTTCCTCCGTGATTAGTAGCAACGCCTTATTTTGCAATTTTTCTTCTTTCACGGAGGGATGTATCTAGAAGTGTGACTTACAGACTTCGGACTGAGTTGCCTTTTCGTCTTTCAATCAATCGTGTCCACCTGTGTCATAACTGTTCTAGATTGTCGAACAAAGCACGTGGAGAGACATGTGACAGTCGTCTCTCAGCTGTGGGTTCATAGAAAACGATTGTGATTAACGATGAAGCTGTTCATGCCCCTTGACCGATGCAGAAGCTGAAGAAGAAGAAGGCGAAGGTACAGAGGCTCAAGGAATATTTGAAGAAAGCCGATGACGATTTAGCCAAGTCCAATGAGCTCGCTAAAGCAGCCGAGGCGAAGGTCCATGCCTTGGAAGAGCAAGTCAAGCAGGCTGTTGAGAAAGCTACGTCAGCTGAGGAGGCAGCAAAGGTCCACGAGGACAGGGCAGCTGCTGCGGAGGGCAAACTACTGGATCTTACTTCAGATCTACAAGATCATAAGGCTCTGAAAGACACCCTGGTGAAGAATGTTTCGGAAGTCCAGCAGAAGCTTGACGACTTGGAGGCCAGACTGAAGGAGCAGACTGCGAAGGCTTCAGATGCCGAGCAGAAGGCCACGGAGTATCAATCCAAATTGAAGGAAGTGGAGGCCTCAGCTGAAAAAGCCAATTCACAGCTCAGTGAGCTTCAGAGCCAATCCAAGCTGGCTGAAGAAGAATTAGCTAGTCTGAAAAGTGAGAACACCAACCTTCAAGCCAGTTCTTCCACCGTAAAGAAAGACGCAGAAGACAAGATTTCCTCCTTGCAAGCAGAATTGGAACGTGCCAAAGAAGCAGCGGCTCTTGCAGACACACAGAAGGAGAAGCTTCTAGTCCAATCAGAAGAGCTCAACGTTGCACGTGATCAGGTTGCAAAGCTGGAGGAACAATTGAAGGCTGCTGGAGCTCAAGCCGAAGATCTTAGGGCCGAACTAGGAACCAAGAGCTCTGAATATGCTGAAGGTAATAAAGCTCTCGCGGCTAAGGTAACAGAACTGGAGGCCTCATTGGCTGCTGCTGGGTCAAAATTAGAGGAAGCAGAATCCAGGTTAAATTCTGAGACCGAATCCCATGTAGCCGCTCTGGAAAAGTCAGAGAGTACCAGCAAATCTTTAGAGAGCAAGGTCTCTGAGCTAGAAGCCCGTCTTAGTGAGTCTGCCACTCAGATGAAGGAGTCTGGCGAGAAACTCCAATCTCAGATCCAGTCTCACATCGCAGACTTGAAGAAGAAGGAAGAATTGCTCGGCTCAGCTGAGTCCAAAGCCAGTGACCTGAGTTCGGAGCTGGCATCAGCTGCTGCAAAGATCAGCTCCCTGGAGAAGGAGCTGAAAGAAACTGCCGATAGAGCGAGAGAACATGAAAGCAGTGCGAAGTCGCATGAGGAAAAAGCAAAAACGTTCACAGCTAGATCAATTGAGCTCGAAAGCCTGGTCAAAACACACGAAGAAACCTCCAAATCACACCTGGATACGGTGGAATCTTTAAAAGCCGAACTGTCGGATGCCAAGGTGAAGATTGCCAGTCTTGAGGAATCTAGGGGTGAAACATCTGAGTTGGCTAGTAGCTTACAGGTTGCACAGGATAAGGTGGCTGAGCTCTCGGAGAAGCTGAAGTCTGCTCAAGGCAAGGTCAGAGATCTGGAGGATATGGCTGCCTTTCACGAGGACAACCTCAAGGCCTACAAAGATGCGGTCCAGTCTTTGCAGACTGACGTCAGTCAGAGTGAGACTAATTTGAAAGCCAGCGCACAAAAGGTGGCCCTGCTCGAAGAAAGCTTGCGCAGCGCTGAGACAAAATCCACTCAGCTCGAAGAGCAGCTGCAAACTGCCGAACAGAAAGTGAAGGAGTACGAGAGCAGCGCTCAATTGCAGGAGAAGGATGTCATCCAGTCTGCCGGGAAAATCGCAGAACTTGAAAGCATGGTTGTCGTCTATGAAGGGAAGGTGAAGGAAGCTGGAGATCTGCTGCAATCAACCAAGTTAGAGCTGGATGAAGCTAAGGCAGAGATTGTGAAGGGCTCTTCAAGCCTGAAGGATCAAGAGTCAAAGGTTGCTGAGATTCAAAGAGAGCTGAGCGAGACTCAAGCTCGGGAGAAGGAACTTGAATCGAAGTTGAAGGCTTCTCAAGAAGCTGCTGTGCATCACGAGACCAGCGCCAAAGAGGTTCATGAGAAGTCTCTGAAGCTTTCCGATTTGCTGGGTCTTCATCAAAGTCAGGCCAAGAGTGCGCAGGAGGAGGCAGGAACCCTAAAGGCTGCCCTTTCAGAGGCACAAGCTCAACGTGCAGAGGTTGAGTCACAGGCCAAGTTGCTTCAAGAAAAGCTACAGTCTATGGAGGACGAATTGAAGAATGGCAATCTCAGTCGCTCGGATTTTGAAAGCAAACTTGCTTCAGCTCAAAACACTGCCACTGAATTGGCATCTGAACTGTCGCTCTGCAAGAAGAAGCTTGAGGAAAGCGAGGCTTTTGGGAAGGAGGTCGAGAAGAAGCTTTCTTCGGCTGAGGAGAGAGCTGCAACCCTCGAGTCACAATTTCAAGCAGTCAATGATGGTACTCAAAAATTGTCGAAGGAGTTTTCTAGTTTGATGTCTACGTCCGCAGTCGAACGCGAGCATCTCGAATCGAGGGTGAGTAATGCCTGCGCTGAATTGTATGGGTTCTTTACTGATACAGCTGCAGTAGTTCTTCAGGATTTATACCCAACACATACGACGCGCATGTGCAACATCGCTCAGAAAGTCATTATATGGCCGTCGTCTGAGTTTCTTTGCTAGGCATGGTGCGACTCTACTCCCACCCGACCTGCTAAGTGATCTTGATTTATGCCGAAACATCATGTCTGCAGATTTCCGATCTCATAGCAGAGAAGGATGCCACGAGTGCAAAACTCCTAGACGCTGAAAAGCGTGTAGAAGAAGTCAATAACGAAAGGCAACAGGAAGCTTTGAAGTCCAGAAACTTTAGAACTGCAAAAGAGACAGCTCTTGAAGCTGAGCTTCAGGGTCTGAAAGGCCAGCTGAAAGATGCTGAAAGCAGGCTTAGAAATCTAAAGGAGTTGCAACAAAAAGTGTTGACGGCTGATGAAAAGAATCGAGAACAGGTTTTTTTCTTCCTTCTTCTTTTCTATAGGTTTGTATTTTTTGCTGATCTTGGCTAAAGTTGTCGCAAATAGCAGGTAACTTTCATCTGTTTATATTTTGACGGGTTTTTTTCATGCTCAAAGGAGTGTTCAAATTTCTGCTTGCTGCAGAATTATGTCCAGTAAGATGTCCTGAAAGTACCAGCATTTTACTTCACTGAAACGTGTCGGTTGTATGAATTAACCCTTCGTGTGTCAACATGACCTATGGCGTTTTTTGCGATAATTGCTAGAAACCTTTGGCCTCTTCAATGTAAATAGTTTTTTTGTAGTTGTTGTCAGTTGTCTTTTTCCTTGACAATTATTCGTTGCTAATAAAATTCCAGCAACTTGTTGTCATGGATAATAAGCTGATGTCGTTCTCTCGTGGTTTATCTAGCATGCCAATCTCGTCAGAGAGCAGCAAAAGGCCACTAGTGCCCAGGAGGAGGTTTCCAAGTTGAAAGAGCAGCTTGCGTCCCTACAAAAGTCAGCTGCCGCTCAAGAGGAGGTAGTAGCAAAACTGAAGGAACAATTGGAAGCCCAGAAGAAGTCTTCAAGCGCAAATGAAGAGGCTGTGCTGAAGATGAAAGAGCAGGTGGCATCTCAACAACCGTCAACCAGTGCTCAAGAGGAGGTTTCGAAGCTCAAAGAACAGCTGGCATCTCAGGTTTTTATTGCAGAATGGTTTTGCACGATGTTGGATTTTCGTTGTTCATGTTTTTGATGCTGCATGGCACTATCATTGGATCCTATATGTGGAATTTATGATCTCAACATTGACGTGTCCAACATCGTATAAATTTACCAAGTATTGAACGTGGGGTGGAACATGAAGCGAAGTCCTCTAATTGGAGGACGTTCTTCTTGTACGCTTATTGTTCGTTGACGATCCTGAGATCTGGTAGAACTGTTCTAACTTTTGTACCCTACGTTCGCAGAAATTGGAGTTCGAAAAGCTACAAACACAGCTCATCACGCCTGCTGTGGCGACCAAGGATATCCAATTGAAAGCAGCTCCACAAGACGGAAAAGCATTGAGAAGAAGGAAAAGCAAAAAAGGTTTGTTGGTGCAAGAAGAGTCAACACCTGAAGAGATGGTTGACGACAAGAGTATTGTTCCTGGTGTCAAACCTAGCGCATCAATTAGCAGCGGTCTTCTTAGTGTTCTTGTGGCTATCTCTGTAGGATCATCCTTGTTAAGTTTCTATTTTACGAAGAGAATCTACCAATGACCTAAAGTCAGAATGGTACTGCCTATCAGGGCAAGTTTTTCTCAACTATTCGATAAGGTGACTGAGTTGTAGTATTGGCAAGATTAGCCGTTCTTGGGCTTCGTAGCTATTCACCATTGAAAACGTGTTGCTTGTAGATAATATCCTTCTCGTTTACTTTCAAACATGGGGTCACTATCCCTAGAAGTGACTAGAGCGGATGTGTTCCTCCCCATTTCCCTCACCAGTTTACCATTACAAATGAGTAGGGCTGTCAGTCCTTATGAAGAAAGTAGATCTCGGCTATACAGACTAATCAGATCCTTGCGTTATTTTTTCTAAGTGAGGATGCTGTGTCCTTGTTGAATGTTGCTGGTCCGCATTGGATACACGAACATTGACGTTTGTCTCCGTAGTCTGTCTCTTGTCCACTTTCTATGTACGATACGAATTTGGGCAAGTCGCCCCCGATCTGTCTTGGCCACCTTTGAGCATGTTACGGAATAAACGAAGTAAAAGAGAGCCTGTCGTTGATCAAGATATGTGGTTCGTGAGAAGAATCGGTTGAGGATTTGCGTCCTCACACGGAGCGAGGGTCCATCCCTTCTATGCCATACTCTTGGTTGTCAGGTTCATTCGAAGACAGTTGTTTGTCCTGAGGGGATTTTCTCTACTCCAGGCAGTTTATTGTAATTCTACTAGTCTCATATAATCCACGACAATCTATTGATTGACGACTTTCTAAACGAGCGAAGGATTGGGGAAGTTGGAAACTCCAGCGTGCTCTCGAGGCATAGCGACGGTGCTGGACTACATGTGTATGAAGTATTTGCAGTCTCTACCTAGCTCAGTGCTCGTCATGGTGGAGAAACGAAGAACAACACGCGTTTCTTCTAACCACTTGGGAAGAAGCTGAGTCTGTAGTCATATGACTCGATAATGTTTCTAGGAATCAATCATATGCTCATTGTACGTTCTACTGACAACTCGGTATCTCTTATGCCGAATATCTTCCATTGTCATGGTTAATGGTCCCTGATATAGAAACGTAGACGTTCACAATGAGAGAACATACTCGATAATGTTTCTAGGAATCAATCATATGCTCATTGTACGTTCTACTGACAACTCGGTATCTCTTATGCCGAATATCTTCCATTGTCATGGTTAATGGTCCCTGATATAGAAACGTAGACGTTCACAATGAGAGAACATACGCATTTATCAAGTCATGGGGATCATGAGAGGACTGGAAGCAGATGTAGCCCATGTCATTATCACCACTCGAAGCAGATCAGAAAGTCGTAGGTTACATAAAACACAAGACAGCGCAACAGCAGTATGAGCAGTATTTCCTAATTATTCATTACGGCTTTAGGGAGGTTATTAGATACACGGCGAAGACCATGCCAGTCCACATTCTTCCACATGTCAGAAAGGCTGAATTTGAATTTGAAAGAGGATAGAAATTCCCCATCGATTCTGAAACCAGTGGCTAGCTCCGAGTGGAACGTGATGAAACACATGTTACACTACCCCTTCGATCTTTAAACTATTCTGACCAAACAACGTAAGCATCCAATACAACATCACCTAATTTGAGTGCCCTGTGGACAGGGTAGGCCAGTGCTCTTAACAGAGCAATGACAACACGCTGCCTAACATAAATCACACCATGAGCTAGAGAAAGTGATGCATCTTATCTTGTGCATTCAACCCCGAACATGCTAAAATCTGCATCTCATCCTCATCAGAACTTCAGAACTTCAATGGCATGAGAACAAAGATTGGAACTCTTTGCACACCCTTACATTTGACTATCTCGACCTAGCCTATCCAGGAAAATGTGCAATCATACCCTTGGAAAATAACAGTTAGACTTGCAACTGCTGCGATTCTGGTACTCTTTTTGTTTCTATTGCAGCGAAAGCATTGCCAAAATGGAAAATGTCCGAATTTTCGAGAGCAGCTTCGATTTGCAGCAAGTGTCGAAAAGGGCCGCGAAAGGACCTCTGGAGCGCAAAGAAGACACGTAGACCGGAGAATGAACTGCGGCAGCATCTGCTACTGTGGTGTGGCGTGCCGAACTGTACCACGTACAGTTCGCGATTTCAGGTTCAGATAAAGCGAATAATGGGCAGAATTAAATAAATAAATAAATTCGAAGAAGTTCAAAGGCGGAGATTGGCCTGGAGAGGATAGAGCCCCGGACTCGGAGACAGAAGCGAAGGGGAGGGAGGGGAGGGGAGGGAAGGGAAGGGGGCAGAGACAGAAGATTGGATTCGACGAGGACGAGGACGAGGACGAAGGAGATCGCGGTCGAACAATTCGCAGGATCGCTGCGGAGGTGCTGGTGCTGGTGCTGTGATAGAGGGGAGGGAGCCATGGCGGTCGCGGCCACGTCGAGCCTGGCTCTGGGGGCAGTGTCGTCGTTGGGAGCCGTGAATGCGAGGCTGAGCTCGAGAGTGGAGAATGTGGGCGGCGAGAAAGCGCATTTGGGCAGTAAATTCGAAGCTTTGAGTTTGAAATGTGGTGCTGTGAGGAGGAGCAATGGCTCGTTCCAGGTGGTGGCCCAAGCCCAAGCTGCCGCTGCCGCCGCCGAGGTCGCCGAGGAGCGCACTAATACTGCCAATCCCGTCTCCAGGTTGAAATCAATTTACTTGGAGAAAGTCGTGCCGGCTATGAAGGAAGAGTTCAAGTACACCAACTCCATGGAGGTACCCCATTCACCCGCCTTCGTGCCGGTTCAATATGCGGTTCTTCTCTCTCGTGTTTACGAGGACCAAGTTTCGTGTGTTCTGTATACTCGAGGCAGAACGCTTAGTGAGCTTGATGTCGTTGGATTGCGGTTGTCATAGTCTCTTGCCTCTCATTTCGGCGAAAGTGCCCCTGATGTATGTTGGTGGTGTACAATTGCGATGAATTCTCCTGAGGATTTCCTCCACCCCGCCCGTCTTGTCGTCTGTTTGTTGTCATGATCTCGTCCGAATGGACATGTCCACATCCCTGAAACTCGAAAGATGTTCGTCCTATCACCCAAGAACGAACATGAAGAACAATCATTCCATGCGAATGACCTCGGGCCCTAAGTGGTGGTAGTGACTCAGATATTTTTCCTGTTACAATTCTTGCAGGTGCCATACTTGAAGAAAATTGTGGTGAATTGTGGAGTGGGAGAAGCTGCGCAAAACGCCAAGTCCTTGGAGTCGACCATCCGAGATTTGTCTTTGATCACAGGTCAAAGACCTGTGACAACCCGAGCAAAGAAGGCTATTGCTGGATTCAAGCTGCGCGAGGGCGTCCCGGTTGGAGTTTATCTCACCTTGCGTGGAGAGGTGGGTCCTTTCTGTCATGCCCTAATTCCGAAGCGATTATGCTCCAAATGAGCTGTGTGAGCATACATGAACTGAACCTACCGTAACAGGAACGGGACCTTCACTCAAGGTTTAGAAGGAAAGCTGAACTCGAGTTCTGTCTATGTGCAGGTTATGTACTCATTCTTGGATAGGTTGATGAACCTTGCGCTGCCCCGAACTAGGGATTTCCAGGGAGTGAATGCCTACAGCTTTGACGGCAAGGGCAACTACACTCTTGGTCTGCCAGAGCAGAGTGTGTTTCCGGAGATTCGCTTTGAGAACATAGACAAGGAACGTGGTATGGATGTTTGCATTATGACCACTGCCAAAAACGATGCTGAAGGCCAGAAGCTTTTGTCGTTGTTGGGTATGCCATTCAAGGATAGCGTTGGTGGTAGATCTGCATCTTCAGTTAAGAAGAAAGCCAAGAACATGTATAAGACAGGCAAGAGACGGTAGTATACTTAGAAGAAAATAGTATCAGGCAAAACAACCTCTCTGTGGTAGGAAATTATTTTGGTGGTGTTTTCACTACCAGTGTCTGCCCGCATGGTTTCATCCAAGTCAGCTGGCCAGCATGCAGATCTTACGCGAACATTATTATATGAAGTTGTCCTCTATGAGGTATTGAAAGCGCATTTTATGGCAATGTCAAGGAATATCATGCCAAATTTTCTTAGGAACAGGATTATTACTGTGGGCCGTATCTGGAATAGCATAGTGTGAAAGAAGTTTGAGAAAAAATTCTCCACTCGTTCATTTAATCTAACTTCATATCATGCAGTAATATCATTGTAAAAGATGTGTAATCGGACATCAAACCTATCACACGTTTTTCATACGGTGGACACCAGACGAGGATGAATTTAGCAAACGTAACTTACCAGTGAAAAGGAAAATAGTGGTAAAATGTATGTGTTTATGTACGAGAAAAAAACTGAAGGTATTTATTTGACAGGTTGTGTCCATATTGTGACAGTATCGTACATGAGAAAGGAGGGTGAAGTCACCATTCACTTTCGAGTGAAATTTTCCCTGACATATTTCATTTAACACTAGAAAAATATCGAAGAGTATAAATCGCCACTTCTACCAAAGGGATATGGCAGTATATATAGTATATAATATGATCGTGGATCAGTGTAAGATCTTTCCGTGCTGTGGAATACGATTTTTATTCTTACAGTGGTGTACACAAATAAATAAATCTTTGAGGGTGTTGGGCACACCTGCACATTACCAGGGGAAAAACTGGGGGCAATCTCAAGCTGGAACCTACTTCACCTAAACAGCCCGAACTTACATTGAACCTGAAAGCAGCAAAGTTTACTGCTACTACCTGACATCTATAATTTATCCTATTTTCGTCTTACTAGAAAGATATATATCCATTCAGCTTACCCAATCTAGAGTACCTTTTTCTATCTGAGATTTTGTACAGTCCAGTTTTCTGAACACTAATAGAAGGGTACCTAAACAGTGGCGAAATAGCTGAATGGATCCCATTTACAAGCTATTTTGAAGAATCACACATGGTATGCCACTCAGTTTAAAATTCTTGAGTGAGGCTTCAAGTGCGTCATTGAATGATTTCAAATGAGAAGATCGTACAGGACTTCCGGCCTTTTCCGCAGAGGAGCACATAAATTCTGAAAACCGGGAACAGTCGGAAACATCAACCACTGTACAGAACCTAATTCTATCAGCAAACAAAAGCGGCACAATTAAACTGAAATCGCATCTAATATAAGAGAAAATTCAACATAAAAATGTGATGTAATATTCGATAACAGCTAGTTTCCAAAGAAGCTAGACCTGTGCTGACAAAAGATAAATGGCTCTTGTGAGCAACAAGGGAGAAACAACCACCTCAATAGCCGCTGCAAGTTGCAAGAGCGTTGCTTCGCCCCACGGCCGACCAATAATTTGAAGTCCAATTGGCAACCCGTCGTGGTCATGTCCCACCTGTGATTGGAAAAGCTACTTCTCAGCCCCATTGGTAAAAATATGCGTCCTTTCATTTTGAAAAAAATGGTATGGTTCAAAACATTCTGTAATATCTATCTCCTTTTAAAGAGATGGGCCTGCTAGTATTCGATAGGCGTTCAATGGCTCGATACCCAGCCGTCATACTTCCTCACAAAACTGGTTCTCAACCGGACAGATTACTAAAAAACAAAATCAAATGATTAACGTCCAAGAAGCTTACAGGAACAGAGATAGCTGGAAGCCCCAGAAAATTTCCCGCAATTTGAAAACGCATGAGTTTGGCTGTCATTATGATCACCAATGAGCAGTGTTAGTTTTGTAAATACATATACTTCCGTGCTTTAATAAATGTTTCAAGTTGAATCTGCCTTCACTCTACACTGGATACTTCAGTTCACTCACGCTGAGATGATGCTAACAAAGTCTTGATACCGACTCGAAAGAGCACATGGAGCGAACTCAAGGTAACTTACCTCCAGTAATATAATTCAGTTCCCCGTACTTCAATGAATCGTTTGTCAATGGAGGAGCTGTACAGCTGCCGAATTTGTGACAGTCAGCTAGAATCAACAAGACGTATGACTGAATGAACATCTGTATCCTCATCCAGGTATAATGATGTGGTAATTTATGCGAGATCTTACCCAGTAATAGGTGTGACAATGACATCTGCTCGTTTAAATATGTCCATGAAAAAATGCATTTGTCGGAATCTGCAAGACGACGTTCACGATGTTTTTGTCAATGTATCTATGACATTTTTGAGCACTCTGATCAGTATTCAGCTAGATCTATTGAGGGGGTAAGTTCTCAAAGAAGATCTGTCTTTGTCATTCCACTTTTAAGAGCTCATGCTTCGACATGCGGAGAGAAAAAGTGTAACATTTCCAAGGCAAAGGAAAGAAATTGCAGTACACTTCTTTGCCCCTAGAGCAAGATTATGGTACTTCAGTGTCTCAAAGATATCTGATGCGTTTATACCCTGCTACCTGATGTCTTACCTCATTCGCTGGGCAGCGATGAAATCCATATTGTTGAAAGCCTTATATATTGCAAATCCTACACGAACATCTGCGCCAGAATCCTCCATTCCACTGTGCCTCATTTCAACAACAATTTTCCATCAAGAATTCATCCATTTCAGAATTAAACAACTCACTAGAAAAGTTCAAGCACAGCTAATTCCATACTGAAAAGAATTACCATATTGTGGAAAAAGTTTGAGAATCTTACGCATTGTAATAGTCAGAGGAAAGAGATGCGTAGCACTCACTTCCAATGGTGATAAAGTGTGCTAGGCGCATTTCCTCTATCTCTGGAACCGTGACCTCTACTATCTGTACAGATGCCACGAAAGTATGTAGTTAGCCAGTGTTGGTAGCTGTTGATGTATTGAAAGAGAATACATTCAGATATAAATTTCAGAGACTGAATGATACAAGAGATGGGAAAACATCAAAAGAAAAAGTAGGACCTTGTTCCCGTAAGCTTGCTGAAGCAGTTCCAAAGCTCTGTAACATCCATCCTTGACATCATCATCTGAATCGTCGAACCACTACATGAAAGACAAACAATTTAGCGGCAAAGTGTCAGTTGGGACCTTTCGATGATAAAAAAAATTAATTGGATGTTGATTAGAGTTTACATCTAATATGTCAAAACCAAGAAGACGCAGTGAATACAACCCGGTTATCCAAGCAATGCCATACAAGGAAAAAGCCATCTTCAAACTCCTAACACAACATCCAAGGGTTTCAAGAAAATCTAAAGACATCGTTCTTATCCAACCTCAGTATATTTCGCGATCTTCAAGGCTCCAACCAATTTGCCTGCTTCTGTCTCTGGATGACCCACTGAGATGGGGAAAGCAGCGGGTGGCTGAAGAAACAAAAAATATTGTCATTGTAAAACTTAAGAATAAAGGAAAGAAAAACCAAAACTGCAAAGTGATTCAACTTCAATGGAAAACTTACAGGTATAGACACGATTCGATCTTGTGGAAGATGACCAAGCACGGCTGCATACCTGGCTCCCAAAGACAAACGCAACGATGATGAAATCCAGCCAATTACAAAACTATAGAAAATATAGAAAATATAGAAAATATTCAATTACTTTGTGATGGATGATGTCATGGAAAGACATTGAAGGTAAGGATTTTAAGTACTTGTATACTAAGATCTTAGTACTCGCATTAATAGCTCATTAATTCTTACATGATCAAAGCATCCTCCACAGTTGCAGTTAAAGTCCCGAGCATGCCCACCGTCCAATTTAGAGGAATAATTCTGCCAAAAACCAGAAAAAGCTTCGTGGGCAAAACTTCACTTACTTCATAGTAAGTATGAAATGCATGAGTGATGATGCAATAAATACGTTAAGCTAGATGAAGGACGAACTCTTTCTTTTGAAAAGATCACATGACAACAAATATTACACGTTAAAGAAAAGTGATCCAGGGTAAGGTTCTGCAAGTAAAGTCTCATTACCCTTCATTGGATGTTCGCCCGAACGTAGCTTTCAATCCGACAACTCCACATAATCCTGCGGGCATGCGAACGGATCCTGCATGATGGGTGCATTCAATCAGTTGCCATAGATGTACTTGCAGATATACATCCTAAAGGTCAAGTTTTTCAAACTGGATGAATGACATAGAGACTGTTGCAATTCAGTCAATCACATTCAGTCGACTTTGAAATAAACAAGCAGCTTTGTCCGGTTGAACGAGTTATTTATTAATAACAATATCAAACTCAAAGTAGATAGTTTTGTCCAATCATGCTCCATTCTATTTCAATCTAGAACTAGACAAAAGAAATATCTGATACCTCCTCCATCGACGCCCAAAGCGGCAGGGACGAGACCCGAAGCAACTGCTGCAGCAGATCCTCCTGAAGATCCTCCTGATACTCTGTCCTTTCCGTAAGGATTGCGAGGAGACCTACAATCGCAACGAGTAGCAACCATAATAATTTCGTTGGCATTTTAATAAAAATACAATATATGAAATTGCTTGGACCACTGGGCCTGGAGGAAAGAAACTCTAGGCGGGAAAGAAATCAAGCAGCAGCAACCTTCAAGAAAATTGATCTACTAATCCTGCTAGCTGAAATTTAGGCAGCTGGATGGAGACTTCACAGTCATACGGAGACGACGCAAAACACAAGTGCGAATAGACCTCAAATACATTTAAATGAAAAAGGAAGTGAAAGCGAGTGGAACACAAAAGTATTTTGCTGGATGCAAAGATGAATATGAAATTGGATCACAAGACGCGACGCGAAACATACTAGAGTGAAAGGACGTGTATGTGTGGCACGATATTTCTTGAAAACATTTTGTACATTTACGGAACATTCAAATACACACAGCATTCGAGCTACAATCGCGACACGAACCAATACTAGACGTGTCAGGATCCTCAATAAAATATCAGCTGATATATGGGTTAGGTTACTGTTAGAAATCTGATAATCTTAGATCACATGGAAGGACTTGTCAAAGCTGTATTGAAAGAGTTTTCCGAGAATTACCCATAATGAGGATTGATGCTGGTTGTGCCCATTCCCAGTTCATGCATATTTGTTTTCCCCACCAAAACTGCTCCGCACTCGCGAAGTCTTTTGATACACGCTGCATCATCTTTGGTCTCTCTGACCTTGTGCAGCCATTTTGTGCCCCCTGAAATATCACGATTGTAAGCAGAAGGCAATCTTCTAGAGTTCTTTATAAAATCCAAAGTGCAACAAAGAAACCTAACCTATTCTAAAGGAAAACCATGATCAAAAGGTTTGCCAAGATGGTTGGTTGGGAAAGATACCTGTGGTAGGATAGGGCAAACAATCTATCTCGTCTTTTACAGCAATTGGAACACCGTCAAGGACTGACAATTGCTCTCCTGTGAAACATAAGGAAGAATTCAAGTAAACGGTCATAGGTTGACAAGATTGCAGACTTCATCTATTGCAGCTTATATAAGGATGCACTAAGTGGTAGTATATTGCATCAAATGACATGCCACTATCTTAACGAGTACGTGAGGGCCGATAAAAAATTTAATACATCACTCCATAGACACCATATACACCTGTACTACAACGTGCAGATAGATACAGCTCTTCCTGTAGAACTCGTTGCAAAGCATGTTTCAATTCTTAAGAGCTACCTTTAAGATAACGCGCTGATGATTCTTCAGCTTGACGAAGAATATCTTTCTCGTCATAATTGATAAACAAGCTCATGGGAGGATCCTGCTTGTTGGACTCCTCCAGCGCTGATAAGAACCTCTCTGCGACCTAAAACAAAAGGACACTGGACACTTAAAAAAACCGTGCCGTAATCTTCAAATTAAGTCAATACGAATATGACCAATTTCTGTTAGAATCAAATAACGACAGAAATAAAAGTCAAAAGTAGAAAAACAGACCATAGTCGGAGTGACAGTTCCATTTCGGTAGGCCTCCGCATAATCTCGTATGGTCCAATGTCGAAACCCATCATGGCGCTCAAGCTCGACAGACGGTAGACATGAGACAGCGGCCTTCACACGCTCAGCTGGTGGAGTTGAGTGTAAGACTTGTATAAAACCATCCTTGTTTTGATCCAATCTCACAAGTTCTGAAAAAAGACAGAACAAATTTAATCTTAAGCTATGCTTGCCATGGAAAGGATATAGAGAGGCGATAAATTGGAATCAGACGTCAGGTCAATTGATGTACGAGACAGCGTCCAAAATAGACTTCATAAAGGACTGGAAACAGTCGCGTTCAATGAGTCCAGAATTGGGCGCACTAACCTTCGGGATACTGCGAAACATACATGGGTGGCTCTTCATACTTAGCATTGGAAAAAAACTGCAACAACAACAATTTCACGAATTCAGCTGTTGGCCGTCACTCAAACTTTAAACAAGCTGCCATTTTTGTCAGGCTGTTTCCTACTCTCCAGTACATGCTACGAAAAATTCGACGAGCGACAACAGACAGGCGAAGTCTGCCCAACTTTCAGTGTCTAATTTTATTTTCAATTTAATCCACAGCTTTCACGTAGGTTGTGGACGTCATATTCGAATTTTAAATAGAGATGTATGCATCAGTCCGAGATGGGTACCCTAGTAATCAAATTATCCTTCTTCAGTTTGGGCTTGATCACGCTTGCTGTTATCCCATTTTCCAACATCCAAACGAAACATTTGAGTGGAATTCCTGCAAGTCGCGGAGCTGCAAAATAGACAGTATATTACATAGCGTATCTTGTTAGTTTCAGGTCCCTTTGGCTAACACAAATGCATCAAAGTAGGACTGTTGACATAAATCACTTGTCCTAAGATAGCCGCCATCGGAATGCAGCAAACGTCACATAAATGTAGTCAGCAGCCTATGATTGGCACAGTCGCAACTACGAGACGCTACGAAGTTCCAGAAAGCTCGAAGTAGATACTGTTTTCAGACCAGGGCTGAATAACCCCATTTAAGAGAAACGAGCCGATTCCTTTCAGCTCAGTGCTATATAGGCAACAGCAGGTTGAATGCGCACTGGCGTAAGGAAGGGAGCATCTTCAAGGAGATCCCACCTGGCTATTGTGAACCACATATAACTTACTGTAGCGAGGTTGACGGGAGCAATAGTCTTAAAATGCTCAAGCTACAGTTGACGGACCTTATTGATGGCAATTCGACGCATGCCAATTTTTAAGAGGCGGCAGCACATAAAATATCGAGAGCAAATGCTGCGTGTCATTGGTAACATCGTCAAGCAGACCGAAACGCCTATATCGACCTCCCACGGTGAATGTGGTGATCCGTGGCGAGGAAGCTGGGTTTATTGTCTGACTTGGAACCACGAATGACCAGCAAAGCTCGAATCGCCATTCCGCTAAAGACTGTGACAAAATATTCACTGGTCAGACGAGGATCGACGCCTCACAGTGAAGTAGCTAGTGTTTTGCGTCCAAGGCCTCGGACGGGAAACAAAGTTCACTGAAAATCTTAGGTTTCTGATGTACATGAGCGGTAGGGCCTACAGATTCTTGACAGCGAAATTTGTTCAGTGAAGTGCTTCAAAATTGCACACACTGCCAGCAGTGGAATTGAGCTGGAAAATTTGGCATTGTTGAAAGATGCAGTAGGCGATACAGTAAAATCTTTTTTGACCAGCACTAGCATCCGTTACCATTTTAGGTAGGGAATTTAGCGATTACCAAATTGTATCGTACCGAGCAGATTGTATGCCCTTTCGAAGTGACAATACATCTAACCGGGTTCCAGTAAGGATTGCGGACTTGTGCATTGCCTAATCGCTGCCTTCTCGGAAAAAACTTTATCATTCGAGCCCACATTGTTAGAAACCGTGCGCAAAATTTTCGAAAAGGACTAACCTCTAACAATAACGTATCTGTACTTGGAATCACTCGTCTCAGAAGTGCTCATCTGCTCCACAGGAGTGAACTGGAAATCGTTTGAGCCACCCATGATGGCAAGGCAAATCAAACTCCTCTCCTCTCCTCTCCTCTCTGAGCCTCTGACTCTCCTCTGACGCGGGCTCTCGGCCTGCCCACTACTCTCCAATGCTGTGCCCGACCGACCGACGGACGTGCATCTGTCCGCGAGACCTGCTCGTTCGATCCTCTGAGGGCTCGCTCGCTCGCTCCCTTTTGAAGCTTTGCTCGCTCGCTCGCTCGCTGGCTTCCGCGCCTGCCTGCTCTGCTCTGCTTTACACCGTGTCCCCGCTGCGCGATCACAAGTTCCGAGCGCGGCTTGCTGGTGCGCGAGATGGCAGGCCGCGCAGCCCATTGGCCGCGGCGAGCTCGAAATCTCGGGCGCATTAAAGCCGGAGCTACCAAAACTGCTGCTTCGAGTGCTTCGGGTGACGACGACCCGCAGCCCGGTACTCTTTTGTCGCGACCTCCACCGGTGGCCAGGATATTGTCCCCTGTCCCCTGTCGCCATGCGAGCCACGCAGTACGGTGCACGGCGGGCGCGACCGACACCACCCGGTTTCCATGGACCTCGCGCCCCCGGCGACCGGCTGGCCGGCATCGCGGAGCGAGAATGCCACGGCCCATGCGCAGCCAAAGACGAGCTGCACTTTATCCACAAGTATTTAAACTGCACCCGACCTAGTCACGGGCGGGCGGGCGGGCCCCACCTCGGGGGCTAGGCCTAGCTTCGCGCGGCCGCATTTGAAATCGTACCCACCGCCTGCCTTCCGAGTCAATGCGAGCAGTCTCGGGTCGAAGTTCGCCGGCGCCGGGTACCTGGGTGGCTGCTCGGTCAACTGTACTGTCCGCCATGCCATGCTGTGAGGTCAGGTCGGGTCGAGGGTCGGGGCCTGATCAATGTCACCCGTCCGATCTCCTCCTTCGACGACTCGATGCGGTGAGACTGCGTCCTCGTCGTCTTGCCCGGCCGGCGAATTCTTTCCAGGGTCAGGACGGAGCAAACGATGTTGCGGCGGGGTATCGAACGAGAAGCAACGGCAGAGGCGGCTACGGAGTTCGCCACCGCCGTCAGGCTTCGACTGCGCTGCCGCCTGCATGAGAGGGAGGCGTCGTCGCCGGAAGAGGGAAGCAGCCCCATCGGCCGAAAAGTGCACGACACGATGACGGCCATCGGGACCCGAAGGTCTGGGCCTCGGGTGGTATGGAGAGGCCCGTCCCTCGACCGATCTGTACCGGAAGAGTAGCGGCCGTGGTGGTCCACATCACCCACCGGGCCTCTGGAAAAAGGGTTCGCGTGACCTTTACCTCAAACGACTCGCCCTCCGGTCCGTCGCGACGCCGCCGGGTCGTTCGGTCGGTCCGCGATCAGAGAAAGGAACACCGAAAGAGGGCTTAGGGACGCCCGAGGACACGGACCTCCAGGGGCTCGCGCTGGCATCATGTTCACGGGCCTTTCCAGCGGGCGCGGGCCGGGATCCGAGGGGCAAAGCAAAGCATGCGATTATTCTCTGGACCATTATTGAGCTTCGGCTCGCGCCCCTTGCGATTAAAGCCGACAGAGCTCAAGCGCGCGCGCACCCGGCCCAACGACGGGACACGTTACCGGCAGCCGCGCGAGGCTCCTGCGCTTCTCGTCTCGTCGCCATCTTGCGGCGAATCGATGAATCGATGAAGGAGGAAGGGCCTGGGGCAAATGCGCTCGCTCGCTCGCACGCGGCAGGAATGATGTGCTGCAGCAGGAGGAGGAGGCGAGTGCGAGTTGCGGAATGGGAATGTCGCCTCGCTGGTGGCAGTTGGGATCGAGCCAGAAGCTTTGGTGAGGCCATGTCAACTGTACAGGACGCCGCATTTGACCTCGGGTCGATCGATCGATCGGGCCTGATTAAAGCAGCTGGTGGCCCATCGCCATAGCAAAATATCACTTGTTGCATGCCCCGTTCTCTCGTCCGGCATTATGATGTGCAGACTTCGATGCCCCCGTCGCCCTCCCTCTCCCGCCCCACGAGCCCGCGACTCAAACCGATTTCGCGCTGTCGAGAGAGAGAGACAGAGAGAGAGAGAAGGGGCCGCGCCGGCCATTGACTGGGCCCAATCATGCGCCGGGCATATTCCGCGTCTGAGCCTATGGCGACCCGACAGGCCCGCGTTCGTGGCCATCCGCGTCGCGAGCATCTTTGTCGTCGGTAGGATTCGGGGGCCTCGGATACGGAGATCGAGTAAGATCTGGTCGCCCGGTGGGACAAAAGTGACAATCACGGGCGCTGCCCGGCGCTCACAGGTCGATCTATCAGTGGAGGATCCGGCGGATCATAACGGCGTTGCTCAGAGCCAAATAAATCGGCCATGGTGCACGGCAGACGACCTCGAGTGGTGCTCGAGCATGTATGTCATCATCAAAGCCGGACCTTGCCTATGCGGATGAGCCAGACTGCCGATCCCCAAGGCCGGGCCTTCATTTCATTTCCCTCAGGCGCCTGACTGGTCCGATCCTTCCATCGAGGCCAGGTGAGCGGGCCTTGTGCCATTCCCGCATTCTCCCGACTGCTCTCGGAATCAGAACAGCGCAGCACCACGTTCACTTCCAGCAGCAGTGAATCGCCAGAATAAATTCTCCTCGAGGCCTCCGAGCCCTTCCCATGCTTCGAACCAGACGGCCGGAGGCAGAAAGTACACTGCACAGCTTTGCGCTGATGTGGTGACCAACTTTCCTCGGGTCGGATTTCTGCTCATAGTTTCGAGTCGGCGTGCAACACTGCCCGTCCGGAAGACGGAAAGAGAGAAGAGGTGCATGCTTTGCACATCTTTACAGCCATGTACGATAAAGTGAATGAACGAACAGATGGAACGACTTTCTCGCTCGGGCCATTCACAGCTGCACACAGAGCTGGCCACTGTGACTGTGACTGCTCGCGAAGCATAACAGCGTTGGAACTCGGCTGGACGATGGAACGAACCGTGCATGGCTTGGCCCACGTCATGGACCACCAGCCTGCGCTACAGTCGGCAGCAGCAGCAAAGTGGACTCCCGTGCGCGCCCACACTCGGACAGCAGACAGAAGCCTCTCTGACCTCTGACCTCTCTCCGTTGCCCGTGCATCATCGACCTCGTCTGACAATTTGCCACCATTTCCTTGCAAGAGATTGATTTTCTCTCGTACTCTTCATACATTAACAAGTACTGTACTGTGCCTCTGGTACGCCCCATGTCCCATGCCCTCTTTCGAGTTCGAGTTATCTCGACGAAAGACGGCTGCCTCGATCAATTCTCCAGCCGCTTTGCCATAGGTCAGTGAGTTGTACATCCCGGAACCCGAATGAACTTCAGAGGTTTCATTCGCGCTGTCGCTCTGATGACGAATTTATCAGAACCCGAATTCTGTCTACGATTATCGGCGACGTTCCGATGTGCATGATGTGACCGAACGAAATGCCCTCTTGTTGTACTCAACAACGTGCCACACCAAAACTATCCATCTCGTTTGATGCTCCAGCTTAATTTCGTGGTTTCAGAACAAATCTGCATGGACCCTGTCGTTTGGAGACCAAGACACTTGTGATTTACTTTGGCATCGCATAATATATCTCCCATTGTGATTCCATGTTACCCAATGCTTCTGACTTCAGCCATGGAAGACTTGATCAGGTCTTCTGAACCTTTTTTACAGCATATAACTGTGTCCCCCTCATTGCGCACGTACATTCATCGTCACAAATGCAACGCATCATTCTCATAATCTACACGACTCAACTTCAGCACCTTGGAGACATTCCAACCACTGTTTGCAACGGGGCACAAAAAAAGGTATCGTCTGAAAATAGAACTCCAATCATTCCTTTACATTCCGAAATTCGAATCGAGCGTCCACTTGGTTATGCATGCGTATGAGAGAAATAGCAAACCCTATCAGATGTGTGAGATTTTGGTTCAACGTAGGGTCCTATGATCCCCGACCCCCAAAGTGTATGCACATAACAGGATGTGGGTTGGTGTTTAGTCCAAAGCACCGAGCCATGGGATCAACGGAGGAGTAGTTTTTAGAAAGAGACCTAGATTGTAGGAGTAACATGTGAAAACCTCGATTCTAAAAAATTTATTTCTTAGAGCGAGCTATTAGGAGCTCATCATTGTGACCCACGATATTACAAACTAATAATAAATCCCCATCCACAGCGAAGGCTTATTCGGAGTACAACCAATCTCGTGAAGGAGATTCTCATTCTCCAGACAGTGGGGTGTGTCTTTTCCTCCCGTATACAGAGTTAAACCTCCCAATGTTGTCACCTTTTATGAGTGACATATTCTCATTAGTGTCATAAAATTCACTTAAAATAGTAACTTGTAAATCTCCTCATCACTAGTGACATGATACTATCCAACGGTTTCTTGTCTAATTTCAGAGTTGAAAATTATATCGTGATCACAATTATTTACTTTTTCTGGACTCTAGAATACTTCGATGCATATATTATTAACAATTTTTTCACAAAGATTTTGTGTATTAATCCGAACTAAACGCAATTAGAGCGCCTACTTAATCATTGTGAACAATACAGAATTGCAAATGAAGGCGGTCTTGAAACCAAACACCACATTTCTAGAATGTCTTAGGACGGATGTAATGTAGGAAAGAAGTCCACGCAATTTTATTTTATTTTTATAAGTGACACCTCCCAACAGTGGCATCCAACCCTAACACCAATATATGTTAATATTGGCAGGTTCTACTCACTTTACTCTTGTGAGTGACATACATTGGTGCTAGGGTATTACATCACCATTGGAAAGATAAACTCTGTAGCCAGTAACGAAGATTGGAAAGTAAAACTGTACTATTGTGTATTTACCATGTTACAACCCTCTTCCTCGGGGAACAGAGCTGGGCCCTGAAAAACAAATCGAAAAGGTGCGATGGTCGTGGTGGTTAGAAAGTCCCACCTTTGGTTATGTTTCCATTCTGTCACCTAACTGATTCTCGGGTCGATTTTCAGTTCCCGACCATTGGATAGAGTCTTCATCTTGGGCAAGGACTTCATGTTTCCTTTTCCTCTTTGCATGCATGTTTTACGCAGAGAAGTTGTCGCATTTGGACAAGATTTTTCTTACCATTGGTCATGCAAACAATATCTTGGGAAGCGGAGAAAAACACCGATTGGCCCGAGTATGTGAAATATGCAAAGATCAATCAAGCCATATATAGACGTAATCAAATCGACAACCTATTAGTATTAGAAAATTCTGTCCTATATTAGGTAAGATGGTGAAACATCTACAAACATGTGGTAAGATTTAACTCGACCTGATTGCGTGTATATGTACAGCACTAGCTAAAACTATCTAAATAACAAGGGGTGTACAAATTCATTCCGGTTAACAAGATTAGATGATTTTTTGATTATAATAGTAAGATCTCTTGCACTTTGTCACAAATTTGTACAAGTTGTAATACTATATAGCTATCTATAATAAATCTATTCGATTATTACAACATAACTCCAATCGTAGAAGAACCAGCAGTTCGGGAGAAAGACATTCTAACGAACGAGGTCTATGCTGGGATTAAGTATCTAGAATGAAAATATTCTTTCTCGTATCAGTGGACCATTTAGACAATTATTTATACATTGAGTGCTACTTTCTTCTCTCCGATTGAATGTTGCGGAAATCATGCTGAAATTATAATTGCCCCATGTGAACTTGAAAAGAGAGGGAGAGAATATATATATATATATATATATATATATATATATATATATATATTGTTGAATGTAGAGTGCATAGTAGAGTTTGGATGAGATGAGAAGACCAAAGTCCATGTGAGAAAATGTAGTCAAGATTGGCCACTTAAAAGGAAGATATTCTGAATCACTTTTTCATCGCCTTGTCTTGCAAGTCAGCATCGGTACAACAACCACGGTCCTAGCTTTCCAGACTGGAAAATGAGAAGTTTCTCATTCTGCGCATCGCCTATGAGTCCAATATCATCTGCTGAAATGCCTCGCTCGATGAACCATCAAACAACCAGACCACATTCTTCTGGTCCATATGTCTGCATCATAATGGCAGACGAGAAGCTGGAATGGGGTTTCACAATGCTCTCAAAAAAGTCGGGAACAAAAGCGGCTCCTCAGCAACTCTCATGACCTGCAATTGCATGACGACGATTTTCGGTTGACCTTCTCAGCAAAGGATCTATCTTTCTGATCATATGGCTGTGTTGTCGAGTGAGGTTGAGAGGTGAGGTCTTCAGGGCGACTCCTGGAGACCTCATCATACGAAGGTCGATTAAATTCAGCCATTGAGTGCTGAAGAATTCCTGAAGACATGCGACATCGAAGCGTTTTGAGGCCCGTGAAAGATGAAATCTCCGACGCCACCTCCGTCTCCGGGACATTTGTCGCAGATCATGGAAGAAGGAAACCAGCAAAAAGATTCCGGGGTTCACTCCACTGCACGACCGTTGTTGTCGGCTTTTCATGCAACAAAGCTCGTGGTGAAGTGCACTCATTTCCAACGAAACTGTCAATCACGAACAGAAAAGGAAGCCCACTATTCGGAGGTAAAAGGAAGTAACATTCTCCGCATGAGAATGAGGCTCCTAGATATCCTTCCGGAAAGTGACACTCGTAATTATTCTCGCAAGCAGGGCAGACGAAGGAGGGGAGATAAAATCGAAGCACCTTCATCAATAGCACGAACAGAAAAAAGGAGCCCGGCTACCAATTGCCTTCTTCTCCTACCACCAAGAAAAATGGAACTTTTGCCTCTGCGGTAGCTTTCGGCCTGCGTGCGTTGCATCAATCATCATCCATTATTTGGCATGACTTCTTGCGGTTGACTTCGGACACACTTTCACTTCCTCCATATAAAAAATCTCATCAATGTATTCGTGGTGAAAGCCCGTGAGATGAATGTAATGAATCCAAACATTCTGTCCACCTCGAAAGCCATAAATTACTCGCATGTATTCCAGAACATCGATTTCACATCCTAATTGAATCGTCAGAGAAGTGACGGTACTACTCAAAATAGAGTGAAGAGCATGTACAGGAAAGAAAAGGTGTCTTTGTCCCGTCCACATGCTCATGCTTGAGAATGCCTCTTGGTGCATGTACGTAAGATTTCCAGCTTTCAAATATCTCTATCATCATGTACACAAAATATCATGCTGATATTTTGTGTAAATCTAATGAAAATATATTACAATAGCAAGAAAAATGGAACAAAATTGATTACTTGAGTATAGTTTACAAGATGCCGAGATAAAGTACTTTCAAATACTATTTCAAATACCTGAGCTTCTGAAAGGTTGGCATGGTACACGATTGTTTCACTATGAAGCGACATGTAATCCACGTTTTTTTTTCGAGCGCAGGAAAAGACGTAGAGAAAGAAGTTGTAATAAAGTTCAAGGTTGCGAGATCCGGAGGTTGTAACATGCCCTCCACATAATTCTTTCTTGTCCAATATGTATAAATGGTGGCATCGTAATAATAGTATGAACGTTCATTCCAGCTGGACGAACGAGAAAGCTTGTAACATACGACATTTCATTTAAATAACGATGCAACTGCAAATGAACGTGGGTCTGCGAGACACACAGGAGTGTCAAAAGTCACGACTCTTACCATATCTTTTGTACTCTGAAAATGATTATTTGCTAAAATCATTGGTGTGATTTATAATTTGGGGAAATGAACTCCTCCATATGGCACTCTATGGGCCATATCTTTCACTCTACCATCAATGTACAGAAACAAAAACCCAATAGCCAAAGCTAGTCTGATGGTACCTAAAGTGCCTTTGTACATTCGAAGTGTAGGTGTAGCCCAGTCCTTAGATTCTCCTATATCTAAGGTGTTATCTTTTTCCCATGCAGTGTTTACCATGCTATGTTTTGAGGAATGTTACGATCTTACTTTGCATAGCGCAATATATGAGTAAACAGCTGAAAAGAAGTGAAAATTGAGAAAAATGACTGGCTACAATGATACTACTAACACTTGTTTCTGCGTTGTGACTTATTCACTGTTCAAAAAAATTTCGTCAGTGTTCAACCATCCGCCGCCCATCCTTGTGCAAGTATGACAATCTGAATTATATCTCTATAACTTAGATTCGAGGCACTATACTGTTGTTCCTTGTTTCATAATCTGAGTTTCTTCCTTCGTGATTTGGGACGACGTCATCCTCATACTGACCGGCAGACCACTGGGCGGAGCTTTGGTTGGATTCGTACTGCTCTTCTTCATCGCAGGGAGGTGAAGACTCAATCCGTGTTTCTGTACTCTTCGTCAGACATGCAAGAATGTCAGGACGTGCTTAGAGCATAAATATGGTGAGGTTTCATGAGAACACAGGGAAAGGACTTAAAAGCAAAGTTGCTATTCTTATGCATAAAGACTCCTCTTTTCATATATTGCTTAAGACTGTGTGAGCTCCTTCATTTGAATTTTACTTTCAGGAATTCTCCCTCGTGTAATCTGATGTCCGTGTCTGATCCAAACTTCGATCAAAGATATTGTATGCTCTTCACTCGCATCGAACAATTTTGCATAAGGTGAGTTGTCTTGAGATATCCAAACAGATAACCAGTACAATGGATCACTGCATACGGAGGTGCTTCAAGCTATGGTGTTTAAGACAGTCCCATTGGGCATGTGAATTGATACACGTGGGGCAAACACAAGCATACATTAATGTGGTCCACTTGGAACAGGAACACACGCATATGCTTGACTAATTCGTGATAGTCTTTTACTCTACCTCTTTCAATCTTGAAGCCACTTTACAATCTGATCCAGTAACTGGCATATAGAACCATGGTTCCTGCAATCCTCAGGATAGTTTCTTGTGCTAGAAGAAAATAGTTGACAAACAGCTAATTACTTTCACATGATTACCTCATGTGTTACCCCATTTGTTAATGTACATGGCAGAGTCATGTAAGACATGCTTACCAATGAATAGGAGACATTACCAATGAATGGAGGACTCGTATACACACAGAATATAGACGTGGCACTGGCATAAGTGACACCTTTCTCTGCTGTACAAGAAGAAGGCAATTTCAATTTTGATTAGCCTTCATACTAACTATCATGTTTACCTTTTACTCCATGTGTTCTTCCCCCTTAGATGACTAAACCATCTTTAAGATTTTCGTGCTTCCTTCTGACTCTTGAAGTGCCCACATTCTTGAATACACTCCTTGCTGCTTGAGGAGTTTCTCATGAGTTCCTTCCTCAATGATTTTTCCAGCATCCATCACCTTGAGAATAAGAGTGAAGTTAGTTTTATCTCATTTCTAATTGTGCTAATAACTTCAAATGTAGGCAACTTGTACACAACCTGTCTTACCAGGATCCTATCGCAATGCTTGATTGTACTTAGGCGATGGGCGATGAAGACACAAGTTCGACCAGCTGCCAATTCTTTCAGTGATCTCAAGATAGCAGCCTGCACGTAGAAATACTCATAACGGTGAATGGTGTGTTGTAGCGGCTTCGAGTTGGTTTGAAGGCAAAAGCTATTTATCGAATCTATACGACTAGTCTATAAAACATAAATCATTGATATTTTACTGCATATGAGATAATACTTGTAAATACATGTCGACACCAACTTTATTATCCTTCAGCAGTATGAACAAAGATATACTAGTTAAATGAAATTTCCCACTGAATGCCGGACATAAAAAAACATTCATTACTCGTCGTTTACCTCAGTTCCAGAGTCGAGAGCACTGGTGGCCTCGTCACAGATTAGCAACCGTGGAGACTACAAATAGACACAAAACCATTCTGTCATCTCATAATTGTCAACTTCGCAAGATAAGAACCCTAAGAAAGAGTAAGCATCAAATCGCTTTTTCACGGACTGTTTCATGTCTCGTCATACTGATTCTGTTCAGTATCTACATTAGATAATTCACAAAAACCAAACTGTGCAAGTTGGTCACGAGTCTGCCGACTCTTGTGTTGAATCTTTTCTTGTGATGACTTCTTAATGAACTGGTGACAACTTATATATGAACATCTTAAGCGCATGGTTACTTGAAATCGAATATATTGAACGAGGATATCGCGCTCAGGGAAAAAACCTTTAAAAATGCTCTTGCTATTGCAACACGTTGCTTCTCGCCACCACTCAACTGCGAGACAAAATTACCATTGAACAACTATCAATGATCGAGTAGAAAGCCATCCCGGTGATCATCAGACATCACATCATCTCTGTCAGCAATATCTAAAACTCCGGAAAATATGACATCAAAATAAATGTGCTCTTTTAAAACATATTCCTCAAAACTGACTGCCAATAAATAGTACTGAAAAAATGCGATTCAAAATCCGCAGCAAATACGCAAGCTTCTACGTTACATATTCGCTGATGCAGCTCATAGACTGTGTACGAATAACGTTGCTCTTAAATTTCGTCTACATTTATAGATAGAACTTACTTTCAGCCCACGCTCACCAACAATTGTGGCATAGCCATCTGGCATACGCTTCACGGCATCATGAAGGCGCTGCACCATTAAAAAAATCATTACACTTGATTTATGAAAACACATCATAAAATGAACAAAATTCCAATGAAAAATCTCAAAATATCATATGTGGTAGAAAGAGAAAGAGAACAATGCCGTTCAAAATAGTTCTTCTACTTGTTGTACACGAGTCATATATGCGTTTTCACAAAGAGAAAACACTGTTTCCTTCATTTACTTGTTAGGGTCATGAAGCTGATAGTCAGAAGATGACGGGAGAGGGATTCAAAAATCAAGAAAACGAAATTTAGGAAGTATTTGAGTATTCTCACCGCTTGTTTGGAAGCATGATACACTTCCTCCTCTGTCGCCTCGGGTCGTCCATAAGCAATATTGTGATAAATAGTGTCGTTGAAAAGTACCTGTGTTCACACAACACCGACAACCGTGAAGATGACGAGTAAAGGAGACAAAAGTTTCTGAAAAATATCTGAGCAAGAAACCTGATTCCCTGTAATGCAAAATGGAACTTGAGGTGGTATACCGTATCTTGAGGAACAACTGCCACAGTATTTCGCAACGAGGTCTGCATCAGCAAGCCCACTTTCACCATTCGTAAGAGATTTCTTGAAATAAAGAGGCTTCCTTTCCCAACCCATAAGAATGGGATGCAGACTAACAGCGCGTTAGACTTGGCAAAATGGTTTTTACATCCAAACCGCATCTCTAGATTCCACAGCCAAAAAAAATTTATGTAAAAAAAAAACCTAAACAACATCGACTCTTCTGATCAGAAAGCAGAAATTTGTTGGTATTTCACGCTAAGAGACCTGAGATAATGAACGCAAGTCGCGGTCGTCAATGTACAATGCACCTGAACCTGGGTCATACAGTCTCAACAATAGTTTCACTATAGTGGACTTCCCTGAACCAGAAGTCCCCACAATGGCGATACTCTGTCCAGGATCAGCTGCAAATGACACTCCTCCTAAAACCTGCATATATCAATGTTAAGAACCATGTATCCATGATATATAGACAACCTGTTGTATCAGAAGTAAACTGGCTACAATGTCCTCAAGCAGGTTACACAAATATGTGGATTTCAAGACACATCAGATGATTCTCTCATCGACCACTAGGGAGCATATTTGACACATGATTCCATAACATGAAGGATTTCCTCAGGACTGGAACTACAAAGATGATTACAAAACCACGATAATTGAATACCTCACGGGCTGGTGAGTAACCAAAACGTATATGCTTCACCCACAGCTTGACACCAATAGCTGACGCATTCAGGTCAAAGTTCCCATCTTTCAATCTTGGTTTCGTGCTGTCAAGACATGACCCAAATGTGCTCAGACCAAATCAAGCCCTGATGCAGCGATATCCAAGATAATGACTACTTGCTATGACGACAGACGCGAGTACGTTCAATGATAATAAAAATTAAAACCGGTGAAAAGAACAAAAAGAAGAAGAAATCTTACCTGAGAATAGCAAACAGGGACTCCAGATCCACCAAGGACTGCCTGAGGTCTCTATAAAGATAACCCAAAAACTGGATTTCAAAATGCCAAATATGATTAGGCGCAAATCACTTCACATGCCCATTGAAAGAAGTGCATTTATCACGGAAAGGAAACAAATTGTGTACCTGCAGAGGTCCAGAAATCTGAAGAATAAGACCATTTGCAAGAACGAGATCTCCAATTGTCATGGTTCCCCTCGCAACATTCATACCCGTTAGCGCCATGACTGCAGCAACACCCATGGCTAGAATCAAAGCCTGTCCCGCATTCAACGCTGCTGATAGACGCTCTGCATCCAGCTGTATCACATCCTTCAGACTCTGAGGTTGTCTCCGTATACGGTTACAATACTTTACTTTCACCTAAAGAAACTCAACACCTATTTCCTCGAGGACATATACTGAAAACTCAGTGAGGATCACAGAAAGCTTGCAGAATATTGTGCTACACACAAGGCAGACACAACCCAGTCTACGTAAAAACAATAACTACTTGTTTAGAGTGGCACTTGGTGGTACTAAATATGTGTCGGCTTTAGAACATGGCTTGAAAGCAAGACTAGGAATCGCAAACACAAGCACCCTGCGATGAAAAGTGTAAAAAGTGAACAAGCCCGGCACATTCACCGTGGGGTAGGAACCACACAAATACTACGGAAACAATTTATACGACCCAAACCCCAAGAACTTATGACAGCCACCAGGTTCGCCGACGTCTTCCTTGAGTACTGAGTGGTGTTTCTTAGACAGCAGAAAGTGGGGAAGATCGAATACATACAGACGTCTTCTGGTATCTTCGTAGAAGTTCATTGTACTGATGTACTTCCAGCTTTTGGTTATTGAACTGGAAACAGCAAAGAAACTTTTTTAGCCGACGGTTGTCTTTGTTTACCATAGCACTGGAACATAGCCTGGGATCATATAATGCAGAAAATTTTCATTTTGATAAGCGACCAAAAGAGTTCATCTGAGATGCAAGTTCCAGAGAGATTTCTCTATTCCTAATCCTGACCAGAGGTTAACTCATTTTCGGAAACATGAATTTAGCTCATGTTTCCGAACATGCGCTAACACGTTCGGAAAGACATGAGATTATATTAGGACGGGGAACTCTGTTAGATTATTATAATGACCTGCACTACGGTCTCGTAGTTCAGAAGAGCATCCACAGCTTTTCCAGTAGCCAGATTTTCTAGCTTGTTCACCTGCACACACATCAACCATACACCTGCAATTATCATGGCGTTCGTTCGTTATATATTTTCAGTTCTAAGAGGAAGACGTTCCTCTTCAAAGTTCGTAACCACGCAAATGATAATCATAACGAGAAGGGACAGGTTTACATAGCTAAAGCTTATAAACACTAACCTCCTTTCGACTTGCTGCAGCAGCTGAAGTTATAACCACAGTGTACGCCACGTATGCACCAAACGTAGTGAGGACTATTCCCGCAACCAGTCCACTGACTTGCTGGGCTAATAGTAGACAGACGAACGCTAGCTCCACGGCCGTTGGTACGAAAGTAAAAACTGCAAGTCCAAAGACAAATCACAATGAATAATTGATGAGCTATGTCAAGGTTAAAAAGCCCAATAAAATCTCCGAAAGCTGCTCTAGAATGTAGGATTGTTTTCAGTAGATATCAGGCCCAGCATTTAGAAAACAAATTAACATTTGTTTTCTTTAGGGTCTATTATTCAGAAATTAGAACAAAGTTAGCCAACGGCGAAAAGATAAATTTTGAACTTTATACGTCCAGCTCAAAAAGGCTTTCTTATCAACCAGTGAAGACTAGCTTATTTTATTTTGAATCTATCTATTGACAGCGCAGGAGTATACTATGACATACTTGCGTATGTCATAGTTTCAAACCTCCCCATATGTGGCAAATATGTAACGCAAAACAACCCATCAAGGAGGAGATATCATAGTGGACGTACCAACAGCTCGAAAGATATTGACTACACTTCGTTGCGCTCGATCGAGAATGCGTGTCAAAGCCCCAGTCTGTCGCTCTAGGTGAAACGCTAAATCCAGGCGGAGAATGTGCTCCAAAAGCTGAACACCCACCCTCCTTCCAGTAGACTGACCCAGGGGAGCAAACACTAGGTACCGAAGCTCATTCAGCATTGCGCTTACTGCCTGACATGCAGTACTAAAGTGTCAAGAACGGACAGGGTAAAACTCGTGGCATTCCAGCTCACATCTATAGCAACAACTGCACCAACCTCGTGATCAAAAGGTAAGGTCTCTCTGAACAGTGTATTCCCTAAGGTGATCAACGTACTGAGTAAAGATGACAAGACAGGTTTGCAACTCTAGATGATCTGCTTTGAGGACATTCACCTCCTTCGAGCTAGACATCAACAACGATGTAAATTTGGAAAAGGTTTGACAGCATTTAATCAGTAGGGAGGATCCGTACTTTGCTCAGAGCAGCCAAGACAAGTATTAGGACAGCCGAATGCATGTTCTTTGTGGAGAAGACTTGAGCTGGTGCTTGAGAGAGATTATCCATAGCACGCTTAAAAAATACTGGTCCTGCAAGCCCTGAAGCCTGTATCAGCCAAAATGGTTCAATACATGTGGTCTCATGAGATATATTACTAACAAAGAAGAACCTCAAATTACAGATTCTTCTCAGCAAACTGCACCATCCATTTATATATGTGTATTTATCCATGTTTGTCAGTGGGAAATCTTCGGGTGGCCTGCGTCAAAAAACCCAAGGTTTAGACAGGATTGAAGTCCTGAAGTGTGCTGAGACGCCATCTGGGACCCAAATTATACCATTCTATCGAAACGAAGAGGGGGCATAACGGGAATTCAGCAGTTAAGCTCAATGCAAATATAATGTTGTTTGATTACAAGACTTTGGGAGTATCAAGCTATAACTCAGAGAATGCGTATTGCAAGTTACAATTTTCTCTGAGAGAGATTCACACCCTTCTCGCACTGAACTTTTAAACTCACAATACTACGGCTGAGCAGTAAGTTAGAACACCATTCCCTACCTCTTACATAAAGCAGCTGGACCAAGAAATTTATTCCATGATTTATGACATGGGAACGACTGGTACCTTGCTAATGACGAGCAGAACAAGTGCCACAGCCAAGCGCCAGCTCAAAGTTTTATCTCCGGCAGCCAGATTCCATACATAAGGCAAGACCTGTGTCAAAGCAGGATTCAGCCACCAGAAGTTAAGTCACCGGCAATTAAGTAACATAAAGTACCACTTGGAATTCAGAAGCCGATATAAGATGCTCACAGTTCTCAAGCCCGCATCTGCAGGAGGCTCTGGAAGTATGGCCCCGTTTTCCTTGGCGCCACTACTACTATGAGCCTGCGCAACTCTGGCGCGAATTACAAGAGGCCGATGCTGATTCGAGCCGAAGCCCAACCCGTGCACAGCCGCACCGGAAGGAATCCATGGTGAAGCTCGAAGAGAATTCAAGCTGGCGAGCCGAAGCTGCTGCGATGAAAAGCTGCGCAAGATTGGCTGGAGCCGAGGCATGCGCTCGCAAGGCCTCCTCAGAGCACAGTGCTGCAGCATGGTGCTTGGCCCCTGATCCGACGTATGGCAAATTCAGATAATGTCAAGCTAGCGTCCTTCTTCCAACATTCTTCCCGAACTGCGAGTCCGTCTCGAAATTCTCCAGCCTGCCCCTGGCCCCGTAGCTCCTGCTCCGGGCCCTCTCTGTGGCTCGCTCGCTCGCTCGCGCACAGAGCGAATTTTCGTGCATCTCTCGCATCCTTGGCTCGCTCGCAGCTATCGTGGCCCTCGCTCGTTGGGGATGTCTGTGTCACCGGTGGGACCCACCCTCGCTCCTTCAGAGACTCGCAAAGGCATCTGTTCTGTCGTGCTGCATGCACGCTCTCCTCCCGTCGGCCTCCCGGTGCACGGCCGGAACCATGGCAGCGCTGAGCCTCCCGAGGAGCCGACTTCCCGCGGCCACAGAGCTTCTCATCCCATCGCCTTCGATGTCAGTCGTTCCCTTGTGTTCCCCTCGACTTGTGATCGAGCGCGCCAGTGAATTATCAGCAACCCGTACACTGATCCAAACCATGCGCTAGACCCAGATGATCTTATTATTAACTATTTCTACTAAATTATCTCGTAAAGAATAAATTACTTCATATCTTTCATTACGTAATGAGTAGTTTGGAGCGACCATTGTCTCTAGTGCCACTCGATCGCTCACATCAATGTACAATTGTACCTAGTTGTATCCTTGGATATTGTTGTGACCATCACAAGACTATGGTGGCCACTCTACAAAAGAAAGGGAAGAGAGGGATATATATATATATATGTATATATATATGTGGGGGGTTATCCCTCACTAACTAGCCCTCACTCTTCTATAGGTTCGTCACATTGTTAAGATGGGGCTATTGGGTCTTTGTGGTAAACTTCGCACTTTCTCATCGACAAGGAACACAATACATACAAAAAATTCCAATTCATGATCAACCATCTTCACATCTTCTGAAATCACCAAAGTCAACACAATGAAATCCCAGATCGTTCTTGCAATTCTCTCGTTAGCATTGATGTTGGGACAACGTGCATCAATGATCACATCTCAAAAAATGGTCTTTGTTCACTACTTGATTTATACACATGATTCCATCTACACGTACAAGCGGGAAACTGAGCTTGCTCAAATCAAGTGCATCAATACATTTGCATTGAACATCAACGTCTAAACAACATTTGTGCTCACCATAAATTCCCACCATTGAGCACGTTTCCGCTACCATGAACCTTGACGTGACGACTCGAACGCGGAGGTGGCAATTAGGCTTTTTCCGTGGCTTTTGACACCCTGGCATCTTTGACGTCGATTAGAAAGACTAGAACTCGCAAAATTTTGTACCACACAAAACCCATAGCTCAATTGCACCAATGACTGACGTCTTTATAGTAGTATAAGGGATAATTAGCCCCAGTGAGAGATAACTAGCTGCCTCCTCTATCTATCTATCTATATATATATATATATATATATATGTTGGGCATACTTGTATGATAAACCCGCTTTTTCATAGTAGTACATGCACTTGGACAGCAACTATATGACATGTCCACCTAGTGGAGTAACACCATGACATCTACATAATACGATTTTTTTTGCAAGGCGGTGACAAATTGTCACGGTTGATTGTGTGACATTTTACCAAATCTCCCTACTTCCAACATTTGACACTTATTATAGCATAGCATTTTTGATTGGATTTGCATGTCATCACAATTGTGTAGGTAGATAGTTGCGAAAGGAAATGTATCAAATAGAAACTTTAGTGAATTTCTTCACCTTTTGCATCTCTTTTGCATTTGAAGTCAACAACGTCAAGAAAATACTAGGGCTATATGGTACTGAATTTATAAGGTTTGTTTTATTGCAGTTTTAGATATTTAGACATAGAGAGTGTGATCAAGGTTCACAAATACTAGTGTGAAAACAATAATATGTGAAGCTAAAACTAGGTTTGGCTCAACTAAACATTCTTATCTTTATGATGTGCTTGTTTGCTATTTGATTATAGAATAATTGTTTCTATTGGAATAATTAATGGTTTTGGCTCTAAGTGTGATACTTGTGAGTAGTTGAGAACATGTAAATTGTTTGGTATGTTCTAGTAGATATTAACTTCTATCTTTGTTGTAAAATAATAATGTCCTTGATGGAATGAAGATCACCATGACGATATAGGAAAATATATTAACATCAATATCAAGATATTTCTTTACTATCATATAATTGACGTAGAAAAATGCTCTAAAGTTTAGCTTTAGTGCTTGTAAATGTTCATTTTAGACCTTTTGAAAGCAGATTGTAAATCTATAATCAGTTTGTATGCTTGTATGATCTTATATATTTGATATTTGACTTCAATATAAAGTATGTTTATATATGTTATTCATAATTATGTATGAAGATAACTTTGATCTAGTTGATTCAAGTTGGTGTTACTTTCTTTACATGACAATAATTAGTTTGCAAATATATACATTTATAGATAAAGCTCTCTTTTTTTATTAAAGAAACGTAATTTCATCAAAGTAGCCCCTCAAAGTTGAACTATTTATTTTTGTGTTGGATATCTTGCATCATTAGATTTGAGAGGTTTTTTTTCTACAATTTGTTACCTTAATTTAATTTTGAGCATGATCTCATTTAAGATTTCACATGGAGCAAGCTTATCATCATATGAATTTTGAGTAAGTCTTTGAGCTTAGAGTAATCTTGTTATTACAATTTTACCAACCAAAATCCATCCTAATACTAGCATGTGAAATAACAAAGCATTGTTATTTGCGGATCATAGGTATTGTCATTTAGAACAAGTATTCATCATTAAAGATAAGCATCTCGAGACTCAACTTTCTTTCTCTTTGTGTTGCATCATTAACTAACGTTTTTATATATGTGACATAATTATTAGAGATGAAGTGATGGATACAATCATACAAAGATATCCGTGATGTAGAATTTGCACATGGTCTAAGTCAAATTATGGCGTAGATCTTAGTGATTTAAGGATGATTGATATTCATAAAATGATTAAAGTTTTGAATCTAGATGTAAAAACGAGTATAGTATATTCTTTTCAACAAAAAGATGGTTAATTTTTGAAGATGTGGCAAGATTGATCATTCTAAAAACAGAATTATTGTGTGAAGATTAAATTTTTTGATACTCTTTTCATCATTGAGATTCAAAAATTTAATGCTAAAAGAGTAAAAAATGATTCATTCAACGATAAACTATAAAATCATATATATGACCTATGCAATTTATTAAAGTAAGTTGATGATAGAATGATTTAGGATAGTGCTTGTTAATATTTCATTTGTTATATTAGAGAGTTTTTTATTATTAATATCAAATGATTCAATTCTTATGTTAATCATCGAGCTTGAAAATTTGAAGTTACTGAATGTGGTATGTATCAAATGTTCTATGAAAGTTACTTACGTTAACTAATGTCAAAAAAATTTTCTTCATATAAATTTTTTTAATTTAACTTAGATATAATATTATAAAAAATGAAGATAACAAATATCATTAAATTATTTTGAAATAGCACAATCTTACAATTTTAAACATGCTAGAGAGCAATATTATATATGATGAAATTAATTGTGTTTGATTTTGATTGAAGATGATTCGTATATGATGTTCTAGGTTGAAACACATGAATATTAATAATTGATCATACTTGCATATGTAAGATTGTTGTCAAGCATAGATATAATTAATTTTGAATTATGTGTACATTGCGTTATGAGCAAGTATTATAGAAAAACTTATAGATGGAAAATAAAAAAAATTAAACAACAAATATTGATGTAATAATGTTATTTATAAGAGTTAAATTTGATATAGAACTGTGAGAATATTATATGCAAGCATTATCTGACACTCATTGCCGATGAAAGCTTCTTGTCTAACATAAATAAAGTTTACTCCAATTTTTTATGGAAGCTTCTTGTCTAGCATAAATAAAGTTGACATTAGTTTTTATGAACATTAAATTATGGACAAGCATCATTTGAGGTTGAAATCTATGATTACAAAGATTTGATTGAATATGTAATTTATGGATAATTTTCTTTTGAAAATTTTAGTCTAAAATTTTTACTCTTTGTAATTTATAAATGATAATCAAAATTTATATATTTTTTTCCTTACTCACAATTTTGACTTTTTTACAACTTTAAAAAGTTGAATAGTTCAAATCAAAACTCAAACTAGTATAATAATTTTGTACAAATAATGACAAAAGGTACAATTACAAAGAGTTAAAAACTACTGCAACAATTAAGATTTTGATTAATTATTAATAGGAAAAATTTTACTTAATTAAAAGTAAGCTTGATTAGTTCTAATTACTATGTATAAGTTCTTGTGATATTTATTCAATTCTTCTAATTACTTGAATGATCTCATTGATTATACTCTAATATGTGAATTAAAAAATTTTTATATCAATGATTTTTTTTTTGCAGATATCGTAACATGGATATTTTTTCAAGCTGATAATTGATATCAAATTAGTTAGACTCAAGCAATACGAATACGATTTATATTTGGTTTGATATAATTTTGATTTTTGATAATAATACTTGCAGCTATATTTATTTATCATTCTTGTAATTTTTTTTGTGTGAAGATAAAAGAATAATCTGTGAAGAGATTTGGATCACTTAGTGCAATCAGTTTTGAAAAATCAATTGATAAAGAAAGACTCATCAAACAATGACTAAAATGACTAAGAGAAGATGTTGAATGTTGGTGATTAAGCAAAAATCTGATAAATATTACAGTGACGTTATGCAACATTTGATGTCATATATATATTTTAAAACTCTAACTTTTTGGAAAAAGTCAGGTTGATTTGTAGAAGCAAACGGTCTAATGTTTGTACTTGGGTTTTGGCACTTCGTAATGGCATTTTGCATGTCGCGTTTTGACATTTCGGTTCCTCTATACTTCGAATCGGCACTTTGACTTCGGCAATTGACAGAAGTACAAAAGCATCAAACCGCCAAAATTAAAGTGCCCATGCGACGTAGAGTTGTGCCAAAATGCAGAAGCTGAATCAAAATGTAGAAACGCTAAAGCCAAAATGCTCATTTAAAGTGTCGAAAAAAAAACACAAAAACGTCAGAGCGATGCTCATATGAGATGGCAAAATCAAAGTATAGATGAGTCAAAGTCAAGTATTGGAAAGCCAAAGCCACACAATATGAGAGCTACCGAAGAAGCCAAATTACAGAAGTTTCATCTAAAGTACAAAAGTTCCAAAACAATGGATCCCAATTACTAGAGGCAACGAAAGAAACCAAAGAACTAAATTTGCCAAAGTGTGGAAGCAAAAGTGTCAAGAAAAAAGAAAAATGCCGAAATGCTAAAAATTGACAAGAATCTAAAATTAATACTGAGTGATAGTGATAAAAATTGATGAAAGACAAAAGGGTAGAGACAACAAAGGCGGTGAGGGTAGAAAAGAGATAGTGATGACAAAACAAATAAAACATTAAATGAAAAGTTTTGCCAATAAATACAATAATGACTCTCGTTACTCTTCACCTAGTTTTTTTAAATGTGTAGAGAGTAGTAGAGAGAGGAAGTGGTTATCAACTTAGAAAATAAAATACATGAATATTAGGAGTTGCAAGATGGATATAGGAAAAGTTTCAAGTGGTGCGTTCTGGAGACCTAGTCATGAAGTTTAGATTATGATGAGGTTACATACAACACATGATCACATCTAAGACAACTTGAAAAAAAGTTCATTCGTCGAATAGAGAAGAAGATTCTAGACCATTAAACTTCACATTAAACATTAAATATTGAGTTTATAAATTAAACATCTTCACGGGAAGTTGATTTAGATGGGGATATAGGGGTTCAAATCGTGTAAATAACGTTGATAGCAAGTGTGAAGTGAGGATGGCCAAGGAAAAGATCAAGAGTAGTTGTCACGATGAAATCGAGAACAGAGTCAATCCATTAGCTTGGTGAAGAGATAGTTTGCTGTGAAGATGGTGTGACTATAGATCATCACACTCATGACATGACAGATTGGAAATATATCGCTACTACGGTGGATTTCATTGCCAAAGGGAAAAGGAAATTAGGTAAAATACTGAGAAGTGTGAAGATTTTCCCTCTTCTTTCGAAACGCGTTCCCACATATACGGTCGATAGTGTTTGTCTTCCAAATCCACTTTGGATGTGCAAATTTGAAGAAGTCAGATTTGTGCCAACTTTAGGATCCATGAGAAAGATCTTCTACACAGCACTCTGGCTGTGTACCGCACCAGAATACGTCATATTCCGGCGGAAACACTTGACAACCGTGCAGAAGGTCCTCTCGACCACACAAGTGAAACATCATTAACCTCATCTCACCCAACAAAACTATGGGCGTTCCAAACTCATCTATCTATACTAGCTACACTACGTTATGGCCCTATCGGTGGCTACTTAAAAATGTGAAGATTGGGATATCCCAGGCCGAGCAATTGACTGGATTTCATGTGGGGAGATACTCGAAACATCCAACTGATACAAGTCCAGCAGACTATGGGGGCTTTTGATATGGACCAACCTACGAGACACACAATTCTGACCACAAAAGCTATCAACATACTGCTCGCCGCTCGCGGATTGTAGATCCTGGTCGAACGTCTTCATGTGAAGAAACTAGAAGATAAAATCAAGAGTGAAAACACGTCGGCATCGCTGCCGATGACATATACTAGATCTATTTTTCGGTATAGAATGACATCTCTTCCATCACCGTTCTTACGAAATGGCCTCTCGTGAGCAGCCAGAATACTGTTCCCACGGGGTTCACACAATGGTACCAATACTTCAAAGCTCTCTGCAAATATAGACAAGTATTGTTGACGAGATTACGTGGCACTCTCAGAACCCTTACAGGACATATACGTCAGTTTGGTTTCAAAAGCAATATCAGATGTACGAAAACTATCCTGTCGTGCAGGAAGGAATGACTTAAATGGACTAGAAGTGGTTTCAGAAATTACTTCGAGGCGGTTAAGCTAGACAAGTTGTTGAAACTAATCACTTGAACACGAGCGTCAATGTTAATGTCAAAGGCTGAGGTAGGATTTGTTACGGGAACAATACAACTAGGAAGAATGGTTGTTTAGAGGGCTTAGATAAGCTCCAGGTATGCTTCACGGCGCCAGTACTCAATTCAGAATGGAATAGACAGCAAAACTTAAACCAACTCAATCACATTAATTCTACCTCATGTGCCATAAATAGACTGGAATTACTAAAGATTTGCTTACGCATCGGCTTACAAATGCTCACGGCATTCAAAATTTGCTTGTTCGTTAAGAATTCTAGGAATGCGGGAGAAAGCAAAGATCATGGCAGCTCAAACACCGATTTGCAGTGAAGAAGATTCATCTACTTGTCTCAAGCTGGTGATGACGTAAAACATCGATTTTTCTCTATTTGTACTGAAGCTACGGGTGGTTTACCGCCTCCTGAGGCCTGCCAGGCAGCCGGTGGACCAACAATATTCCTACTTGAGGTGATCTCACTCAATCCAGCTTACGACTAAACCTTCAGGTGAAAGTTATCATTACTTACAACACCCTACCTACAGCGTTCAGCCTCTGAACTTCCACTCTCTTCTGCACATGGGGCAATGAGGTCTTGGGCTTTGTGAGTTGACCCACTTCAATATACAATGCAGATGAAATGCATGGTTGCACGCACCCCATACTGCTCCACACAGCAACAAGAGTAGTAAAATAAGTTCAATTGTTAATATAGAGATCAGCATGAAGCATCGTTTGACAGACCTGACACGCAAGGCACAACTTCTATTCAACAGAATTCAACACCAACAGCTGGTAAATTCAAATGTAGCAGTAAAACTTGTATAGATTGTGGACTGCAGCATAAGAAGAAGTGCAGCTTCCCTGGTTAGGACGTAAGTTGCTAAGCTTGGGAAGTACACACATTGAGTAACTGAAATTTGACAAAGAATCCACACAAGATCTTCACACCCATGCCGAAGTTCAAACAATTATCCAAGAAAGGGCAAAAGATTACTGAGTGGGCAGTCGTCTCCAGGCATTTTGCAATCAGGACAACACCCATCGAACGCCATACGGCAAATCCCACAGGCATCATCGTGAGCATCCCATGTCCATGAAGCTACTGCGTGCCATCTGCACGAAAAAGAACACATGGTAAGAGGTCGGCTTTCACGAGTGTTTTCGAGCATACGAAGAGTCTGAACAGAAGTATCGAAGAAATCCTGAATGAAACGAAAGGAGTGGTACATCTGAAAAAAAAACTGTGATTCTAATACAGCCTCACAGAATCAAACGTTAAAATATCAGGAGCTTATGATTCAATTAGCCGTAACTGTGTCGAAACTCAAGCCTATTGATTTCAATCATAAGCATTGAGCAGCATGAAAGAAAAGCTTACTCTGATAGCGAAGAGAAGACGCAACGCAGATGGCGATCTTGTCAAGGACACAACCCCACAGTGTTGTTGTATTGCACCTTCCATTTTATATCTCCTCGTTAAAGAGGAATTAAAACACGAACCAAAAATATGCACGTATACGACCAAACCTATACAAAATCTCAATTTCTATATCATGAACTCAAGCAGGGCCTCAACAATCGTATCGATCGAATTAGGAACGGAGATACAACAACCAGAGAACCTAAATTCAGCGAATGGGATACTCAGAATTTTGACTTTCATATTTTGCGCCCGTCTGCTCCCTCCCTGGACACCTGGCGGAGAAAATCGTCCAAATGCAGCTCAACCTAGATCCGCATCGGTGAATCAGGACTCCGATGATCGCCTTGCCGCACGTCAAAAATCCAGAGACCTTGAACAATCTTCAGGTTCCAGAAATCAATTCGCCATTCTCCGTCGCCTCTGCATCGCAGATTCACCTGTCCAACGAAAGCGCCACGGATTCAAATTCGAACCTGTCAGCACGGCCCAAAGTCTGTCGGGTGCTGATGCCGACGAGGGGGCATTTAGAAAGCGGTGTCGGAATATTCGCCTACGGATTGGATCTCCGACATCACCTTCAGTCATTCCGACGGGAGCGCCGTCGGCGCTTGCCCGCTGATCACAGGCAACGCAGCGCATTCCAAATTTTGCCGGCCGTTCGATTTGAGCACATATAAACATTTCGGTCAGTAAGTCAAAAGAAGTTAATGGATCTACTGAAGAAACTTGGAATCGCAACTTATACCTTTTTTTTATAAATACATGAAATATGGACCATATATATGGTTAATCTTTACAATTATTGGCATTTTTCATTAATCATTTGATTTATTTTGTGAATGTTTAATGACAAAAATTGCTAATGTAATTCCTAATACTTTATAAATTTTACTATTTCTTCCTTTTTCAAGTGGAAGATTTTAGTAAGTTTGATAGCCCAATATAACATTCATTTGAAAATTTTCAAAGATCTTTAATATCATTCAATTGAATCATTTTTTGGCCTTTTATATAAGCTTTATATGTTTCATAGGTTTTTAGATATAGACTGCAATAATGATTTAATATTGGAATGTAAATACTGCAATCCAATTCATGAGATTCATTTAGTCACTTCACATTTACTTGACGTTTTTTAATTTCCAGTGTTTGAATGAGAATAAAACTTTCAAGATAGTTCTCCAAAATTATAGTAGTCAGCTTAACCTGACTACCATAATTTGCTTGATTATGCGAGTATATCCAGTATAATCGGTATGCGTAAGACTAAATTCTACTAGAAAATATAATAAAAATTGAAGCATAGGTATTTATCCTTGCTCATTTGTTGTCGCGAGTGAACAATTCTGTATGAGGAGGTCAAAAATAGCTTAAAGTTGCTAAATACGCTAATATCAGTAACATAAGGAAAAACGTATGATACGTGAACCACCAAGATCTGTATTTTTCCTCCACATATGCTACAAAGAGTATATTATTCTTCTACACACATGTTTCAGTCAACCACGTATTTTCATAATACCTCTCTGGTATGCTAATGCAACTTATGCTTCAAGTGTTGCATTAGCAACGAGTCGAGCAGGTCGAGACTGAGGTCCAATGAGGAGCAATATTCATTTGAACTCTAAAACTGCAAGCAGAGGGAAAACAATGGCGAACAAGTCGGAGGAAAAGATGCAACAACCTCAATCCCATCTTCTTGAGCTAGATGTGCTACAAAACTCAATGTAATGCATTCCCAAGTATCCAGCAATACACAACCAAATGTTAGAGCGAGCATTCATCAGACCTCGGCCTTCCAAAAATCAACTTATTTTGAAACCACAAAGTTCTACTAAGTAAGTGTTGGGCTGAAATATGATGAATTTGTAAATTCATCTGTTTCGTGGACTTCACAAACTTTAAATGAACGCATCTCAACTCATATACCGCGTGCGTATCACAGTGGGGGTCGTGATGCTTTGTAAAATATATACACCGTACAGTACTTCACTGTCGTTTTATGTTACCTAATCCATGTCAAAGCTTTAATACCCACACAAGTAACAAGATCATGGTTCACTTTCCACATTAACACTGCGTCGTCAAGCGTATCCTATGAAATATACCCAAAGATCAAAGAGCTCTTTAGGAAACAGATATTCGATGTTTGGAAACTGTGCTTAACGATTTAAGAACAGAATACAATAAAAAAGCAAAAGGCAAAGTATTGGGGAAACCCCACCAAGTTGTGTACTGTACGGATGGTAACATGGGCCAGGTTCCGAAAGGGAATAAGTGATTTTCTACATGTGGTATCATAACATACCAAACGCAATAACAATTGCACCAGCATATTCTTTTGTACACAAATACCAACCGAAAGAATAGCGAGAAAGTCGTTCACTTCACTGTACTTCCTTTTTTCATGCATACAACAATGTGTCACCTAATCGCACTTAATCGGGTCACAAAGAAGGCAAGTGGCTCCAAGGCCCCAGTTTAGCCCTCGGGTTACACCGCTCATGGCTGTACATACTGCACGTATACCGTAACCTTGGTGTGCCGACCCAAGGTTAAGTTTCCAGAAATGAACGAAGAGGTCTCTGATAAGCGCTCCTCGAGCTCCTCCTGCACATGGTGATAAATCGACCTCCATCCAATCAACGCTCGGTCCGAAATTCGTAACCCAACCCCGGCTTGCTGTGTTACTCCTAACCCAACCCCCTCCGCTGGGCCCGGCGCAAAGACCGTAAAGATCCAGGGACTAACCAACCGGGGCTCCAACTGCGTAGGACGGTGAGAACGTGGTTGACGACCGCCCGCCCGCCCGCCCGCCCGAGGAGTGGAGAGTGGAGGACGAGGAGGAATGGAGGGAGGGAGGGAGGGAGGGGAGGGAAGGGGAGGGGAGCAAGCTCGAGCGAGGGGAGGAGCGGCAGCAGCGATTTGCGTCTCGACGGGGCCAATCCGAAATGTGGCGCTGCTGGCGGAGCCCCGTAAAGTGCACGAGCTTTCGGTTGAACTGAGAATGTTATGAGGTAATGAAATGGTCTGGGGCGAATGCTGGCTCGGATGCAGAATGTGCTGCTCGGGCATTCGTGGCGATGAGGGGAGGTTGTGGTTTTGTCGGGAGTGCCGGGCTCTTATCTGCTCCTTTCCTGTGGATGGGCTGTGCGGAGATTGAATGAATCTCTCGTCTACGCCTCTCGCATCATTTTGCTAGATGCGGTCGCGATGGCGAGCATTTTTCTTGCGTGCCCCTATCAGTTGTCATAACACTCCTTTGGTGCCTTGTGGTGGAGCCCCGCGTTTTGCATTTGTCCTTCTTATCTTTTTCTTCGTTTCGCTGTTTGGCTGTCTGCGAATGTAATTTCGTCCTGGATTGCAATTCCGCTTTTCCCCCAAGATTTATCTGACACTGTTCTTGTACCCTGGGGTTTGGCCTCTTCTTCCGCCCTCCTGAGAGTGTCGTTTTCCTTTCACCCATGTCACCTTCTATCCGAGAAAAATCGTCCAGTGCTCGCCGGTTATTTGCGCGTCCAGTGCATGGACAATTTCGCTAAGAGAGCAATCCGTTTTTGGCAGCAGAGGTCGAGGTTTTTTCATCCGCGACCTGATTCGATTCAAGTTCATTTCTTGGACGTCGGTTTTTGAGAAGCAATCATAGAGCTACGTGCTAATTAAAGCGATGGAGCCAGACGAGATTGGAGTTGTGCTGGCCAGGGCATCCGACCTTCACGCTAAGATCAGCGACGCTATAGAGAGAGCTTTAAAGACCGAGGTTCAGTATAGTACCGGAGGAAATAGTCCCAACACTGGGGAATCGGAAAATGCTGCTCGTCCTTCGTCTCCTTCTCCTGACGGTTCTGGTATTTCCGATGGATTTGGAAAGAGTGAGCGAAAATATGAAGTCGACGTGTACGAAAAAGGTGCAACAGTTGGGGATGGTAGTGCGGAAGCGCGAAGCCTTGGGGCAATTCGAGATGCTCTGGAGGCCCTCGAAGAGTCGCTGGAATCCCTACAGGTATCAGCGTATTCTTGCTCTCTTTTATACAAACGCAAGTTTCTCGGACCTGTCTTCAGCAGGTAGATCCACTCGGTTTGCTGTGGAGCTCGGTGTTCTCAGACTATCCCGCAAATCCGTGGGCCGTTCGGGGATTCCGTGGCCCATCTCATGTTTATCTTGACTCTGTTGGAACCTTCGTGTTTCCTGTTCGTCGTAGTGCTTGCTGCGACGATAATAATATCCTCCTTCCTGTTGTATGCTTGTATTATCGATAAGGTTCAAATTTCCTGTTGGTTTTGGTTTCAAACGGCTGGCCGCCGTTGGTTGTCTCAGGGTCAGAGAAAGGGGAATGGATCAAATGGAGACACTTCATTATTATATGGCCGGCAGGAGTTGTGCTGTTCTAATTTTCTGAAAATTCTTTTCGCAGACTGTTCAACTGCAGCTGCGAGCTGAGAAGGACAGAGCACTTGACAGTATCGAGGATAATAGGCTAGTTTTGAGCAGGCTATTGAAGGAGCATCGTGGCAGAGAGTGGGAGGTTGTTCACGAAGCTCTTGCGTTTGCTGGAGAGCCTGTGGAGTACCCTGATGATCTTCCTTTGCCGCCTTATCCCATGCCAGTTGCCGATCCCCCTTCCTTTGCGCCTGCAGTAGAAGACCTGGCTCCACGTTATCCGATGCAAGTTAGAACAAGCGGGGCTATGAAGAGGCTGTCGATAGGGCCAGGGGTTCGAGAAAGTATAGAGGACCTCAAGTTTAATGTTATTGCTGGCGATGAAAGTGAGGAGGAGCTTCTTGAAGAAGATGAGGAGGAGTCTCCCAGATCAGAGCAAAGTCGGAAGTCCGGGAGAGGATTTCTTGCGTCCATTTTCGGCCATGCCTTCGGGTTCACCACTAAGGCTGCTTTAGTTGTTGTCAGTGTACTGGCAGCACTTGCCGTGTCAGAAGTAAGTCACCGGCTTGAGAAAAGAAGAGCAGGGACCAGTCCCTCACATCCGAGCCCCTCGTCTCCTCCACAGGTGCGCCAGAAGTCTCCTGCTGCCGTCCTTCGTGAGTGCCCACCTGGGAAGAAGCTGATCATGGAAGATGGGATACCGAAGTGTGTCGTCAAGGAGAGAGTAGAGCTACCTTTTCCAAGGGAAATAAAGAATCCTGATGTACTATATGGCCGTGGATAAATGCCCATTCAGGTATAGGTTGAAATATGTGTCACTTGTACGTAGTGCTGGAAACCCGAGGCAGTTTCGTATAAGGTCTGAGGACACTGAGGTTGGAAGTTCAGATGGATAGGAAGGAAGACGAACGGAGAAGAGATCGAAGGAGTACATGATTAACGTAGTATGTGTACATCGTAGATTGGTGCGTAGATGGATCACAAGCATGATCACTTTGGCCAAAACGACCGAGGGTTGAATCGGGAGCCTTCTTGTAAATTTACGCCTTTTTGGATCCGAATAACTGGACTGAGGCTTTCTTGTGTTGGTGCAGGCCTGACTCGATATGTGTGTTTTTCTGATGCATTTGCTTTGCCCCTGGTTCCAGTCTCTTTCTGGCCGAGAGCAGAGCCGAACGAGCTAATGATTGTTTCACTTATCTTCACTCTCAGTATACGAAAAAACTGCTTCTGCATCGAGGATTTTGTTAAAAATTGGGAGCTTGGTGAGTTTAGTCAAAGCGTTTTATTTATTCAACTACCTCAGCAACCCTCTGCCAACACTGCTGTTCCAGAGGGTTTTCAGTCAGTGAAACTAGCTGTAAGTTGAAGATTACTCGAAAGCCCGGAGGTGAGATAACAAAGAAAGTCTTTCTGCTGTGATGCTGGAGGTTTTTGGAGTGTACTCTTCAAACTCTGTTGGAAGATCATCTGAATTCCATCTCTTCTGGAGTCACCCTTATAGATGAGTTGCACAACACCGAAGCCTCGGAACGCACTTTGAGCCCAACTTTATCGACACAAGCAGGACGTCTGAGTCTTCCGAATAAGACAGTCAGAGCCGTCATCATGTCGAGGAATATGGGACGCACGGAGCTCCGAAACAATCCTCGTTTTTGGATCAGCTGGCCAACTCAAGCTATGGTGATGGTCCGGAACTCACGGTTCTTGGCCACTCCCGAGGTGTCGTACACAATATTTCACGACTGTTGACCAGTGATCCCGCCAGGAGAGAAAAAGTGGCATCCAGAGGTGTGTTCGTCGTCGATTGATCATTTCAGAATTGACACCGATGTGCGCAAGTGAACACACAGCATTACCAGATTCATGTCAGCCGAAATACTCACGTGCAGATTGTTTTAGTTGGTACATCCGGACGGCAGCTCAAGCATGCCCAAGAGAAAATGTGACCCGAATCTTGATGATGAAACCAACGTGGAAATGAATGCACGGTTGCAGTCGGAGGTGTGCAAAGAACGAAAAGGTAGTGTCAAACAAATGAAACGAAAATTGCTGCGCTGACCACTCCATCGCATCAAAGTCTGAGAGGTGTTGACGCTTGCCCTCTCGGAGCAGTCCAGAGTCCAGAGCAAGTGGTTTGGGAGGCAGGTGAGCGCAGCTACCAACACGCACTGTCGTCCGGCGGGTTGGTCCAAGGCCGAAGAGGAGCATTGGACCATCTCTCCGCGCACCAAAAGGGCACCCGGACGACAAGATCTGGTCGCCTGTGCCGACCGGACGGCGGCCTCCATGCGTGCCGCCCTTGTGGGACCGCGGCCGCAGATCTCCTGAGCCCCCGGATTCCGAGTCGCGAGTGCCAATTCCCGGCGTGTGCATGAGCAACACGGAGGGCGAGGGGCAGGCGAGGAGGAGCTCCGGCCAACACGAGAAGAGCAGCAGATCTCCACAAGGCAAGAGAGGAGAGGAGAGACGAGAAGACGAGAGAGTAGAGCGGAGGAAGGAGGACGGACGAAGGTTGGGGCTGGCGAGGCAGTCACACATTGCTCCTTTCTCTTGAATTGGCTGGCTGGCTGGCTCGCTCGCTCGCGTGCTGCGATGGCGATGGCCGCCTGCTGTCGGAATCGGCCTCTAAACCGCGCGTTGGTTCGAGCGTTTCGGGCCGGGAAGGAGAGTCGCAAATCGAGTTCGCAGGCGTCCAGATCGTGGTACGTGCCGATTTTTTTTTTGGGGTTTGGTTGGTTGTGTCGGTTGGTTGGATTGTTGCTTTGGGCGTTCTTGGAGTTGGGCTCGCGGGCGAAGTGTTTAGTTGTAGATCAGGTAGATCTGTTGCTGGATGGTTGCTCCTTCGGATCGGGCCAGCGCGGATTCGCATGTTTGCAGGATGGATCATTGCTAGACGGACAAGATCTTTGCGGACGGATGGAATTTGGATGTTGCAGTAAATGGGGAATTTGCAACAGGGATGAAGCGTTTACGATCGTAAATTTCAAATCACGTTATTGGGAAGCTTTGTGTTGTGTACGAATTTGGAGACTTAATGATCAGCTGGCCTCAATGCGGCAAAAAGCGTTGAAAATTGTCGGAAACACCCTACGTTTGATTTCGCATCTCAACGCATTACGGAGTGAACTTCCCTTCGTGAATAAAAAACCAGCTTTGGGAATTGGAAGTTAATTATGCCGGATTATATCGTCTCGGAGCTCGAGGGCGCAAACACAAGGTCATTGCAGTGACAGTATTCAGCTATTTTTTAGCTTGCACAATCAATCTCACAAACCACACAGGAGCCTTTTTCAGTCAACGACGATTGAGCGGCGAAAGCAAAACGTGTCGACTAGAGTAACTGGCAACATAAGGCTAGGAACGCCACTTTGAATCCATGTGCTCGTTTCAAGTTTGGACGCCTTTCACAAGACAGGTTTTGGACATCTGGCCTATAGTAATGTTGGAGTTGGGGACATTGGCAGCAGCTAAACTTTTAGGCTTGACCGGACTTCTTTATGTCTCAATCACTTTTGCAGTATTACTGGAGGTGCTGATGCGGCTGTCATCTTCAGAGGCAAGGCCAGGTAAATACATAGGTACTCTTTTTGTTGTTGGATTCTTCATGAAGGATTGATATAAGAGTTTTCACTCCGCTACAGACTTGAACGCTTATGAAAACAGTCCCTTACATTTGTGTGAATCGAAGAACGGGGGTTTGAGCTGCCAGTTACTCCTTAGTCGCAGTTGTTTTCAGCTGAAAAATGTTTCTCTCACTCAAGACTTGCAAGAATTCCACTCTGTCTTGATTTGCATTTGCTTAGTTGTTTCCAACCTGTTGATGCCAGTATATACGTGTTGACTATATAGTCAAAAGCTTCATTTGTTCTCATGTTTCCACTTATGTCGATCTTTATCTTGTGGCAGTGCCATTGCTCCGTCTACGTCTAATGTGCTCCGATCATGGCAACCATGGCCCAAGGTTTCAACCCTTGAACCGAAGCTCGAGTGGTTTTTAATTAGCAAAGTACATTCATCGGCACATAGCACTTGTGTATTTCTGCTTTGGCGCTTACGAACCGTTAATGTGATTGCAGTCCGCAAGCAACTCTCGAGCTTTCTCTTCTGGTGGTATGTCCTCCATGCCTGCTCATTCATCATGTAATGGAGAAGAGCGTAGATATGAGTTTGATTTTCTGAACTCAGTTGCAGAAGTTGCTTAGGATGTCTTCCAGATGTATCACCAGCAGTGACTGATGCTCCTATTGACTAAACTGGATTAGCCCTAGCTGGCTACCACTCCCCATTACCCGTGGGCAATTGGAAGCAACACTAAGACCAGACTTGATAGCACTCCACACACTTGAATTGAGACGAACTCGAAATTCACCAAACTCCACCCCGATTTCTCAGCTATCCAGAACTCAAAGGTGTTCTCAGTCCATGAGGAAATGATCACTGGCAAGGTGTGTACCCTGACTTGTGTTGTAGCAACATATAGAGAGTTCATGGCTCTCAATTGAACATGAGGTTTCAACTTGGAGACCTCATCCTAACCGTCAAACCCTACTTAAAGCCTTACTTGCCCTCGGCGGTCTAGTAACTAAACCATGGGTAATTAATAGCTAGTTACCATGGGTAACTACTATCATAACTAACTTTTATTCCTTACAACTACTAGTTTACTGCTGAATACATAGACAAACTGTCTCCGAGATTTAGAATTACTCCACTTGGCATTAAGGAAAGTTTATGCTAATTTTCCAATTACTAATTGGGAGCGAGTCATCTATCAAGCTAATAATGCTAGTGGAAGCTCTACTATATGCATGGATGGTGTTGTCTTGAACGGGCCTCTGTCATCTAGCACACAATTTGTCTCTAACACAATCATTTTAGAACAGTTTATCTCGTCAAGTAGGCCTGTAAAGAATGTTGCTTGAGCGTCCTGAACAGGCTGTATCCCATTAAGTGTAAAATTTGTCTCTTGAGACAAATATCATTGAAAAAGTTCATCTCATGAGCTAGGCTGTAAAGAATGCTGCGTGAGCTTCTGGGGCTTCAGATACTACTCCTGTTTGTTTTACTCTTGCAGGAGATCCTCCTCACGAAAAAATTACCATGCCCGCACTGTCCCCAACGATGGTATGAATCCCTACCATCATTGAACATTTCTGCATTACATTTGATAAAAGCTCTGATTCTGTATTCTGATTCAGAACCGACTTTCAGATTTGGTTAAGACGTTGCTCAGAAATATTGTATATTACTCACTAGTCAAAGCGTTTGGATTTGCAGACTCAAGGAAATGTCGCGAAATGGAAGAAAAAAGAAGGGGATCAGGTACTAGGTTTAGCCAAATGGTTTAGAGGATTGCGATGTGCCGAACTTCAGGAATGTACATGTTGTTGGAATTTGTCTTCAGTACACTTTGTCAGTTATCAGCACTTTTGAAGACATACTTAGCGTTTACGTTGATGCTGAGTGGTTGCTTCTGTCTCTTCAGGTTGCTGCTGGAGATGTGCTCTGCGAGATTGAAACTGACAAGGCAACTCTTGATCTTGAAGCCATGGAAGACGGGTATGTCACATCACAATAAGTAATCCTAAGTGTTTCACGCATGGATCAACACTCCGGTCTCCATGGTGGAGTTCATTTGGTTTTGAGGCTTGTCATCACACCTTACGTGTACTAACCGTAATTTTAGTTCTAGAGTTGTTTGCTCGCATGGCAACTTCTAATACTATCCTATTAGAGTAGTAAAGCAAGAGCAATGCGTGAAAGGGTCGAGACACAGGTACTGAGTCCTGGAGAGAAGCTCTGAGTTGTTATATACAGGACCCGGATTGGGTTTCAGTACCCAATCCGAGGTGACAAGGGAAAACGGCATTTACACCTCCTTAGTGGGAAGGGTAGTGGTGTCTAATGATTACAAGGACATCTCAATAGTAGTGGTGTAGTGGTGTCTAGCTGCAGTCTTACTACAATTACACAAGAAACAGCGACAGAAGGAATAGGGAGTAATCAATATTCTAACATATTCTTTTGTCAAATTAACCTTGTGGGATCGTTCCTGGAAACCTATATGATTTGAGTACAATGATTCACCTGTTTCTCCTTACGTTTTTCAATTCCAGTAATTAATGATTGTGTATTGGGTGAGTACCTGCGGGATACTGCTGCAGAGTCTTTTCACTTTCCACTTTTGTTGTTGCATTGATTACTAACCTTTTTTATAGCAGAACTCTCACAGACAAAGTGTTACTTATGCTTGTTTGATGGTTGTATCTGTTTCACAGGTTCCTGGCCAAGATTTTAGCACCGGATGGGTCTAAAGATCTTCCAGTGGGGCAGCCTCTTTGCATTGTGGTAACCTTCTAAATTCGATTCCTTCCGTATGATAGAGTTAAAAACTGCACTGAAATTGGCCGCTGAAAGCTAAGGACGCTGTGCTTGAATGAGCTTTAGTAGAAGATGAAGAAGACTTGAGGAGGGACAGTAGGAGGCCAATAAGTATGAGGGAAAGCTAGATGATTACATGGGAGGGAAGAGGGTCTTCTGTAGTGGTAAATCCCACGTAGACGAGACTACTTCGGACATTCCATCTATCTGCCAAGAAAACATTTAACCAGATCATCCGTTGGCCACTGATAAAAGCCTTAGTAACTATGAATGAAAAGAGCGGCTGCTTTGGGCTTTGGATCAAAGTTAGTGAATCCATGAACAGCTTGGACTTCACCAGGAGACCATGTTATGAAACACTCACGCTCTCAAGGTACAGACGGTTGAATCCCTGAAGAGAATGAAGAGGAGTTTTGTTCTCCTGCCACAGTGTGCCACTTACGGGATGGTACCTCATCTTGCTCTTTTGTGATCCAGATGTATCACCCGCTTCTAAAGTGCTGAGCTTGAACTTGAGATGCGTCCTCAGACAAGGACTACCTAGAGGTAGTTCTTGTCTGATACGAGGTGCACCGCGGCTAGAGAGAGGTCTGATTTGAGGTTCGCTTGCTCGCTGTCCAGTTTCTTTGAGAGACCATTCATTTTACTGAAGTTTCAGAGGCCTCTGCATCCTTATCGACAAATTTTCTCTTAAGAAGAAAATTTGCTGCTCTCGCAATATCCTGCACCAGAGTCTTGGTTCACCACGTCTTCTTGCCTTTTCCTGAAACCATGCAGCTTTTAGGAGTTTCGGGATACGTTTGATGCAGCATATGATATAGCTGTATTCCCTGCATAAGTTTGGCAATTTTACTACGGGCTTCGAGAAGGTTGCTTTTGAATCTGATCTTTCCTACGTTCCGAATGGTGCGGATATCATTGCACGAAAATTTTTTCGCCCGGCTCAGTGGATAGGTTTGGCATACGACATCGCTGCTATGGTTTCTATTGTGGGTCGGGTAGTTTTGAGGACAGCTGAAGATTTGTTTGTGTTCATATTCAAACACCGGTGTACCGTGAACCTCTTCGTGCCCTTTCTCAGCAGTTTTCTGTATCTGTCTCTTTTTCTGGTCTTCCCACTTACAGTAGTCTGAGTATTGAATTCCAAGGTTAGTGAAGGAAGAATTACTACGTTCCACGTGGTCACCACAAGTCCACGGTTGCTCATGTTCGTCAGATTGATGCAAGTCATGAATTGTTGCTAGAAATTATGTATTTCCCTTGTTATGTCATGGGGATGGGTTAGGACTAGCAGCTACTCGAGCTCACGCCAGTATCAGATTGTACTACAGTCTGCGTTATGAATTTATCTTTGTGTTATTTCCTGGCAGGTTGAGGATAAGGACGACATTGGCAAGTTTGCAAATTACTCAGGGGACGCTCCCGCAAAGTCGGAGGCCCCAAAGCCTTCCAAATCCAAGTCTTCAGAGACTAAGAGCCCAGAACCAGTTAGTTCTTCACCAGCCCCAGGTAGTATTGAACGATTCAAAGTCTTGTATGAAGTAGATATAGAGCACCATTTTAAAGATCGATCGCTGTCTAGGATACCAATCAACTAATGTTAGAATACCTCTCTTTGTCTGACCCTCTGTTATTGTCCGCAGATGTTCCTCATGAGAATATCACAATGCCCGCATTGTCCCCTACAATGGTATGTCCTTGACATGTTGACTCGCGTTTGACTACCGGTTCTCTGTGGTAGTTTGAGTGTAACTAGCGTCTTGACGTGCTGGGTTTGCTTCGCTCCAGCCTCGTGTGTTTAGTCCGAACAAACGATGACTCAATTTCATCATATATCGTGATCTGCAGACTCAAGGCAACGTGCTTAAGTGGAAGAAGAATGAAGGTGATAAGGTAGGGCACTCGCTGTATTGATTTTTTGTTGCTCCTTTCCCCGCGTATGCACAGTTTGAAGTAAGTCGATAAATTTGTGTCGTTTTGTGTGCTGGATCTGATTGTCGTTTGTATGTCGATAAACGTGGTCTGGTTGGTTCTTGTAGGTCTCAGCAGGAGACGTTCTCTGTGAGATTGAGACGGACAAAGCTACACTCGATATGGAAGCCATGGAGGATGGGTAAAAGAGCGACTTCTTTGGCTTTACAGGGGTTTTTTCTCTTTTACTCGCTTAGTTATTGCTACTTAAAGGTCTTCAATAAAATAGATAAGCAAGTGCTTATAGGCCTCATGCGGCGAAGAATTCGAGACAACAGATTCTTGAACCTAGTTCAAAAAGAGATAAAAACGAGCCTAAGGGCCGGAACCAAATATCAGTTTCAATTCAAAAATTAGATGAGATATGCGATGATGTAGCTTTAGGACTGTCGGGTAGTCGATGGCTCTAAGACCACTGACTAGGCATAGTTCGCAATGCTGTCAATCCGGTTTGTGCCCGAGTGGTGAATGCCAGTGATTTTTGTCAGTGGCTGGTTTATGGTGCCCTTCAATGTATTGCTTACTCCGCAGATGACCGGTGCATGAAGGTACGAAACGTATCTTTGACTTATTGTCATGTAACTTCTATTGCCGCTTGCAGCTTTTTGGCAAAGATACTAGTGCAAGCTGGTACGAAGGATATCCCAGTGGGCCAACCCCTTTGTGTGGTGGTAAGTGTTCAACTCTTCATAGACTGGCTTTTTCGATTACTGAGTTTCTGTTCAACTGACAGTCGAAATAAGGACTCAATGCAAAGGGAGCACCCGGGATGAAAAAATTGCACTGTCGACAACGTTCGAATATATATCTCGTGTATTGTAGACCATCAAGTACGTTCTAGAAGCACATTGGTCTACATGGAACTCTTGGCCGTCGCATAAAGACTAAAGCATTTATCTGATTGAGTGTTAAATTCGTTGTGTACAGGTCGAAGAGGAGGGCGATGTAGGAAAGTTTGCTAATTATACTGGAGCACAACCAACGAAAGCACAGTCACCCCCAAAATCTGAGGGAAAGAAAGTTGACACAGCTGGTACTGCACCTGAACCTTCTCACATGCCAGAATCAGGTCCAAAGAAGAGTAGGGTGGGGCCATCGGTGAGGCGGTATCTTGCTGAGAGTGGACTAGACGCAGCATCATTGCAGGGCACAGGTCCTCACGGAATGCTCCTGAAGGGGGATGTTCTGAATGCCATGAAATCTGGTTCGCCTCAAACCAAAAGCCCTTCAGCAGCTCCCGCCAAACCTCCTGCCTCCAAGTCTTCTACCCTACCTGCATCTTCAGACCTTGGGTATATCGACTTACCTACAAGCCAGATTCGCAAGGTACGTTCACACCTTGACTGTTTTCATAACCGCAAAATACAGGTTTCTACTCGAGGATTGAAATCTTTCTTCATACAGGAACGACGTCAATGGAGCACCATGTTCTCGCTGCCTTGGCCCTCAGTCTTCTCATCTTCTCTGTGGCTTACCGTAGGTTTTTGGAACATGTGAAGCATATCACCTGGCATATCAAACATTTGATATTTGAGCAGTACTTTTGTTCACTTTCTGCAGATCATTGCCCAGAGGTTGCTTGAGTCCAAAATGGGAACGCCACACTTGTATCTGAGTGCTGGTGAGTGACTGGACAAATGTGCACACGTTTCTTGCAAGATTGTGGGATCCAGCAATATGCTCTCTGAAGAAAGGAACGGATGGTTATATGTTCTGATCTAAGTTCTGCTCTCTTAATCTTAGGATTTGACGTTTTTTGGTTTTTGGATATAAATCAGACGCGATTTTAGATCCAACTCTGGCGCTTCGTAAAAGCATGAAAGGTAAAGTTCTAATTTTGAATCGAGCTCGCTGCCAGCGTTTCGTATATGCAATACGGAACGTTTCCTGTTTCTGTAAGTTTTTCTTCGGGTTGTTCGGACTTTGATCATGAGTTTCTGACCATCGGTTCTTCTAAAATTTTGATGTTTTGATTTGGAGCTTGTCTATTCGTAAATGGTAGGGCTAATTTTCCTGGAGTTATTTCTTCGACAGAAAAGCATGGGATATCTGTCTCTGTCAACGATTTTGTCATCAGAGCAGCTGCTCTTGCATTGAAAGCTGTTCCAGAGGCGAATGGTGCGTTGTCGAACTTAGCTACTCTCTACTGAAGCTTGCTACAGATGTAGGCTCAGATTTAGACCGTATGTTTCTATTCACGAGAGCTATTCTTCGACACTAAGAGCACGTCGCAACCATTCTGCACCAGCGAATAATAGTTTTTATGAAAAGGACGTGTTCTGTTTAATATGTTCTGACATTGTGTTTTTTTGTGCAAGTGTTGCAGCTTTCTGGGATGATAAAGCAGGGGATGTATCATCAAATAAGTCAGTTGACATAAGTATTGCTGTGGCAACCGACAAGGTAAGAAAAAGTAGGTCTAAGGTTTCGCATGTTTCTTGCGTCTTGGAGTTCCCTCTATGATTTTATCATACAAATGTGAGTTAGCTCTAATTCAAATAGTGTTTTCTTGTCGTTGAACCTTCACTCATTTCAGGGTTTGATGACACCAATCGTGAGGAATGCCGATCAGAAATCGCTTTCAGAGATTTCAGCGGAGGTGAGCTTGTTTCAGCCATTGTTTCAGCCCTTTGACTTTGTCAATTGATACTTCTAGAATAGTTTAAAGTATCTTCCGAAGTAGGTCGTGATTGGTGTTAAGTTTCTTAAGCTTATGAAGCTTTAAAGGAATATTGATTTCTTCGTAAAATTGTGCATCTGATCTGATTGTCGCAGGTGAAATCACTGGCGGAGAGGGCTCGGGCTGGTAAATTAAAGCCTCAGGAGTTTCAAGGAGGCACTTTCAGGTCTGGTCTCTTTCTCTCGGAAGCTCTTCCGAAGTTCAATTGCAGAGCTTGATCTCGTTTGATGGCGATCTGAAGTTGGACGTTGTGCATCAGCTGAACTTTCGTGATGAGTGGTGTGCAGTATTTCAAATTTGGGAATGTTCCAAGTGGACCGGTTTTGTGCTATCATCAACCCTCCTCAGGTCTGTGTTCGCCTCATCTTGTCATTGTCAAGCTCAATCTGGCACATATTTTTTCCTTGAAATTTAATGTGAGAAGTTATACGAAGGCAACTCTTGTCATTGATGTGGATACTCTGCTGATGACTGGAGTGAAGGTAACGAAAGAAAATCCAGTGTTGCTATGCATAGCTCTTATTGTGCTGAACAGTTCTATTCCAACCATGAAGACGTACTTCTCTCTTGTAAAAGGACTCGATTATCACCGAATAGATCCCGCTATACCATCAGGTCCGGTTTGGGTAACGAGCATGTCCACGACGAACCTTCTTGATAGTCGCTCGACGACCGAAGGAGTTCACAACGGGAGGTTCCTCAATACTGGCAGTCGTGTGTGCAGGCCTGTATACTGGCAGTCGGGAGGGGCGAAAAGCATGTGATGTGGAAGGATGTGTCAGAAGGTAATCTCGATCTGAGTTGTTTTTTGTTGTTGTTTTGAGCAAGTTAACGAAGTTCATATGGAAGTCAGCGGGTTTAGTCCTTTTCTTCAACCTCAGAACATTCTTGGTCCTTTGCCAGGTGAAGGACATCCGGTTACCGTGACGAAGATGTGTGTAACACTATCAGCAGATCACAGAGTGTACGATGGTGATATTGCAGGTCGGTTGTGAGATTCCTATGAATTTATGAACAGCTATTTACAAATTAGCTCTGCTTTCTGTGTAAGCACTTGCATCTTCGATTCCAGAATGCATCGTCCTTTTCGAATAAGAGCTGACTTTCCTGGGTCATTCGCAGGTCGCTTCCTCAAAGCGCTCACTTCAAACCTGACAGATCCAACGAACATGCTGCTATGAGCTGTTGGTTTCGGTAGTCGAATGTACATTCAGTTAAAAATCTCGAGACAACGAAGTTTTGTGGTATCTGCGGAAGATGCCAGGGCTGAAATAAAGCTCCTCACGGTTCGCGTGTAGATTCTGGCCTTCCACATGCGAGGTTTCCTCCATTCAGTGCTTCGTTTGATAAGGGGTTCGTCTGCTGAACGGCGATGACAATGTACCTCTTAGATTTATGCTCTAAATTATGCAGAGGCCCAACATAAAGAAAAGCCGTAGATGACATTCCATTGGCTTTGTGTGAAGCTGATTCACAATTTTGACCGAATGATCATCCACAGATTTTGTAACATTACGATACTTGGAGTTGGATTTGAGAAACGAGCAAATGCATTCTCTTTGATCGATTGAGTCGCGTATCTTATCCACGCACATCATTCTTGCGTTGAAGAATTCTCTCGAGACAGTGTGTTCCATCTTGTGAAGGTCCTTGCGTAGGGATAGTCCTAGCGTGTCGACTGGAGTTCCGAAGTTGGGCCTATGCCAAAGAGGTCACTGCTTCTCTGCTGCTGCAGTAGCCAGAATATGGATGGTCCAGGTTCAGAGTTCCTTGGTGTCTGTCATGATTGTAGGGCTTTTGCCGTTGCTGTCAGCGTGCCTCGTGATGTCGTCATGTCCCAAACTGTACGCCTTTCCTTCTGGGCATGCACAATGATGAAGTTGTCCAACACCAAGGTTCAAAATGACGTTGTACGGCCTAGAACACTCCACCAGACCTCCCTGCGGACAATGTCGTGTATGTTGAAACGCCGTCCACGAGCCAAGCATTCTTACTGGATTTGCCCTTGTCAAATACAATCTATAGCGGACTTTGGCTCCACTTTTTGTGATACATTTTGTGAATTCAGGACATCAGGAAGATTTGGCAGTTGTATCTAAACGCCTCCACTGATCCTACCAGTGACGAGTAGTTCATTCATGCTACTCCAAAGCGACGAATGGGTGGACGGCACGAAACATGACGGTTTCGAGTCAAACCTCGTACCTCAAACGCCTTGAATCCCCTGCCGGAACAGCGAAATCACATATCTCAGGCCGAAGAATGGATATGAAACTACAGCGTGCGATTCGGGTTCCACGAAATACAGCAGAATTATGACAAGGACCCTGGCTAAGGAACTGACTGACCGAGGATTGCGAAGCATCGACGTTACAGCCTCAGAAGTAAAGTTGACACGCTCATAGTTGGGTTTCGTAGAGAGGAAAGGCCAAGAGAAGCGTGGCGTCCAAGAGAGGATAAGAGCTACTCTCGAGATGGAACATGGGAGATGGGAGGGAAGGAAATATGAGGTGAGGAGATGAGTGAGACACATGCCCAAAAAGGTGCGATGAAAGGGAAGTGCAGAGCACAAAGGAATGGGAGGACCCGGTCGAGCCGGGCGGTGCATGCATAAATTTAAAGGAGGAAGATGGGGCTGGGAAGGAGGAATTCATAATACCAACCAAGCCTTGTCGAAGTTGCGAATTTCGGTCGGGCGGGGCTGACTTATCCACACGGGGCCGCCGTCGCCACCCGTCACCCAATCATGGCGCCGACACTCGTTCCGATTCGCCCACCAGCACGTCGCGCTCTCGCCAGGACGGGCCGCATTCATTGATACGTGAACCGGATTCTACTGCTTCCGCGACCCTTGCCCTCCAGCGTGGATGGCAGGCAGGCACCAGGCCCAGGCTGGGCCAAATCCACCCCTCGACGCCGGGTCCGGGATCCGCCGCATTCTCCTGCCATCGAAGAGACAAGCTCGGGGTCCATGACTCCAGCGTCAGAGAGAGTTTGGGTATGGGCATCGGAAACACCAAGCGCATCTGGATAGTGAAAAAGCTCGGAGCATGCAAGCGCTAGTCATCGTCGAGGACAGAGGAAGGCTGAAGAGGGCGCGATTAGTGGAGGGCAGCCGGGATTCAGGTCGAGCACGTTAGCGTGTGCAGTGATGATGAGGAGCGGCAGCCAATTTAGGTCGAACGTGCGGGGCTGCGGGTGAATAGAGGGCGAATCGAGGCTGTTCCGTGGGCAGATGCTCCGATGCTCCGATGCTCTCGGTCCAGGCTCCCGCGAAAGAGGAAGCGGGGCAGCGGATGTACGTGACCATACAGTGAATGTCATTCTGTCACACAGTGGTCCATCGGTGCTCGAGCTCCATTTGGCAGGCTAGAGACACCGCCACAGCGCTCGCTGCTGTGACAGCAGGTGTTGACTCACCGCTACGGCTTCTCGCCTCGCCTCGCCTCGCCTCGCCCGCTCGCTCGCTTGCTCGTCCGCTTGCTTCCAGTTGGCAGTTGGCACCACCTTCTTCTCTCTCTGCGCTCTCGGCCGCTGGCACGAGGTCGGACGACGAGCGTGCCGAGAAAGAGGGTTCTTGCCCACACACAGCGCAGGGCCTCCTTGCCTCCGGATCGTCGACCTCGAGCGCCTCCTTCGATCGAGTGCCCCCGTCGGGCTCTCATTCAAAAGCATTATTCCATGTCCTGACAAAGCCAATCCATGCCGAGTCGAGTCGGTTCTCAGACAGAGAGGCAATTTTCTTCGCTTTCGACCGCTCGTCCACCTCCTCATTTCCCTCGTCCTAGCACGAGCACAAGCACGAGCACGAAGACGAAGACGAGTCGTCGTTCTTCGGGCTCCCTTCTTCTCACGGCCAGCACCTGCTCTGCAATTGCCTGCAGGTTCTTACCTTCGTCGGCCGATTCGTGAAGGTCCGTCGACTAGATTCGTCGACAAGAACCGAGTGTCCAGGCGGATTCGTGAAGGTGCATCGACAAGAATCGATTGATTAGGGGGATTGGTGGAGGCGCATCGACGACAGAATTGAGTGAAGGGTGAGCAAGAAGAGGGGAGGCGATGGCGAGGAGCGGAGGGTGGACGGCGCTGGTGGTGGGGGGGACGGGGGCGATCGGGAAGCACGTGGTGGCGGAGGCGGTGCGGAACGAGAAGTTCGCGGCGGTGACGGTGATCGGGCGGCGCGAGATCGAGTTTCCGGCCGAGGTGCGGCCGACGGAGTCGCAGCTGAAGAAGCTGAACTACAAGGCGGTGGGCGACCTGGCGGAGATGGACGAGTGGGAGGCGTCGGAGCTGACGCCGGCGCAGTACGACGTGGCCTTCTGCTGCCTGGGCACCACGCGCAAGGACGCCGGGTCGGCCGAGGCGTTCCGCCACATCGACCTGGACGGCGTGGTCAGCTTCGCGCGCCTGGCCAAGAAGGCGCAGGTCGAGCACCTGCAGCTGGTGTCGAGCATGGGCGCCAACCGGCTCTCGTTCTTCCCCTACCTCAAGACCAAGGGCGAGGCCGAGGACGCCGTGCGCGCCCTCGGCTTCAAGCAGTACAGCATCTTCCGCCCGCCGCTGCTCGACCGCGGCCTCGAGTCGCGCACCGTCGAGAAGGTTCTCAAGGCCGTGCTGCCCTCGCTCAAGGTGCACGACGTGGCCCTGGCCATGGTCCGCCAGGCCGAGCTCGTGCTGCAGGCCGACAGCAAGGGCGAGGAGATCCTCGCCCCCAAGGACATCAAGAAATTGTACCAGCGCGACGCCGTCCCCGTTCCCGAATGACGGACATGCCGATTGCCAGGAGCGAGCGAGCGATAGAGAGAGCGACTTGAGAGGTTTCTTCGATCGAAAGTTGAGTGAAAGTCGATTCTTCCAGCCATTCAGCCAATCAGCCAATCAGCCAATCAGCCAGCTAGAGAGCCAGAGAGCGAGGGAGCGAGGAGCGAGCGAGGGAGCCTGCGTCTGGCATCGTGCCTGCGCAGGATTCAGAATGAGCCTTAGAAGTATTTAGATCTTGCTATGTAGATCTCACAAAAAGTGTAAAGTATTACGATGTAATGGTTCTCCACAATGTATAATACGATGAGTTTGTAGGCGCTTGCCGAGTTCATGCGGTGCGCCTTTGTGTTCGATCTCTGCCTCGATTGTTTGGAATCACTTCCCTCTCTGCCTTGCGTGCACCGTACGCGATGACGATCGAATTGGGTTTGCCGGCTTCATCTGCTCGAGATCGGAGCCCGTGCCCGGTTCATGACCATCACGCCCCCGTGAAGTTTGCAGGTTTCGATTGTGGGTTGAGGGACGAAGGCAAGCAGGAGTTCGAGGTCAGTGTCTCGACGGATTTCCTCCCGACAGCCGGATTTGCGATGGGGCACAATCCGCCCAACCCGTTGATACCATTGTTTTCCATTTGTGTTGGCCTCGGAGGGAGGTCTGGTCGCTGAGTTTGCAGCTTGCCAAATCGCTTGGATTGTGTGAGTGAACGCTTCATCCGGAGTTTGCACTTCGATACACAGTCTCGATGAAGCGTTCACTCTCACTCAACGACAGATATCAGCGCGCAGGTCTGGGTCTTCCCGCGGGACTGGACCAGTTGGAAGCCATGCTGGGAACACTCTTCATCTCGTTCTGCGCCGGCCTTAGCAAGTTCGAATTGTGACTCAAAGATCTTTTCGTGATTATCAAGCCCGAATCTGCTTTGTGCAAATCTGTATGACGGAAAGAGCGTGAAGAGAAAAGGAACAATCCAAGAGACATACCTCGCTCTCACGCAGTTTCGGCGACCAGAGACCACATTCCTTGATCGCACGTAGCAGTAAACATCTATGAAGAAATGTGTCAAGAATCTCGCAGCCGGGTACCACTGCTGTCTCTCCAATACCATAGTCTAGGATCAAAAGTTCGCAGTAAATAAATGTCAAGTGGAGAGATTTGCACTAACCTAGGGAAGGTTTGACGGGAGGATCTGTGACAGGCTTTGGCTCCTGCAGTGCGTGCCGGTGTGTGCGAAGAATCACGACGCAAACTGCACTGCACGAGTCTCGGTACATTCACGCCTTCTGCTTGTTCTCTTCGGTAGCTTCGGACATTGCCAAGTGTGACGGTTGACGTGTGAATGCATGGGCCGAGGGCAAGACTACATTGTTTACGCACTTGAGTCGAATCCGAGAAAGTTGACTCGGGTTCTCTCATTTCATTACGACACTCCATCGAAGGTGAACTGTTGACCTTCTAAGCTCATTCGTCGGGCACACACTTCCAAACCAAGCGGGGCCAACAGGATTCTCCCTAACATTCTTATCTTCACGCGTACATTTTGAAGTCGTTATCTTAAAAGTCGTATGACGTCAGTCCAATACATCCACTGCCCGCAATTCCCATCCCGAAGTAAAGGCATGCGGATTCCGCTGGTACACTGATGAGTCTGACATTGTCGCTGCAGTAGTCTTCAATCCGTGGACCGATACACACCACGTTACCTTAGGAGTTGACACTGACGATCAGCACATGAAATTGTCATTGACACCGATGGGAGTTCTACTTCAATGACAACAATTGAGTAAGTAGGAATTGTCATTGACAACGATGAGAGTTCTAATTCAATGACAACAATTGAGTAAGTGGGAATTGTCATTGACAACGATGAGAGTTCTAATTCAATGACAACAATTGAGTAAGTAGGCTTTTTGTGCATGGGATCCGGATCTGACGCTAGCTTCAGGCAATTGCCAAACTCCTTTGTCCGTATTACAGAGTCAGCCACGTTAATGGCCGGTTCGGTTTGATGTACCAATCTCATCGAGCCAAATGAGGCTGAATTCTCGACTCCTTCTCGATGTGGCCGGTCATGCGCTGCACGGCGTAAATGTGCAAATATAGGACAGTGTTAGTACCCAGCAGAGTCATGGCCAGAGACTGGGGCCACGTTGCCGTAGTCAACCTCGCACAGACGATGAAAGAGGTAGAACGAAATGAGGCCGACTACCACGGGCATGGCACCGGAGAGAAATACGGCTCCCCACTTTTTTGAGGTGCCGAATATGGATATGAGGGCAATCATGACCACCACCGAAAAAACAGACGAGAAGGGCGATGGCCTTGAGGAAACTGAAGGCTATCGGGAGGAGCGACTATGGCAAGATATGTGACGTTGGCGATGAGGGTGAGGGTGTCCTCGATCGCCAGCAGAGTAACTCCTCGTCTGTACACCTCTTGCTGAGTAGTCATGGCCTGCATAATTTCAATGTTGAGATCCGCCTCCTCGCTACTCAAGAGCAGCTTGTTCGTTGGAGTTTGTTCTGCAGCAGAAGAATTAGCGTGAGGGAGGGCCGGGCCTGCTAGGGCATGGCACTATTACTTTCCTTCTGATTCGTCCAACCACTAGACCCGTAGCCCTCACATCAGAATGACGGAATCAAACAGCGGACCCGACATGCGACTTATCCAGATTAGTCAATGATGGACATAGTACTCAACCGGGACAGCTCGACTTTTCCGAGCTGGAAAGTATCGAGCTTGCGGAAACGGTTGTATACCTGGTCTGCTGTCAGATTCAGAAGAGGCTATCTTTGAGCTTCAGGCGAATCTTCTTATTTGAACTACCTTTGTCCAAGATCCAGTAGATGACGCAGATGCGATTCGCAGCACTAATAGCAGGTCACGGTCAGGCAGCAAGGAGATGCTGGACTGTAACTGTGATGCTGGACGACGACGATAAAATCAGCCCTTGAATCCTCGGATCTGAGAATAATTGTGAATATCCCCAACCGTTGAACTTGTCATTGTGCGGATGCAGGAATGTCAGTGGCTCGCATTTCTGCCCTCACATCGTCGATCGACATCTGAAGATCGGCCGTGGCTTCGACTCTCTGCGAAAATACAACACTAGATCGTCATAATTCTCAAAATACGTACTCGTGTAGCTGAAAAGGAATGTTTGAAAACATTAATGATTCAGATGAGATTCCAGACGTCTACAAAGATTCAACAATTTTCCTCTCCCGGGAGCGATTGGATGCATATGGACTGTACTTTCCTCTGGATTGACATCCGCAGTTACCCGGTCCAGAACCAGCAGTTTGGATATCAGAGCACTTGGGAGCCTAGGAACTGACACTACATCGCATCACATCGATAACTATACACAGTAGGCTTCAGATTGTTCGATTTATAGACCTACCTTCCGATAAGAATGCAGAGCACCCGACTGTACCTAAATTTACAAATAGGTTCCACATATACGAGATAAAAAAGAGAGATGCTAGGATCGCGAAAATCAGAGCAAACTTCAACGGAAATCCTCTTCGCGTATGTATCTCAAAAGAATAAAAAGGTTGAACGACAGGGTTTGAACCCTTTGAAATACCACCTGAACATCGCAAACGTAGACAAATTTAGATTATGTTTGACTCAATTAACAATTCGAGAAGAAGTCCTGTAGTTCACTAAGACCGAGCGTTCGATCAGAAAGTAGTCACGTGACTGCGCATGTGCTGTACTCACCGGTTGAACTTTCTACCGACACACTTTAATATGGCTGAGGTTCCACTTTTCCTTCAAGGTCCCTCAGTAGAATTGAGTATGCTATGCAGGACGTACGGTCATCAAAGTGTACTTTTAGTATTAGTATTGAAGTGTACCGAGTATACGTAAGATGGATCCCTATGTTTCTACTAGTTTATTTTATAAATGTATAAATGAAATAGACACATGTAACGGATCTGGTGCACTGGCTATGAACAGATAGATGGAAAGGTAGAGAGATAAAGCCCAATTTTGGGATCCGTAAAACAGATCAGCTCTCCCGGCCTGGGGGCAACATTTCTTGTCCCACCATATTTGTACTCACACATTATGGGACAATAAATGTGCTTTCTACTCCAATTGACTTTATCTACACCCCAATGTTGGTGTGGAAAGTGTGCAGCTTATGGAAGGCTATCACTTCACCTTCAGACTCCCTACCTCTGATAGTCAATATTGGCCGATGTGCCTGCACTTGTAGAAATTCTGAAACAAAACGTTCTGCACGCATGCTGGGTCGAAATCAACTTCCAATATCGACGGCAGAATTTGTTGTGACACTCATCTCCCCTGCTTCACTATTTCACGCTATGTAATAATAGTAGGGAGCCGCTAATTATAGCTCCACTATTACACTCTCTTCTCTTTTCTAGATTTATGTGATTGGTCGATACGAGAATTATATATAGTTTTCGAGGGGTGGATGGGTGCTATTTATAAAATAACGAGTTGGTGGAGTTTCTTTCTTTTTTCCTCTCCCTTTCTATTCTGCTGAGAACCACGAATGAAATTATGATTGGAGTTTTCTGGAGCTGCCTCCCTAGCTCTTTGCAATCACATGAGTTTCTATAGGATTCATGTAATGATCCTTCTCTGCACTTATTTCATTCTAATACTAATTGTCAGCCTTCTTCCACTTCGAGTTCTTGGCCTAATAGATCTTCACAAGGAGCCCGCACTACCCCACCATAGGATTTCACCTCTAAGTGAGTACACGAGTCCAGGCCCATGCACGTTCTTCAATAGCAAGCAATCTAGGTGCATGCCATTGGAGTTGTGACCGGACTCAATTCTTGTGCAAGATCTGCTTGCACGATTGTAATTGATTGAGTACTATGGCTGGCTTTTACATTGTCTTTGCTTCCAACAATCCGCTCCTGAGCTTACCTCCAGCTAGTCAACTCAACACACTACATGAACTATTTCGCAGCAAGACTTGTGGAGCTGTTCTTCGATAAAAGTTGCTTAACTTTCCTTGCCAGAAGAAGATTCGATCCCTTAAAAATTAGTCGATGCGGCTTGTCTGTCAGTCATTCGTGCTTGATACATTATCGTGTACACATTGTCATGAAGTAGGTCCGAGCAAAGGATCAGCATTGACATGGAACCTACGGGTCAAAATTGTTTTGGAATCAGCTTGGTTAGAAGTAACACCCATCCACCCCGCGAAAACTGTATCCTCGTCCCTGCATTTTACCTATTACATACCTCTATTGAAGAGAGTATAGTAGGATGAGTGATAATTAGCCAAAAGTGAAGGATAACTAGCCGCTCACTAATAGTAATGTAACTCGGTTACTCAAAGATGTGAGTATGGTGCGTCATGCGATACATATTAGTGTCATTTAGACCAACCTTCTTTATGTGCCTACTTCTAGAGGATCACTAGATGTTTCAATTGATTAGGAACCTCCGAGAAAAAAATACTGGATTCCTCCTCCATGATCGAATGTATTGTACCACAGTCAATCACGCGAAGAAGTTGGTTCAGGAATAGTTTTGAACCATGCTCCACATCCAGAATAAAGGTCGTAGCAATTAAAGTTGTCGCGACATGAAAGCTCTGGCGAACTAAGAAGGGGTCGTAAAAAAGGAAATGTGACATATTCTTAACACACTCATCCAGCTTTACACAGGATACGAGCACACATAGTTCCTCAAAAGCTTTCGCTCGTGACTACAGAGGTCTCGTCTATTCTAAGACACTCCTGCTTACTTGGGAATGCAGGATAGCTGTTAGATGTGTATTACAATCAAACAATAGTGAAAACGTCATGGTCCGGTTCGTGATTTCTACAAGCGGTGAATGTCATTGTCTTTCATATTTTCACATTCTGCAAGAGTCCAGCCGAACGACGCTTCTCGACTGTGCTGCGTTGCACATGTGAATTCCAAAAGAAGACCAACTCCCTTTACAAAACTTCACTTGGAGGAAATTATAGATAGCGAACCTTCTCCATACCAATCACCCGTTGTTTCTAGACGTTTCATACCGGATTGTTTCGCCTAGGGTAGATGCCTTTCCACCCAAGAAGCGACTCATTGAAAAGTTTCCACGGCCTTCGTCACATCAATCTGACTGCAATCTCAGAAGAAAGAGCCGTAAAGAAGCTAGATCAAATTTCAAGCAAAGCTTGTAGCCTTTTTGAACTGCACTCGAGGTTGGCAAGTCGAGTGGGCAGCTTCACTTACGGGTCTGCTCATTTGGATCCATTGCTGGCCCAAAACTTTGGCTAGAAACCCATACCTTGGAACCTGAAGAAAACCTCCGACGCGGAAACTTACCCGCGACCTGCCAACAAGCTCCACAAATCGACTTGTCGAAAGGCCATGCAATTTGGTCCAAATCCGGCAATGTAGAGCGAGCGTGCTCAAAATTACCACTATCCCTCAAACAAATTCGATCGCCCAAGTCCGGCCTGTGGAACATGCTGATGCTTATCGGACAGAAGTGAAGTTCCGAGCTTCCGAGAATTCAACAACTACGACATCGCAGTGTGCTGCAAGCACAACATCCTGAGGCTCGCACACTCGCAAGCTGAGAGTCATAACGAAGCGTCCGCACCCAATTCGCTTCTTGCGCTCGATCGACCGAGAGCCTTGTTCGTGCGAAAGCAAGGGGAGCGCTGCGTGGGCCTCGAGACGGAGCGTGGGCGAGCCGCGGGGGAGCGTCGAGCAGCGCTGACGTGGCCGCGCGGAGCGTTATAATTCGTAATTCGTAAGGATGAGCGCTTTGCAACTTTGCCGTCAATCTGGTAAGATCCTACAACGTTTCTCAGTGCACAACAATAACGCCGGCGTTTCTCTTCGCCGTCCCGAGGAAGAAAGAGTGGGCGACGGCTGACGGAGTTGGGCCCCGGAAGATAGAGAACATGTGGTGCGAACAGCGCGACGGAGTTACTGTGCCCGACCGGTGACGCTGCACCCGTGGCCGCAGGATGAGCAGATCGCAGGGCCGAAAGCGCGACGGAATCTCGAGGCGCCGGGGCGCGGGACGTGAATCCCTCCCTCCGCGGGCCACATGCTGGCGCGGGCTGCTATCCGGTGGCGAGTATGCGGCCGAAAAGAAGTGGAGCGGAAGATTTGGTTCGAATGAAGAAGAGCGCGCACGCAGCGGACAATCGGACCGGCGAATTGCAGCTCAGCGGCGATGGGACGACGATGCTGACGCGAGCGCACGCGCCTCAGGGAGATCGCTCTGAAGCGGAAGGAATCGAGAGATCGGAGGAGCGACAGCGACACCGATTTGGATTGCGATTGCGATTGCGGTTGTGGAGAATTTGAGCTTCATTGTGGTCGTTGGCGCCGAAGATCGAAAGCCCGAATATGGACGCGATTTTGCTGTGCCCTGCGTCGGGATGCCTTGCGCTCGCGTCGTGCCGTGCGAGCTCTTCTTCGCGATTCAGCGACAGGGCTCGGCTGCGAAGTGCGTCTTCGAGTCTGGTGCCGGGAGCTCCCTTGACAGCTCTGAAGAGCTCCTCGCTGCGCAGGGCAATTCCCAGGGCGAGCAAGGCCGGCGCTACGCTTGCAACTGAAGAGGAAGGTGTGAATGACCCAAGCCCTGTACATGTGAGCTTCTTCTCTGCACCGTATTGCTTTATGTACCGGCAATTTCGTCGCGGGAATCATGTCCTCACAGTAATGGAGATGAATTCGATCGTCACTTTCTTCTCTGTTCCTATTCTCGGGGGGCTGATACCATGACAATCGTCTCACTTCGAGAACCCTTTTTGAGCCTGTTTCGATTCATTTTTTCTATAACGATGGATGCATGCATTTCTCTGGCGTCCCTCCCAGTGGCCGTCTCGATTTTTTCCGAAGTTTTCCGTTTTGCTCCTGCGGGCGTGTCCTCGCACATTATAGCAATTTGCTTACACTCACTGACGGCCGTTCAACCTAATCTGCACGTGGAACTCAGTGGACGATGTGGGAAACGCTGGAACTGCTGCAAGCGAAGATGTGGTGCGGAGCGTAGAGCTGCTGAAAACCGCAGCCAAAACTCGCAAGGTTCCCGCATCTGCAATCTGCGCAGCGTTTCGGACATTGGAGAAGGGTAAATTTGATCGATCGGATTATGCATCGATCATTGGTGGGACGGAATCTCCTGGCCGAACTTGGATGCTTGTTTTTACTGTCGGCAAAGATGTGGTAAGTAGGGTGCCTCTTCAGCTGAACAGTCGTCGATTTTTTCTGGAACAAACTTCTTCCATCGTATTTTCGTGGAATGACAACTGAATTATCTCACTCGAACTTTGATTTATCCAGTACAACAATAAAGTTGAAGGTGGAGGATCTTACTTCCCGGTCACGGCCGTCCAGAACTTCGATACAGCGGTAAGAAAGACCCGTCATTTCTCCTGGGAGAAATCGTATGCTACGGTTTTTTTAGTCAGAGTAAAATCTATCTAAGTACTGACGTGCTGTCTACGAAAACAGGCCCAAAGGCTCGAGAATGGAATCTATCTACGACAACTTGGAAATTTGACCTTCTCGGGCAAACTCAAATTCGAGAAACGTAAGCTTTCATTCTTTGTGAATTCCTTGAACCTGACTGTAGGTTCATATGGTCCATTAAGAATTAAGCTGGGAGGGAAAGGGGACAATGACGTACCAGACAAGAACGATCCGTTCTTCATATGGTATTATGCAGACGATGAAATTATTGTGGCAAAGGGAAGAGGTGGGGGTGTCGCGTACTGGTGCAGGTGCTCCAACGCCGCGAAGAGATGAAGAGACGCACAATCCTTGTTTCAGGCAAGAGTTGTGATCAGCTTAAGCCGACTGCTCATACTTCATGCCCTGTGTACCATAAACACGATAAGAGCAATAATCTTTATCGCCAGATGTTCTGTACCTCAAGACAGTAAGGGCGGATTTTCAGCCTTTAGCGGTGAGTTACGTGTATTGTGAAAATATTAGACTTCATCGTATATAAAATCAAGGAGGATGCAAGAAACTTCATGAGGTGATGCAAGGTTAATACCTTTAGTATGAACGGATTGGATCTACCCCGCGATGATCAAGGCTTTCAATGGTAGTGTGTATTTTAGTTCAATGATAGAAAATGTTTTACCAAGCAGCAAGAAGTTCTTGGAGAATATTATTCGTACATCACATTGTATTCCTTGTATCTAGATTTCAATAACGATTCCACAATAATTGCATGTTTCAAAATGAGCGAAATTTGAAGACCGCTCGTAGCACTTGTTATATGCAATGAGAAACCTTCCTTCTTTTCAATTTGGATGTTGCAACAAGTTCCCATCTCTTGGGAAGCAGTGTATTTTGAAACTTGAATGCAAGCAGTGGAGCCAAGGAGACATTAAAATGAAGAGGGTACAATTTGGGATCCAATGATGTTTGTATCATGTTGGGAAGTTACTATACGGAAACACTACATTCTTATACCTTGTAGAAAACACAAAATTGCACTTTTGCCTTCACGGAATTGTTTTCGTCTGCACTACGGAACTGTATAATAGTAAAAGGCATTGTTCTGTTGTAACAGGCTGCTCTCAACTCGGGCTCCAATATTCTGCATGTGAAATTTCAGCCATGACGAGTCCGTCACATCCCGAAACGTGAATGTATGAATGTTTCCATAAAAGAGAGACTAAGTAGTATTTTTAGCAGTACAAAAGCAACAGTAATTGGCCCTCATCAACTCTTTTTCCATGAAGATCATACTCACTGATTCGGCGCCCACTATTTACTATTTACCATTTTATTCGGAACTTGGTTTGACATCAGAAAATAAAGTCCTAAGTCCTCCTCCTGTCTTCGGCATGATTGAAAAACTTTCAGTTATTTCCAAAGAGAACCATAAGGATACTGTACTGTATATAAACAACTACAGTTTTTCCACTGAATTTTAAGGGCGCAACATAAAATATTGCTAGCCCGGAGACATCTAACAAATACCATAAATCGAGATGTTTTTGGCTGTAGAACCTATAACAATAGCCCACAAAATTAGACTGGCTTACCAACAAAGCTTCATCTTGCACTTTATAATTATCGCCTATATCGAAAGTCCCTATTGTTTTCGTAGAGGAACATTCATAGTGACTCCACATTCCAACAGATGGCGGAAGATAAAACTCTCAATAGTGCTCGTCAAATAAGGTTTCAGCAACGAAAATATGTAAATATCTTAAAAAGCACTGATAAACATCTGTTTGGCACTGAATGGCAGCACCCTGAGTTTAATTGCCCCAAAATAGTTGTTTCTATCGGTCAGAGAAAGGAAATGACAGTTCTCTGTTAATACGCACAATACTCAATCCTGTTCGAATCATCTATCCAAATATTTCTATGCTTATCGTGGTCAATTCAAATCCTAGCTCTACATAGTAAATTTTGGAGCTCAAAGAATAGTTTGCGTGTTTTCAGGCCATTTTGTGCATCTCATGCCACGTATCAAAGTTCGAGAAACTAGAAAAGACAACAAGAAAGAGAAATTCGGAGGAGAATGAAAACTCGAGAAACGATACGATACACAGTTCTTCAGCTGTCTTTGAACCGTAGTGATGTGAGAACCAGTAGACTTTCAAATTTGAGTGAGAACCCAGAAGATTGCCGGAAAGAGTCCTGGTCACGGGACTAATAACATCATAACGGGTCATGGTGCATATGATACTTGGTCATCCTGAGGATAACATCCCTTAGACGACGGCAAATGGGTCCAAACCAGGCTGAAAAGAGAAGATATTCCCGCTACATACATCGCAAGTAGGAGAAAGCGCGCTCCATTCTTTCTCTCGCATATCGTATATTACAACCGGGCTATTGTCTTTGGAAGATGCAAGGTAGATGCAACTGTTGTTACTCGTGAACCGATCGCAGTAAGCATCATTTACAGTGCATGGAGGTCCTAAGGCTAGGGGAATGAGCCCATGGGTCTCCTGGTCAAACTTTAGAATGAGAACACTGGAGGCAGGAAGCCGGGATGGCAGGAAGGCACAGATCACACCCCACATTGGGTCCCAGGGAGGAATAGCTCCATCAAAAGAATCACCGTCACTGTAAATCATGGGATCCGTAACGAGAACTAGGATCACATCTCCATCACACTCCACCAGACCTGTTGTATACGCAGCGTCGATGTGCCGAATGCTGGGGACGCTAAGCTGAATCCGCGTGGAACATCCACTCACGTTGTCGTATACAATCAACTCGAAGGCTGCGATGTCTGTTCGTAATGATCTCAAAACGTCTCTGTATAGAGCGTAAAACTTGTGGTTTGATTTGTTGTATATAGCATCTTGATATACAAGAAGAATAGAATCGTGCAACTTGAGTTCCATCAGAGTCCACGTGCGATGTGTTGATTCATAGATCTGAAATGTTATCAATCTTAAAGATTGTTCCTTCAGTTCAGGTGGATCCGGATGAGAAAGCACCATCACCGTGTAAGAACACTCTCCAGAAGCATGAATTTGTACTGCATCGGGCTTTTCCATGTCTGGCCGACTTGGTAGTTTTTTCCAGTCTTTCGTAATCACATTGGTAACAAATATATTTGTATGACAGGATGTCCCGTGCACAGGAGAACAGTCACTGTTGACAACGCCGCACAGTAGAGCACCAGACATTGAAGCAGGATACCGAATGAATCTGGGTATCTTCCTCGCGTCGGCAAAGTAAGATAGTCTGAACATCTTCTGCCATCGGTCGTTTACGTGATCGTATCCCGTGAGCCAGCAATCACGGCTGATATATACCGGGCAGTATGTTTCCCATTTGGAGCAGACTGTTTTGACCTGACATTGAAATGTCAAGTTCACAGGACTGGCCGAGAATTCAGAAGACCATGGTCTAGACAGCACACGAGCCTTCAACAGATGAGGGAATGGTACCATCGATATTATTTTTCCTGCAACTTCATCGGGTAGTCTCTGCCCCAGAGTGTTTGCTTCAGTCATAGTGAATAGTGAATATTGAAGGATCCTTTCAGAACTATAAGACGACAAGATTTCAACTCCAACCTTATTGAAACAAGTAAATCTTGGAACGATTCGTGAAGACCTTCACAACACCTTCAATGTGATTTCCTTCGTTTCACTAAAATGTCACTTTGACAGCTGCTCGATGGTTGGTAACAAGGCGATTTTCCAGTTTGATGTTCTGCATGACAAGGGCCGAGTCCAGGTCCATCAGTTTTATATTCACAGATTCAACATCAACAACACACAAGTACCACAAGAAAGCAAGAAACGTAGCCTAACGTTCACGGAAACTCTCGCGAGGTTGTGTTCTTGAGCATCCAGCGATTTCCTTCACACCTCTCTCTTCTTATGTTGAGAAAGTGATCCAATTATACAAAATGCAGAAAGCACATCATTGGGACAGTGCAAAACAGTCTGATTTACAGTGAGTGGGAAGAGAAACCCAGGACACAAGTCTCAGATCTTCCTCCAAGACTGAGACGTGGAGGAAGCCAGCCCAGCGCACCATGCCATTATTTAGTCCGTCGTTTAGCCATTTTAGAGCTGCAACCGCAACAAAAATATGACCGAACGAAGCTCAAGTTGCAACCAGAAACCTGAAAATTCAACCACCTGGAATTGAGCCAATTCTGTCCAAATCAATGCAAATCAATACTCGTCTGCAGTCGAGTTTTCATCGCCTTCAACAAATCTCCATACGCACGAGAGACGAAGCACGTTCGAAGCTAGAGCACGTCCTGAACCGGGGCTGACAAAGAGGGCGAGCGTGGGCAGCGTCTATCATTAAAGTGCAACCTGGGATTCGAATTCGGGACTATATATAGGCGCCGAGGCTGGAGCTCGGAGCTTGGGGGATTTGTCTGCAGAGCTCCCGCTCCCACTGAAGGAGCGGAGTTCCACGTCGGCTGTGCATTTAACTCTTGGTCCATTTGTCTGGTCCTTGAGAATATACCCCTGCTTTTATCAGATGGACAACATCGTATTTCATTCTGTATCTTAGTCAATTCTCTGGCCAGAAGACGTCACGCGCCTAAGTCTCAAGCATTTACTGGTTCCGTAGTGGGACACTTTGTTCGAACCAGCCCCTTGGTCGAGTCGGAGTCCGCATCAAAAGAAGAATGGAGTCGTATCATCGTGCATTTTCGCTGTAAGTTTCATTCAAATAAATAGAATGTTAATAACCGGAAAGCTAATTTACAATAATGAACTATTCCTTCTCTCCTAAATTATTTAAGTTTAATTTTTTATATACAGTTGGAAATGGTGAGGAAGAATTATATGGGACTGATATGTTCGGAATAATATTCTCATTTTTAAACTAAAATTCATTTGAAATCATCTCTATTCAAAATAAAATACCGTAAAAAATATATATTTATAGTAATAAAATTATTAACAAATTGATAAATACTTGAAAATTAAAGATGTATTTTAAAACTATTCAACGTAATAATTTTGAACAGCAAATCAGAAGAACTGAAAATATTTTCAATTTTGAATAGTCTAAATTTTTTTATCAATAATCATATTTCTAATAAAGTGATAACTATTTTTGTTTTGTATTCTCTGAATTCAGCGTGGCTTTCGTCTAACGAGATGTAATTTACGTTTATAACACAATAAAAATTGATAAATTTATGTTTTGATCTCACCTAAGTTATAAGTCTAATCAATCATATAGCTTTCTTCGCTGTTTCTATTGACGTTATATATTCAGATTCGGTCGAAAATTGAACTACACATCTCTGCAAAACAGATATCCAACCAATGCATCCATATGATGAAGCGTAAACATATATCTAGGTGCAGAGTTCTTCTTACACATGTTTGATGTGTAGGTACGACGTAACGAAAATCACGCATCGATGTATGTGATTCACATCCACATGAAAATATGTCCACGAGTAGATAAAAACTTCAGTAAAGCGAGACTGATACGTTAGACCCCCATAGTCAAGTTCTTGGCTATCTCTCTCTCCATCAAGTATACATGTGAGACTAAATTGAAATGTGTTCATCATAGTACTAAGTACCTTGAACCCTAACTAGAGGTCAAACCTAACTATAATTAGAGTAACTAACAGCCATTACATATTTTCTCAATGCAAGTTTACAAGATTTGACATGCATCTATTTCCCTTGTCCATAGTTAAAAATTTAATATCTTGTCCATACCATCAAATACATGAGGTTGTGCAATGTTTTATCATAAAAGTATTGTGATTTTTCATTTTTTAATGATATCAGTAAGATTTTGAAATGTAAAACACATAGTGGGTTTACAAAGAATTCCATAATACTTTGAAGTTGGATTTGTTAGGTCTATCAAGCACATGTTTAATGTATTTGATTTTATCTAATCATAGCTTTTTCTTCTTCAAATCTTCATCAAAGTCCTAATTGCTAGTATATTTTTAGAATTATTAAAACCTTTATCTTGTATGTAGATTTAAATAGATTTTAGTATCAATCACGTCAGAATTACTTTTAGTCAAAATGAGCATGTCAAAACAACAAAAGAATATGATCCAAGATCTTTTTATCTATTTTTTTCATATATAGACATGTATTATATACACTTCTTGAAAGTTCTTGTGATTTTATGAATGAATCAAACGATGCATTTCACTATATATCATCTTGTTTCAATCTATATAATGATTTCAACTATCTACAAATCAAATTTTGAATTTTTTTAGCAATATCAATTGATTGATTCATGTAGATTTTTCCATTCAAACATAAAAATAATAATTTGTAACCACATCTTGTGATCTATAACAAGATCATATATTGCTACCCAATTTTTCATTTTTATCAATTTAACAGAACCAAAACTAACTTCAATCTAGAATAATTGATTAATGACAAAATGAAACGATGTTTAAAACTAAGATTCATTGGTATCTTATCTCCTAAACATTCAATTACTCTTACAGTCATTAAAATCTTCACATTAATCTGGATTATTATCTTTATCTTTGCTTAGAGTTTGAACTCAAAGCAATCAATTTCTTTTGTTAGCACTGATTTGTGTTTTGAATACTCAACATTTAATTCAAAAACAAAATATAAAATATAAGTAATTGCACTTTGTCATACCGTTTGTTGTATCACATCATAATTGTTCACGTGGATTTTATTTTAAGATTTATATGCAAATTGGATTTTTAAAGTTTCTTTGATTACTCAAAATTTTTTCTTTCTTTTCTAATAAAATTTTATTTATGATACTACTTTTCACATAAAAAGTCATTTTACGGTTTATTCTTGAAAGAACTTCATCACCCTTTCTTTAAACTTCACTTTGAACTCTCTTGTGTTAAGATTCAAAAATCTCAAACTTTTACACATTTGATATTCTTGCATAACGTAATCTAAATTGATTTTCATGTTTTTTATACAAGTGATAATTCTTGCTTTTTAAAAATAAAAAAATATTTAATTTAATAATACATCATATATGACTTGATGCTAAAAAAACATCACCACCATCTCAAAAATATTTTCAAATTTTTTCACATGATATAAAATTTATTTTTTACAGCTTTTTATAAAAAAATATATGATATCTTCACTCATATCTGTTTGATTCTAAATTAATTATCTTAAAAAAATTTAATTTTATCAAAAAACTAAAATAAATTCATGACATTTCTGATTTGAAAATTCTGTAACATTTTTCATTTTGAAATCAAATTTCGAAATTCTGTAATATTTTTTCAACTCTAAATTGTCATTATTTATGATTGAAAAATAAAATTGTGAAATGAAAAATTGAAGTTAAATTTTTTTAATAATCACTATAATCATCAAATTTGTAAGGTACAAAATGTATCTTAAAAAGATTAAAATTTTTTTAAATTTTGTAATTAGCTAAGAATGAATCTTGATTTCAATATTATCCTTGCAAAGGCACTAGAATTATTGTAAGAAGTTTAAAATTATTTTTAAAGAATTTTGGTTTAATATATAATATGTTTTGTCAATAAATATTACATTTCAGAAAAATGTGAACTATATGTTAATATTGATCGATATGTCATTAAGAATATTTGATTGCATTATTAAGCAAAATTTTAACTTATGGGCAATTTGAAATTTTAAAATTTGTAAAGTATCCAATGGCATGTTATCGTGAAAACATAGAAATTTTGAAAAGCAGCAGATATACGTTTGTAATCTATGTTGTGGCTGTATTTATAAGAATTAGTGATGTCGAGCAAGATATATTATAACTAAAAAATATTACATGATAATCTCAATAAGTTTTCATAATAATTAAAGTGATATTAATAGAGTAAGAAAGAAGAGTATTTTCAAACAAATTTGGATAGATCATGTTGCAAGATTTTGCTTCATGAAGGAAAAGCTTAACTTTTAAAAAAAAATTGAGTGATTGTTTTTCAGAGTTTTCATTGAATGATAAATGAAAAAAAATGTATGAAATTTTTGACTATGAGCATTTAACAATAATATCATTAATTAGAATATGTGAATAGTTATGGGATTGACTTTCGAGTTAATCTAAACGAGTATCAAGCAAATTGTATCGTTTAGTAACATAACATTGTTTTCAGAAATTTAAATTGAACTTTTTTCTGCTCATGATCAAAATCAAATTTGAAATTGCAATGCAAATGTAAATGAATCACAAAAAAAAGAACTAAGTGTGTTTCTTTGCTCTTTGAATGTATATATTGTATTTAAAAAAATTCATAACAATCAAACCAAATATTAAAAATTAAAAATTTTAAAGTCCAAATTTTAAGAAAATTTTTCTAGTTTTAATCTGTTTGTAAACCCAAAGATAAAATCATGAAAGAAATTCTATAAGGTAGAATATATATATATAAAAAAAGTGTTAGGTTTATGAAATACACAGAACAATCTTGTTAATTAAAAAATTATATTTTTTCAAAAAACTAATATCAACATCTTTATATATCAATGCATGTCTTTCTTGCACTTATAGTAAAAAATTAGTGTAACTTGAAGTCTAAATTGATTTCATATTGATTGATTATAAATATTTAAGAATGCTTATTACCATTGATTTATGGGAAAAATATGGAAAAATAAAAAAGATAAAATTAATCTATTTTATTAATTTAATTTGTGAAAAAATTATTTCATTGTTCAATCATATTTAAAATTATTAATTTTTCAATTTATCTATCATTCAAAAATTTGTTCAATGTTTGGTAGTAAAATTGTCATATAAAGTATGACTGTGTTGTCAATGAAATTTTATATATATAACAATTTTGATTATGAATTATTTTGAGGATTGATAATCAATGAACAGTTGTGAACATATCATGCAAAAGTGGAAGCGAGGTTGAAAAGCATTTATTTCTAGAGATTTTTGAAAAGATAACATTATTTGCACATTTGAAATGAGAGAATGATTTGTTTAATATTTTTCTTCAAAATTTATATAATATATGTATATATTTTTATCATTTGAATCAATAAACGAATCCTTAAAGTTGTGGAGTGTCAAAATATGACATAGTTCAAAAATTGATTGTTTTCAAGTCATTGAAACCACATGCTGAAATTTACAAGCTATTTGATTGAAAAAAAAGTAAATCTTATTATTGAACATTTTTCTTATCAGGTTAATGAGATCAGTCAAAATTACAATATAAAATTCTATTTACAAAAATATTATGTCATGATTGGATATAGACTTGGTGCATGCATGTAGATTAGGTGAGAAGTCATGTTAAAATCAAGTTGACAAGATTGATGACACGATGATAACGATGAGTAGTAGGTGGTAGAATAACATGCATGTTATAGCATGTAGATTCTTGAAAATTATTTGATTGTCAATCTGGGTACAAAAATAGCTTATCCATTTTGGAAATTTTCGTGCTAGGGTTTTCGTAACTGTTGGGAGGTGTCAATTAGTAGTGCAAAACTTTGAATATAAACTCCCAATAGTATCATACATCGGTGTTAGGATCGGATTTCACTATTGAAAGGTGTCACTCTTAAGAAAAAACTGCATAGATTTCATATGTACATTACATCTGTTCTAGTACATTATATAACTGTGTTGTTTGATTTCAAGATTGACTTCATTTGCAATTCTATATTGTTCACGCGACGATTACGTATGCGTATATTTGTGTTTGAATTAGGATTAATACACAAAAATCTGAATGAAACAAATGATGATAATATATATAAGGAAGTATTTTCCACCATATTCCCATAAAGAGTGACTTGTTGAGATAAACTATAAATAAACGTATACCACATTATTCTTTCTCGCAGCTATGTATTGTGATAATCTCGAAATTACATTTGAGATGTCAGATTTACAAATTACGATTTGTTTTGGATTTTTGTGTCACTAATGAAACCAATGGATTAGAGATTTACGTCAGTATGATTTGTTTTGGAATTTTACGTCACTAGTGAAACTAATGGATTTAGAAATCTACGTCACTAATGAAACTAATGAATTTAGAAAATATTATGTCATTACGATATAATTTGAAATTTTACGTCACTAGTGAAACTAATGGATTTAGAAATCTACGTCACTAATGAAACTAATGAATTTAGAAAATATTATGTCATTACGATATAATTTGAAATTTTACGTCACTAGTGAAACTAATGGATTTAGAAATTTACGTCATTAGTAACGTAAATGGATGTAATTCTTATGAGTGATACCCTTTGGGAGGTTCAACGCTGCATATGTACCTAGGATTTTGTCACTACTGGTATACTATCATCCATGTGTTGGTAATAGTGGAGTATTTTTCAAGGTAGATTTGGTTGATAGTGATTTCGTGATACCACTTCTTTGCTAGTTGTAAAATACTAGTTTGGATAGTGAGTCGTAGCGATAAATTGAAAGAGGAAGTTTTTTCCAGGAGTAAACCGTAAGGTTTGTGACTGCTGAGCTACTACTTTGAAAAGTCTCCAAGACATGTTGGACGATTTTGTGGAACTTAAACTCCTTAGGGGCAAGAAGCTTTACCACACAAATGCATCTTACATTGTCGCCAACAGCGCTGGCTTGTGACTTTGTGAAAGGTGAAATGCAGCCATTTCTGGCCGAGTCTGGAGGCGCTAGCCACAGTTCTCTTCCTAACCACCACAAAACCTGGCGCCCAAATTTCCGGGAACATAAGATTTCTGTTAGAAGATTTTTGTCTGTCAGAACTACGTTGAGAAGATGACAACTCTTTAAATCCGATGATTCCATGAGAAGCCTTGATTTGATGTGACTACATTGCGTTTCTGTTTTGGGGAAAGAATGCTCTTTTCCTTCGCAGAGACGCAAGAGGCAATGACATCTTTAATCTTAGGAGTAACTGTGCCAGTCGTGCTCGAAAGGTCAAACAGAGTAATGTCGAAGACGCGAAGAAAAATGTCCACATTCATTCCGTCTCCAAACACAAACAATAGCAGTGGAGTTCTGCTGATTCCAAATTCACAAGTAAACAGAAAGAGGGATAGAAAACATATGGTTGAGTTGATATGCTAAAATGAGGTACAAAGTCAGGACACAGCCCTAACGTCAAAGTCAAATGAACGCTGAGCCAGTTTTTTTAGCCTTGCTAATGATCAAGCACTGCATTCTTACCCACCATAGATACGGAAAATATACATTTGTTACGGTGTAGTACTCTGAACTCTTTGCCTTCGAGATGCAGTTCCCACCCGCTATTTATCTCTCTTCCGTACGTAGCCGAGCTACATGGACATGTTTTGGTATATGGAGGACATTTCACAGCTACGCTCAGCAGTTTGATGCTATTGTACTCAAATACAGAATGCCGACTGCGCTGGACCTTTTGATCCTACAATTCAAGAATGTAACTATCAAAACAAAGACAACCCTCCAGCTCCGTTTCCTCAGCAAAGCTTCATACCCTCAGTCGTTCATACCTGTTCAATGCTCGTCTCAACGCATCATTCCAGTCGGAATCAGCTCTGAGCACAAGGAAACTCGTTTCAACATCTCTGTCTACGTTGAAAGACATAATCGTGGAAGAATTAATGTTAAGAAATTTTTAATCCATCCCCATCATCAGCGAAGGCCCAAAGCCTGAATGACGTCTATTTTCGATGTTGAGCTTAGCCAGACAGGGAAACTTACTATAAGGTACCCATGCCTGGGAGGTTGAGCTGCGAAGAAACTATATAAAGAACAAAGATTTACTCCAGACGTGTATAACAACGAAAACCAAGCAAAGGGTCTGAAGCTTCTCTGTTTAGACGGATATTCGGTGTGCTTATAACGTGGGAAGATAAACTTACCGCATTTCCTTCGTCAGCTGTCATATCACCAAACTTTTAGCTACTTTCGGTTGTTCTATGCTTCTGGATCCAATCAACGGGCATAATCCTGAAACGCCTGCAGGACAAAAATCACTACATGAACTCGAAACCTTGTTCAGAGAAATAAGCTTTGGAACAGTTTCGAGTTCAGAGACCCCAGAAGCTAAGACTGATAAGCCGTGATGAGATTGTGAACACTGGAAACGTACCTGTGGCTCACTCTCCCTATTCTGTTCGCCTGCGCCGATTTTTCGTTTTAGGCTTCACAAGATAAGAAGCCCAAACGGCATCTGATGGTTGAGGAGCTTCGACCCAATGTTGCGGAATACGACTGCGCCATTAATATAACCATGTGATCAGTACAGAACACAAAGAATAAAACTTTTGATCTTACTTATCTACGAGCAATAGGCCTTTCACTGCTAGAATGTAAGACTCTCACATAGTTCTGGGGTTAAAGGTGAATAATGCATGACTAGCTACAACATATCCTAGACCTGGCTCTTCGATCTTCTAGGCACATTCCATCTGCACACTGAACGAGTGCAAAAAGTTTGTTCATAAAATATGTGAAACATGATACAGGCCATTGACTTATCTCATTAAGAAATTCTAGATTCCAGCAATAACAAAACAACATAACTTTTGATATCGTCTTTTAGTACTGAGGCATTGTAACCTCGTCAAAAGAGTATATGCTGAACAGGCACTGACCTGCCTCCGGGCATAATGAAGGCATCCCAACCTTGTCTAACCTGCATAGAGGTAAAACCTGTATATCAGAAAATAACAGAATGACGACAACGATGGCTACAAATTCTGCATCCGCGTTTATGCTTGAGTGTAGTGTCATGACACAATGGACTGAAAGTACGAAAGTAAAATCACAAGCTCACTGGAGAATAAGAAGAAACGTTTCTTGAGCACGAATCTAGCGTACGTATGTACGGACATAAACCTTAAACTGGAAGACAGGAAGTAAATATTGTTCGCAAGAAAGAAGAAACCTCACCTCGATCAATGTTCCCATATTGTAACTGCTCCCAAGATAGTAATGGTGGAACTCCACCGGCAGTCCTTCATATCCTTCAAGAAGGCCACTGCTCTTTTTTTCTTGATCAACCTTAGGTGGTCTGTCACGTACTTTGGTATTGTCAGCTTTTGCACTCAAGTCATCAATATTCCCAAAAAGATCTTGATCATCTGCTATTCCCAACGGTGGAACTGTTGAAGATATAAGAGGACCTTTCCCGTCCTCCAAGTCCACAACTCTGGAAGAATTTGCTAGACCGATAGCCACTTTTCTGGCTTCCTCTGCGTTCAAAATGGCAGTAGCAGCTGCACTTGTGTTCGCTGCAGCAGCAGCTTGACGTTCCTCCTCTGCAACAGCTGCCCTCACTCTATCCATGAATTGATCATCCTCCTCAGGGAAAAAACGACCTGTACACGAGAAAAGTCAGAACCCTCCAGCTCATGACCAAATTTGTTACTTACCACGGTATTGTGTAAATTTGTGATCTTTAAATTTTGTAGACATTGTACGATACGTGAACTCTAATAGAATCGACTTTTTTCGAGATGAGAGCCACAAAAAAAGAGGTCTTTTTGACCAAATCTAGGATAAATACTTCTGCATCACGGCTATTAGAGGAACATCGACGTACATGCACACAGAAAATGTACTGCGCCACAAAAGATTCAAGAGCAAATAAATACCTTGCTTCTTCAACTTGGCAACGCGAAGAGCCCGCAGTTCCTGCAGCTTCTCTACGATAACAACCATTTCCATCTATAGGAAAATCCCACATACAACCAAACCCATACATTAGAAATACAAGGGCGAAGGAAGCTCGGAAGAACGTACAAAGTAGTCTGCTAGTGTGCGAGGTATGAACATACTAATTTCCTTAATAACTGTTGGTTACGGGATGTCTTCCTTGAAGACAGGCTAAACAGAACATTAAAAGCAACATACCGCCTGCTGAAGTCTAGCCTTCTCTTCCTTTGCCTTCTTGTCTGCCAGTATTTTCATCTTTTCCATCTGCAAGATTTTTGCTCTGCTTCAGAAATCTCTTGGCCTAAACTGCAAATTGTCTCTGACAATTAACACTCTGGCCTGACTTTGAACACATTGTACAAACGTGTGAAGATTGATTTTGTAGAGTAGATTATTGCATGTACATCTTACCTTCCGCTTGGCTATGGACTTAGCAATTTCCTTTGCTCTCCACTCGTCAGCCTCCCGATCTGCCTCTTCATAGCGGTCTCTCTCCTGTGACGTTTAAAATTATTGTAGAAAGTTGGAATAGGAGGTCTATTTCCACAAAGTTGCTTAATATATTATAGAAAAGATGTGGCTAAATTTTCTAAAAGAGACTTATTCATAATTCCTCCTGAATTCATGAATCCTTTAGGAGGCATTACAAATAAGTCGCTCCACGATCAACATGCGATACTCTCAAAGTTTAGATACCTTTCGTAAAGCCTCGGCTATTCGTCTTCTTTTCCGAGTTCTCCACTTTCTGTTACGAAGAAGTTTCTGCCTTTTTAGAGTAAGCTTTGCAACAGCGGCTGCTTTTCCATCCAACGCTTCCTGAAGCGGCTGCAATTGCAGCTCCACTACATTTTTCAATTTCCTGGCAGCCTGAATAGCCAAAGATGCTGACGATGGCCACAACTTGCAACTTTCTTGTACTGTTTTGATCAAAAGCTCATTGTGATCAGTTTTGGACTTGATCTCCAAATCAGAAATTCGTGTATCAGGTGCAGACTCATTGATGAGAACCTCAGGAACTTTAGACCCACGCTCGAGGTCCGTAGAAAGCGCCTGCATTGTTTGTAATGCTTCCAATTCATCCCCTCTGAAGATATGGCATTTGGTTTAGCGTGGCAGCTGAATATAAGAAGAAATTGACCAAACTCACACCATTTTCAGTGGCAAAATCACAAGTCAGCAATGGCAGGACATCAAAGAGAAGACATTTGATGATTACGATTGCAGATCCAACTTGTTCATGAATGAGGCAAATGCGTAGGAAATAAAACGGAAGAGATGAACTACTCACACTGATCTCAGAAGAGCAGCATTTTGAAGAAGATTGGCCAGGTGCTCTTTTAGCCAAGGCCTCTGAAAGAAAGGATCTGATGGAGGCACGGAGGTATGCGGAAATTGCTGGGGCAAAGGGGCAGGAGCCCCAGGCTGCAACATCGTAGGTCTACTGTTGTACATCGGGCCCGAACTTTTCAGACTATCAAGCACAGACGTCCCGCAAATTCTCAAGATGCAATTCAAAGCGGAATTAATGTTGTCGAGCTGGAAGCACTACTAGCTGCTGAACACATCAGAGCCGAATAACTTCCACCATATTGAGCATTTTCTCCATTTCTGAAACCTGGAACACAACCATCTACAAGCCTCGGAACTGGCTCCTCTCGACATTCCCAGCACCAACGAAGGAATAAGCAAAAACCTAAATTGGATCCTGGAGCACTAGAGAAGAAATTCCATGCTTTCAACACACGCGAGCAGCAACTTTCCAGAGTCTGTTCAAATGAGAGAAATTAACAATTTGAGTATTTATATGTGTGAAGGGACTGTGATCAAATTCAGGTAATGACTCCAACCGATACAGTAGAGAACTTGGTGCGGGACAGGCTCCGCAGTCATTGCCCCGAATCGATCTACCAATTCCAGCAAGAGTCGATCGATGATCTTATAAACTCCTCAAAGTAATTGTATCCTGCAGATTACAGAATCATTGGAAAAACTTCACTATTACCTCTCCGCGTTCAAAGGAAAGATACGAACGGAGATTTGGCAATTCAAGCAACATTTAGTCACACATGCCACAAGCCTGTATTGCCCAAAGACCTGAAAAAGAAAATTTTTCAAAGCACAATCCTCCTGGAAAAACCAAACAAGCTGGAAGGATGGTCTGCCGTTTCACGCAAACAAAATGTCACAAAATATCCGAATGAGAGTGCATGAGAATATCGAGAATCAATGTACCGAGAAGGCTCAAAGAAGCAAGAGGCACAGGAAGACAGGGAAGAAGGGAGCCGCCAGTAATTTACAGCTAGCAAGAGCAGGTAAAGTATGCATCCTCATCCTTCCTTCCTCACTCACGGTCACAACTGAACATTCTAGCATCGCGAACGCAAAGCTCGAAGCTAAAATTCTGTAGACAGTAGCATGCAGCAGCGACTTCAGCGTTGCCAATCAACATCGATCGTGGTTGCATTTGCGGTTTATGCCATGTCGGACGTTTGCGTGGAACTTTACTGGCTCAAGCACGTACCTCTTTCTGAGTCGGGCAGTCCAAGAAGCTCAGGAGCACGCAGCTGCTACATCAACTTCGAGCTTTCGACGACATCGAAACACTTAATTGCAAATGCGGAGTCACCTTGCACTATGAAGCATGCGGCAAAACTGGGGCATTGCGAGAATCGAACTCGCGGCCTCTTGCACCCAAAGCAAGAATCATACCACTAGACCAAATGCCCAGACATGTCCCAGAGAACAAACTTTAAAATTTTATAGCTTATTAATTATAGTAGCTGTTGCTCTCGCTCCATTTCGCACGTGACAAGGCGATTCAACCGTATGTGAAATATATATATATATATATATATAAGAGATAATATGATTAGAAAAATAAGGCTGAATAATTATAATAGAGATGTCATCTATCATGTTAAAACATAAGTTTGTTTCGCGATCGAATCAATAAACAAGTTATGAAGAGCTTGTTGTTGATAACAGTTTTTGGCGACTATCTTTTACTTCAAGGTTTATTCATCTTGATAGAAATCAAACCCAATATTGAATCCAAATCGGATACAATGGAGTGGAGGATGCGCTGATAGTAGATGATGAGCAGGTCTGTGCTGTCTCCTCTTGTAATGCAGTGGATTAAAGCTCATAAGAAATGTATTTTGGCCCTAACTCATCTGCGCTGAAATATTTAGCTAAAACATATTGCGCATAAACTTTAAAATGTTTGCATTAATATTTTAGAAGCCAGTATTGGTCTGTAATATGAGAGACCACAAAGTTGTCTCTCAGGAGATCTATAATTTACCTCGAACCATGGTTATCATAGTTGTGGAAGCAATTACCAGAGAAGATGTATAGTTATCTCAAATTCCTGCCATGTTTATGTTATCTATGGACTAGTTTATGGCATCATAGTCAAGCTTGTGTGAAGTTGAAATGAGTTATTAAGTCACATGATGTTACTCCGATACCATGTGCCTGCTTAGTGCCAACCTTTGATGGTGTTGATTTTGAGAATTAAAAAAGTGAATGACTTTTTGGTGATTGAGAATAAGCCTCTAATTGTTTGAATATAGTGATTTTGTAAAGCTAGCCATGTAGGAAAAATTCCTACTTGGAGAGGTAAGGATGAAAAATAAACATGCATCTAATGTGCACAATCTATGCGATCCAAGGAATTGCAATACGTGATATCTTTGGACGTTAAAGAAATTTGTTAGGATCTTTACTATATAAAGTTTGGCTGCTAGATTCCAAAATTCCCACCCACCAATTGCTTATTTTATCTCATTACTCGAACGATGTTCCCATCCGTTTTCTTTTGAAAGTTCTTTCCAATCAACTTCATTTACTCGGTTGAGTTGAAAGAGTAAACCTTACAATATCAAAATTGTTTCATGAACTAAAGTCAAACATAGACAAAATAAAAACTATAAAACCTAAAATAAAAGACACCTCTTCCAAAACTAAATTCATATGAGTCCTGATTGTAACGATGTGAGTACTGGATGTACTGGAGGATCTATGAGAAACTCAACTGCAAATGTCACCCTTAGAAATCTACATCGTCTGGCAATGCTTTGTGCAATTTTAGTGCAAAAGGCACTAAGTACATTATTGACTCTACGAACTAATGTACAAGCACTTTCATTTTAAATTTTTTTCATCCATTCTCCCCCAGTTTTTCATTATTTTCAACCTATTTACTTGCCTATTATTCTTCCTAACAACTCGCAGAAAAATTATTATAGAGTAAGAATTCTAAGCTGTAGCTGCGTAACAGCCGAGATCCATAGCTGCTGGGCCATTCCCATGAAGGGGCAGGATGAGTGCCAGGAATCGACACCTTTTCGTGTTGTAAAGCGGACACGAATGATTTAAACATCTGCATTTAAATTTCTCATAGATCCTCCAGTACATCCAAGACTCAAATGGGTATCTAAATGTTTGAATGCAGTCTTGTAGTGTGAATTCATCGGCTGTTACACTCCGTTGGTATGGTATGGTATGGTTTCTTCTTGTAGTCCCTGGGGAGGATTCGAAACCAAAACTTGCATCCTAGAAGGAAGACTTCTGCATTGAAGTGTCCATAGGTGAGTACAACAATCAAAGTACTCTGTGAATTGTCGACTGGAGAGTAGATGAATTTTCACTAAATTTCGCTATGTTCTCATACCAGACACCAGACCAATGCAGTCTGCTCGTAGTCAGTCATCACGTCTCTTCATGTGAATGGGTCATTAGCTCAAACATGGATCTCTGTTGAGGGCTCAAGTTCTGAGAACATAACCGAGTGGACTGTAAATTCATAGACAATCACAGTATAGTATTGCCGGAGGATGGTGTATCACGTCTCTTACGAAAGTGGCCCAGTAGCTCAAAGTTTCGAAGCTATGGATCTGTGCTGAAGGCTCAAGTCCTGCGAGGACAGTGATCGGGGTTTGGTTTTTTGGGTGTATTCCATGAGAACATGGCCAAGGATCCTGCAGGTTCATGGAGTGTACAGTCCAGGAATGCCTGAGTTCGTTTTCTTCTTCTGGTTAATAGTCTCGTGTCTGCATGCGGATCGCCTAGTAGCTCAGTGCAAGAGCCTTCCAGGATATGGATATGTGCTGCGCGTTCTCTTCCTGTCTGGGCTGGAAAAGTAAATCAGCCCACGAAGGACTGCTTTACTTTGGTATCTATTGCAAGAGCATAACCGAATGTAATGGAAATCTGTCAAGTAGTACAGTCCGAGAGTGCTGCAGTACGATATCTTCATGCAGTCAATCTTCTCGTGTTTTTATGCAAATGGAGACCCAGGATGTCAATTCCCCGTATCAGTTGCCGCAGTTGATGAATGTAATATTTGCGCTAATTATTTTCGTGCTTCAAGTTGTTGCTAGAATTGAAGTTAACGTGGGCGGCTGGATATATTCAAAACGATTGTTTCCAACACATAGAATGATATAAATTGAACTAAGAAAACTTCATTCCTTACTTCATTTTTATACTTCATACAGAAGTAAAATTGATCTTTTTATGTATATGCATATATCAAACATATTTTGTTAAATACCTTGCAATTTCATATAATGATTGAATTTTATTTTTATATCTAAATGTTTGTTTTGATCTATACAAGTATTTTAGCAATGTGCACACTATAACATACTATGTTTTTGAGAAATCTATAGGTTATTTCATACAAGTCAATTTATCTATCTTATCATAGATTAAAATTTTATTTTATTTTATTTTATCTAAATTAGAATCAATAGAATTAACAATACACACAATAAGACTTTAGATCATCTTTAGTATTGTAATTATATAGATTTTTTTTGGGTTAGTTAGACAACCATGAGATTTTTTTTTCAATAATCTGAACATATTGAAATCAAGAAATTAGTGAATCTCACAACATGAAATTTTTTACATCATTTTTCACCTAAACAGTATTCTTCCTTGTAAATAAAATTCGGCTTATTATTCTTTTCTTGGATATGAAAGAACATGTATCTAATCAAAATCTACTTCTCAATTTCATTACTATTTGCTGTCCATATTTGATTCATTATACTTAAAAAACTGATGAAAAAATTTTTATGCATCAAATCTTTGATTTTTTTTCTCTAGTGCAAATAATGTATTAACATGAAAAATTTCATTTGTTCATAATATAACCCAAGTGTCTAATAGTCTAAATTCAATTTATTTGATAGAAAAAAATTTACCTTTTGTGCTTTGGTGAATTTGAATGTAGTCTTTTTGTTTCTTAAAGAAAAATTAAGAAAATTAAAAAATTCTTTATGTAAATTGTAATTTCATATATTTATCTATTTTCCATTAATAGGATATAATATTATGAATTTTATGCTGACTTTTACATAATTTAATCTCTGATTTTTTTTGAATATTATTATTTTAAAGATAAAAATATTTATTTAATTTGATGTCCTTAAATTCAAATAATTTCTCATTCATTAAAAATTTATATGTCTAAACATTCAAGATTATTTTGCTAAATAATCTCTTTATTGTAAAAAAAAATCATTAGACAAATTTTTTTCACTTTAAAAACTTCAAATTATTACAAATTAAATATTTATTCACAAGTAATGATATTAATATTGATAATACTTTTGTGTAAAAAAATTTCTTAGATGAAAAATTGAATTAACTAAGTACATTTGAATGATTTTAATATTTCATTTTCAAAACTTTTATAAACATATTTTGTAGATATTTTTCATTTCAAATATTGATAAATATATTGACATTATTTTTTATTTTGCCAAAAATTAATAATATCAAAAATGACATCAATAATCAATAATCAATAATTATATTTATTATTTGTTCATTTATAAGAGAAAATTTTAATCAAAACTTTATTTTTATACCACATTTTGCATTCATTGATACGTGACATTTTGTTGCAAATTCACAATTTCTATTAACATTTTTTTGAAAATTGCAAAATTTATATGAAAAAAACTTCTTGCAAATCTAAAATACTTATGAAAAACTGATAATACAAATTTTCATGTGTATCATTTGGTTTTATTTGGCAATGAAGATTAGCACTAATAATGACATGCAATTACAAATAATCATCAGAAGAGATACATTATAACATAACATTTTAAACGATCAATCAATCTATGATATATTTATTATGCACACTGAATTATTTTGTTAAAATTAAACTTTTTTTTATTTAAAGTTATGACGTTCAAGAATGGTAATCTAATTAATAATTGCTCAACTAGCTAAAATTAATCCACATTTGTCCAAGGATTTGTTAACTTTGTACATTTGCTGCTTGTTTTGATAATAAGATTGAATTTTGGTTGAAGATGTTTGGAGAAAACATGCATCATTTTATAATACTTTTCATTTTTCGACTATTGTTATTTAAATTGATCACAAAATCAATCTGATGCGGTAGACACCATATATAAAAAACCAAATGAGTTAAATTTTTTGTTGAAAATAGTCACAATACCATCTATATGTCTAATATTTGTCTTCTCACAGTCATTTGCAAAGTTGAGAAGTTTGTCACGCAAGAATTGATATAAGCAATTCAAGAATTTCATGATCATATTTGCCTCATTGACAGCAGTGTGACAA